TGAAATATTTGTCAGAAATATATTTATATTATAATGAGAACAGCTGAGGAAAAGTAATTGCAGAATTACTCCAAACTCCATATTTTCTTCAATCAGGTTCTCTGCCCCATCACGAGCCTTCGAGAATGCTTTCCATTTTTCTGAAATTTCTCGTCATACTCACCGACAAGGGCGCAACTTCTCGCACTACAAACAGGTTGACTACAAGTTGATTTTACAATTCTTTTAAATATATTTGTTGTGAATTTTTTGAAACTCACCTTTTGAAACTTTTCAAACTCACCTTAACATTTTGCCAAGAAGTTTTAAGAAAAATTGCGTGCTAAACATGCAAATTTTGGTGACCTTTTTGTAAACTCAGGCCAAAAAGCCATTTTTGTGCACTTTTTGGATGATTTCGGTCGAAAAATAGCATTATTTCGAGCTTCCCTCCCTCCCCTCAAAATTGGTATATATTGGCGCCCAAGGCTCCTTTAGAAAAAATCCAGGGTTGGTCGGCCGAAATGTATGTCGTAAAATAGTACCATAGGGAGTTCGAGGCAAAGGAGGGAATCGAACCCCTCACCACCCAAAGGTTACCCCATTTGGTACTATTTTACGACATACTTTTTCGGCCGATAGGCCCTGAAAGTTTTTAAAATCAGCCCCTGCAAGCACCCCATGAAAATTTTTGGGCAAAGATTGACGATAAAAGCAGATGAACCGACAAAAAATCATAAAGCGCTCAATCTAAATCTGATTGAAAAAAAAAACCTTCGTATTTTTTTCATCTGTAACTGTTAATTTTAGAAATTTATAATTTTTTACAGATAAATCTAAATATATGACTCGGTGATCTATACGGTTGTAAATATGTCAAAAAAAGTATAGTTTCTAGTTTTGTTTGGTGAAAAAACTACCTAGAGCACATGTTTTCTATTATTTTTTCGATACATCATTTTTGCAACTCAAATCCATACATGCTACGCAAAGGCAGATTTAGGGGGGGGGGGGCATTACCTTCTACCAACTCAAGGGCTCCCCCTTTTAGTACTATTTTAAACATCCATTTTTTGCTGACTGATCCTAAAATGTCTCATAAGGTGGACCTTGTCGCCACCATCTACTAATTTTGAGGATCAAAGTTTTCCAAAGAACGCCAAAAATTCCGCCTTTTTAAAACTTTTCAAATTAACCGCAATGCAGAAAATGTAATAAAAAAGGGCCACTTTAATGTTTTGAGAGCTCGGAAAGTCAATTTGGTCGACCTAAAAATAGATCAATGAAGTTTTCGAAAGTTAAAATCCAACTCCGTTCTCGAGAAAATCTTAGATCCTTCCCTGATGCTACCGGCAAAAAAGTTTATTGGAAAGCCAATTATCATCTGCATACCAAATATTGCCAATAAAGTTAATGCTAATTTTGGAAAAGACCCGCCATTTTTCCAAATTCACAGTTATCACTTTTTAGAATAGTGTTATTCGACGAAGTCAAGGTCGACCAGCGGCTATTCGGCTTTGTTTCCCAGAGTTATTTTGCCACACACAGGCCACTTTGTGCTCAACTATGCAACTCAGAGCCATCGTGCAAATCTCTCAATTGGTGTTTTGGTGGTCTCTGCGAGCTGAACGCGGCTGATATCTATGACGTCGAAGTCGAAAAAAGAAAGGAATATATGGACCATGTTCTATCAACTGCGAGAGGATGCTTATACCTGGGTATGAAGAGACACTCTAAACCCCTCTGTTTTGATGGTGGAAATCAAAACAATATTTCTGATGACTCATCTCTCGACACTTGTCAAGTGAAAAAGAAGAGAGAGGACAACGAATGGTCAGAATGGGTTGGGTTTGAACAAGACAACATTACCGACTGGTACGAAGCTGAAGAAAGAAATTGTTCGAATGAAGTATCACACGGCGGTTTGCAGCGATGCTCTTTTGGAGTGAAACAAGTTCACTATCTCAGGTGGTTCAAATGGGTAAAATACACAACACGGGATTTCAACAGTGCTCAAAAATATTGCGAAGATGTTTCGGGCGAACTTTTCCACAATTTCGGATCTGAATTAGTTCCCGGTTTTCCACACTGGTCCGAACAAATTATGTTTCTGATGCGTCATATGATGTCAAATGAATCTGGATACCAAAAGCTAAACACTTTCTGGATTGCTTACAAAACAAATGCTGAACGGGATCTGGAATCTCTCAAAATTTTTGATATCGATGGTAAACATGAACAGAAGCTCCAGTCTTTTTGGAATGATAACCATGATACTCGTGAGGGGTTTGTTGTCATTCTTGGTGATCTAGAGAACACGCCAATGTACAAAGCGGTCCAGGACATCCCAGGTAATCGACAACAATACTTTGTGTGTTTCATTACCGATTTGACTGTGACTGTAAGTGAAAATCTTTGAGCGACGCATTTTATTAATAAAATAATCAAGTTCGAAATAAATTATCAGAACTGATAATGTTTTGAAACGGGGCAAAAGTCGAGCGTAATTTATTTTCTTTTGAGCTGCCAAAAACATTCTCCTCGCCACCATTTCAGATTTCAGAATTAAATGACACCTTCTTAGATGTGTTCTTGTTTTAGTGGTTTGAAGCGAGACTTTTTTTTAAAATTTCAAATGTACGATGTGGTTCATTTGTACAATGAATGATGGTTACGTGGCAGTAAGAAGAAAATTGCCTATTTGCACTCGTCCGTAAAAGACAATTACTTTAAAACCCAATCAGGTTTGAAAAAAGAAATTAATGAATAATTAAAAATAATTTATTGGATTTTTTGTCTTGTCTCAATTCTGATTGATTAACATAGTATTTTTCTATTTACAGTTCGCACACGATTTGTTCAACAGATCATCTTCAAAACTCTTTATCTTAGGCAACAGGACGTATTTTAATAAATAGTTCACCCTAAACTAAAATGAATTGAAACCTGAAAAAGCAAGTCAAGATAATTTGCTACGAAAAACATCAAGCAACAGTAAAACTGATTATTTACTGTTTTTATTTATGCGGGTGAATATTTTAGTAGATATCGTAGGAGGAGAGAGAGTTTAAATCCAATAAATACCAAAGATAATAGGCCTAAAAGCTCTTTGAATTTCAATATATGTTTTTGAATGTATTTTTTTGATAAAAAAAACCCAATTTAAAAAAATAGGATCAATAATTAAATGTTTCATTCCGCTGGGAAATTTAAATCCTCTTTCGAAACTGAAAAAACTCAAGTTTTCTTGCGCTATTTCGGCTTGCCTAAATGACCAGCACAATTGAATTTCTTTTTTAGCAGTCGAGTTTGAAGTCAACTTTAACAGATATCAGAAGTCCAACCGCAAAAAAAATCAAATTTAGTGTGATCAAACTTTTGAGTTTCGAAAAAAATTATTAGCACGATCTATATACGTGTTCTCACTACGTTCATTGACAGTTCAAAAAATCCGAAGTCAAAGTGCAAAACACCATATTTCAGCATGAACAGTTTTTCAAGATTTTGTGCTAAAAGGTGGAAAAAGTTTACACGAACTGCCAAAGCTTCTTCAATTGACTAAAAAGAAATTACAACTCTTACTTTCAAAAGAAAGTATTTTCCTTAACATCTTCGATAAGAGAAACTTTTATGATTGAGCTTTTACAATGAGCAAATTCATTTTGAAAAGCCTAACTATGGCCGAATTATTACACAGGCAAAGATTTGCTTCACAAACACAAACGAAAAAAACGCCAATAAGTTTTCAGAAAGAGAAAAATGAAAAAAAAAACAATGAAAATTTACAAAATCTTGAAGGGAGTTCAATTTATCCTTGTACATTTAAGTTTTACCGTTGACTGCCCTGCATATTTGCCACTGACGCTTAAAGAAACCAAAGACAAGCGGGAAAGCAGCTAAACAGAGTTTTAAAATGCACAAACTTTGCGTGTGATAATTTGAAATGAAAGGAACTGAATTAAGACTGCAACTTGGCATGTAACAAAATGGAAAAAAAAACAATTAAGTATAAATTATGCATTTCAAAAGTTTCCGGAAAAATTCTAAGTTAGAAAATTTCTGAATTGGACTTTTTACACAGAAGCGAAGCTGTACTTTGCAAACACTAGCAACAAAACGACTAAAAAGCAGCTCTATAAGTGAAACAAGAAAAAAAAAGAAATAAGCCTCAAATTACTAACAGGAGCTACACGACGGCTTCGAACCAGCAACTTCGAGACAAGAGTCTCGCGCCGCTCCAACTCGACCATGAACGCTTAACAATTTTCGAAAACTAGCCTCAAATAAAGCATTGAATAGATGCTTTGAAGTTTCCACTGCTACAGATCGTAATTATAGCAAAAATGCCGCTAAATGAGTATGAAACAAAGTTTTCTTCAGTTTATTTGTAGATTAAAAAAGCTTCAACTGTGTTAACTTATTAGTAATCAAATGACAAAACCAAGCTATTTCCAATTTAGCCTCCTGCTTGTTAAGTATCACTAACATTTGTTGGACTCAGGTTGGAAGAAAAGAAGCCTTGTATGACATTACGTTGGGCGTATGTAAAAACCCACCCACTCTCGGCTTCATTTTCACGGTTTTCGCATTTCTTATAAGAAAAACAATTTGCAGCAGGTGAAATTGAAGATAATTACATAAAAAACAAAGATCGAACCCCAGCTATAATAAAGAAAGAGACGTTTTGCTGAATAAAAAGACAGACGAATCGCTAAAAAATTTCTTGCCTTACAATTTACAGGTTTCAGTAACAAACAAAGTGGCAGCAATTATCTCACCGATCTCACGATGTCTTACGTAGTCGCACTAACATCCAGATTGGAAATGAAAGTCAACGGCGTTTTTCTAAACCATTTGTCGTGTTGTATCTGGATTTGTCGTGTTGTATCTGGAGAGCGTAATTTGCCGCCCATTTGATAAATGAATTAGTCTGTGAACTTCAAAAAAATCAAGTCAAATTGAAAAAAAAAATTAGAACATTTTTGGAAAAACCGGAAGATTTCGCGGTGAGTCAAATTAGATAATGAGAATCAAACTGAATTTACAATTTTAACACTTTTTACAAATCACTCTATAGACTAAATTCACAAAGACAACCTAGAATTAAAATCGAAAATCACCAGTCACGTAATCATTTTTGTGTCCAGTTCTTGTTCTTTCAACCTGGCTAAACTCATCGGCAATTTCACATTCTGAGTTTTCAGTGAATGCAGTAGTTGCAACATTGTGTCTAATTCGACCTTGAACTTGGCCGTCTCTTCTGATTTATGTTTGAGTGCCACTTTCAGCCTCTCATTTTCCTTTGCCACTTCTTCCGTGGCTGCCAAGTGGCTATTCGATGACATAATCGCCTTCAGTTCCCGGTCACGTGAGTCGTACTTCTTCTGGAGAGCGTCCAGCTTGTCCAGCACTTTCTCGTACTGCTTTGAGCCCTATATTACGCAACAAAATCATTCAAGAATCTTTTATTCAAAACCAATGATACTGAAAAACTCAATTTCACAGAGGCGAAGTTGCATACACATACACACTTCACTTGAATAAATAATCATTTGAAAAATCTCAAAATCTGATTTGAAGTTGCTTTTGAAGTTCTCGAACCAATCCCGGTTCAATCCTCTCATCGACAGCCAAATGCGGCCAAAAAGTAACATACTTTAGTTTAGCCGATATGTAAAGGCTATATACAATCTCGAAACAAAAACTGTACAATAAAACAGTGCAACAAAATGTGCTACTTGTAGTGGAAAAAGTCTATTAATAAGTTGGGTTCGTTTTCTCTCAAAAGCAATGTTTGGAACTCTTTTTCATCGCAACCATATCAGTGTAAATCCATATGTAAGAAAATCGTGCAATATATCATTAGACGAGGCTAATTTCTGCAGTTCTTACAAATAGCATCCTGCAGATCCATTTTAAATAAAATGGCGCCACTTGTTACTAGGAAATCTCTTAAAACTCATGAAATTTGTTCACAAACTTCACTTGAGTTGGGACTAACAGGTGTCTGTGCCTCCTTGATCCGTGCAATCTGCCCTTTGAGAGTGTTCATCTTCTGTTCCATCTCCTTCTCCCTATCCTTGTACATGGCCACCTCACTCTCCTGGGCTGCAGAGGCCAACATTTGTTCACGCAAGTGTTTGATCAGCACCTAACGCACACATGCTCACACTGTATGTTAAAATTTGTATCTTAAAGTTACTCGAGTTTCATTGTCGTCTAAATTATAGTGCGAATTTTCTTAATTATGCCCCCTATGGTACCTACTAACGAATTGCAAACTCTATAAAAGACCAATTCAGTGGTTAGACGTATGCAATTTTTGTACCTTTTGAAATAGTGGGGGGGGGGGGTATTTAACATGGTTCCATCGTTCTTCCCATTTTTAGTTCACCAATGTTATCTATCATGCAAGAAGTTACTTTTTATATGTAAATAATTAGACTAGACGTCGATTAGCAGCGTAGAAGAAATAAGTAAGAAGAAAGGGCGATGTGAAGTGAAGTTTCTCGCATTTGCTATCTGTCCTTAAAAATACGTGTTCGCGAAACATAAAAAAAATAGAATTTGAATTTGATCACTACGAAAAGGCCTTCAAGACCAAACCATCGAAACATCCACAAGAGTAAATTTCAAACACAGATGCAAAACTTCGCAACACTTGTGATAAAAAATGAATGAATACCACTACTGGCAGATGAACCAAATCGGAAAACTAACTAACTTCAAAAAATATTGCAAAAATCGGATATCTTGGAACTGAACTACCTGCATCATTATAAAAAATTACAAACAGAGGTGAAGCGAAGCTTCGCATTAGTTGCGATACCACAAATACATAGCATGACAAACTAACCGACAGAATAGAGATAAATCCGTAGAAAACAATTGGAATTTGTTTTAAAAATATCCAAAAAAAATTGATCTACCAAAAACATTTGTCTTAATTTTCACTTGCTTAACACTCCTTTCAGTAAAAATGCCAAGAAATAAAACAATTGAACGTTAAAAAGCATCGAAACAAAACCTACAAAGCAGAAACAAAGGCAACAATTCATGAGCAGACACACGTTGCGCCGAAACAAAAATTATTGTAAACTTTGAAATTCAAAAAAAATTTTAAGTCGAGTCAAAGAGGCCTCTTAGCCAATATAATAAAATTCGAAACATTTTAAGCCGAAGAAAGAGAAAAGGAGGCATAAACAAGAAAAATATGACTGATATACTGAGCTATAAAGTTTTAAGAATTTTTACGACCCATTGAAATACATCGAACATAAAATTGTGCTTTGCCCTCAAAACTACGCAAAAAAGTAGAATATTCCAAAATCATAAACCTAAACCGTTTATTGGAAAGAAACGAACAACAAAAACAAATAAAACTACATGTATTTGAAATCAGACTTGACAAACTCACAAATTACAATTATAGAAAGAACTGTTTAAATTTAAAATAAAACTCATGCATAAGAATTAAGCCAAAAAAACCAAACCATATATTACAAATGACATTTACTGACAAGGATAACCGGTTACTGTGCAGAATGTTCCGACAAGTCTTTAAAAACTAACAAAAAATTTTTTTTTCAAATTAGTGAAGTTTTTTCTGCGAGGTGTGATACAAGGATCTGATGTATAACTATAATTTAGGCATCTTCGACAGTCATAGTAATATAGGCCAATTGGACAAAAAAATGTTCTAGAAAAATGACCAAAAAAAGTTTAAAAATCAAACTTTTTTTTTCAATTTATTTTGCAGAAAATGTTTGAAATTTTCTGAAACTTTCGGTTCTCAAAATGGAATTTAAAAAACTCCAAAAACTAAATTTACTTGCTTGAAACTTTTAGGCATTAAACTAGGCACAATTAGGCTCTTGCAAGCCTGATTTCTCGCTTTATTCGCTCGGAATAAAACGAAAAATAAAAAAAATCAAACCAATTTTTCTCGACATTGGGGAACTCGTTTGGCAACTTTTAACGTTGTTCGAATCACGACTGTAATGGCTTTAACATGATATATCACTCAACCCAGTCCGATACTTATTTGCGGTACCTGCTTTCGCGTGGAAAACAAAAAGAAACAAAACTAAATCACAACTGAATACTAAGTTCCTCCCCATTTTCAATGGTCGGAACAAAAACGGAAAATGAACCAACGAAAAGCACGAAACCGAAAAAAACTCAAAATATTTAAAAAAAAAACATTTGAAAAACAAATTATTGCCTGAAGCGGACTCCAACTAATTACTACCTAAATGATACTAGCTTAAATTATCAAGAAATAGCATGTCAAGTATTGAGGCTGAAATTCACCATTCCTGCTAAAATAGACCACTCTGTAAACAAAGTCTAGTACGCGGCAAAAAAGTCTAGTGCCCGATTGCAAAACCCTTTTTTATTGCACGGGTAACAATGGTAATTCGGAACTTCCAATGGTGCAGAAGAAATCATTAATTGCAAACACAAGCAAGAAAACGACAAAAAAGCACCTCTATAAAGTGAAATAAGGAAAAGAAGAAATAAACCTTTTTTAGTAAAACTTTTTCTATGTATCGCATTCGAACCTAAAATCTCGAGATTTGTAATCTCACGTTCACGCATCTGCGCCAGGCGCTCTTGAAATTTTGCTGACATTAGCCACCCTGAGGAGGCGGATGACACTGATATCCCTCCAGCCGTGACCGCAGCGGGATTCGACCGCATGACCCTCGTGTTGAGAGATATGTGCCAAACCCACTCGACCACAACTGCTCCGATACGCTTCGCAACACTCCGCTAAGATTCGCAACACTAGCGAAAAAAGGACCAAAAAGCAGATCTGTAAAGTTAAATAAGAAAAAGTAGAAAAAAGCCTCGAAACACTAAAACTTTTGCTACGTGCCGGATTCAAACCTGCAACTCCGCGATTAGGATTCTCCCGTCTTTCCATCTCATTTACGAACGCTTGTCCTTCCCTCTCAGTCACGGACGCTTAACTATCGGCAAACACTAGTAGCCGATAGTTAACAAGCCTCAAATTAAGCATAGAACAGATTCTTTGAAATTTCCCATGCTAAATGTCGTGATTATAGCAGAAGTCAACCCAAATAACCACTTTTATTTGCGAGTTAAGTTGGAGAATCAGAGTGTAATTATTGTTGATGATTCACCTCTTGAGTGGATACTTTGCTCTGCATTTGTGCCATTTTACTAGTGCTGTAGTCTGATGCATGTTGCAACACCAGTTGTTTAATTTGAGCCTCGTGGGCTGCCATCAAATCAGAGGCTTCTTTCACTCTCGTCTGCTGCTCATTGGCCAGTTTCCTCTCAGTCTCGGCCAATCGCGTTTCGAGAAGTTTCAGTTGGTCTTGATATGTGTAGTCCAGTTTCTCAATCTATGCATTACACACACAACTAATTTTCAGATAGAAATTTCAAGTTTAATTTTTTAAGTTAAATATCAAAATGAGGCTATTCTTCGTCATAACTTACGCGTCTGAGAATTACCAAAAATTACTTATAAAAGAGCATCAAATTTAAAGCAAAAAACATGACTTGCAACTTACAAGACTTGCAAGTTCACGCAGTTTCTCTATTTCAAATTAGCTGTCTTAAAATCAAAACAAGTTTTAAAAAAGCCATCACTTTTTTCATAAAGCTCAAGTAAATTTCAAAACTCTTGAAAAGCGCATTCACAGTTCATAAAAGGTCATCACAATTTCATCATATATTGTTGTACGCGCATGTCGAAACAAAGATCAGCTGAAGAACTAGACGACACTTACTTTCAATTTCAATTGTTCGTTCTCGGTCATCAGTTCATGTGTAGTAACAGTAGCTCCTGAGAACTCGGAGGGGTCGTATGTTTTGTTAGAATTGGGCTGATCTTCGGACAACAATGGAGCTATGGCTTCATTTGCAGTTCCATCCTCTGATGAACTTAAGGCCTCTAACTGCAACTGTTTCGACTCAGAGTTCTTCAGGATTCCTGCAATCATATCAAATTTTAACTCGAAAGTTCTTTGTCAGAATTAATACCTCCAACTCCATTGTCATTAACGGCTCTTAGAGGTCGAATGATATCAGTAAATAGGTCATTGAGTTGTCTTTTTTGCTCAACAAAACACATGCACTGCCCTTTTTTCTGCTTAAAATGGGATAATCGTAGGTATCAACAGATCCTGTTAACAACACTCCTTATCGTTACTCATAGTTTAATTCGTAAACGAATAAAAGATGGACTAGCGTGTAACGCACCTCCGGTGCTTCAAATAGATTAGTGAACATGAAAGCTGCTTATGCATAAAAAAAATGAAAAACATCGAAATGAATGTAACCGAAAATAAGACGAGGAAATACAACAACGCTTTTAATTTCATGAACGATAAAATACAATTTTGACTTCAAGGTTGAAATCTCCATAACTACTGATTTTCAGATCGTCGTAAACAAAACCCTAAAACAGCCAGCATACAACTGCTTTTTCCAAACTGAAAAATTGAACCAATCAATTGCAAAATCATCTATTTCATAAATGGGATTCATAAACCTTCGTAATTAATTTTAAAATATAAAATTTTTTTTCTTTCATTAATATTAAGTTCAATGAAAAAAATTGAGCAGTTATATCAGGATGAGAGGCCCCAAATTTTTATAAACAATTTGAAAAAGCATAAAAACGGCATATCTCAGAAAAAAAAGATTATTTGAGCAATCAAACTTTGAAGCAAGACCTCCAACCTCTGAGAGTACCCAGAGAACAACCCAGTGTAGGGCTGGGAATTTCTCATTCTGAAACATTTTTTTAAAACTCAAGTCTTTTTTCGGAAAAATTTGAAAAAACGTCATATCTCGGAAACCAACAGCATTCGATTAGTTATCTTTTGAGGAAAGATTTTCAACCCTTGAGAGTACCTCGACAGCACTGTTGGCAACTTCAAATTATGTGGAATTTATTGAATCTAACTTTTCTGAAAATTTCTGAAAAATCATTAAAAAGTCTCATCTCGGAACATCAAAAAATTTTGAGCAGTCACATTTGGATGCAATATTTGCAACGACTGAGAGTACCCTGAAAACCACTCACACTATAGAGTTGAGAATTTCAGCTTTTAATAAGTTTTTTAAATCTAAGTTATTTGAAATTTATTGAAAAAATCATAAAAAACGTCATATTTCGGAAATTAAAATGATTTGAGCAGTCATTTTTGAGGCAAGATTTGTAACCTCTGAAAGTAACCTGACAGCACCCAAGTACAAGGTTGAGAAATTCAATATATGTTGAATTTTTCAAATCTGTTTTCAGAAAATTTTCGAAAAAGTCAAAAAAAAATCTCGTAACTTAAACTGGCGTAACAATGAGAGGATCCAATTTTTGGGTTGCTAATTTCAGACTTGACAAAAAACACTGAATTCAAGCTGGAAAATTGAAAGAAAAATCTTAACCATTGCAATATATGAAACAGCTTTCGTTAAAAATTCTTTCGTTAAACATGCAAAATTAATACGTTGAAAAAAATTAAACATGGTAAGATAGTGAAGCCGGCTTTTAAATATATAAACATAGCCAATCGAACATTGGAAAAGAGTAATGAATGCAAGTAAACCAAAAGAAAACCCTGACTTTGTTGAAAAAATCTCAACTTTCGAATTTCAAAGAAAAAAAAGATGCCCTTTAAGCTCTTTGAATTTCTAGAACAATTTATGATTGGCGCTTTTTTGATAATCTGAACCCAACTTGAGTAAACTGGATCAATATGTAATGTTTTTATTCCGCTGGAAATCTAAAATTTAAATTCCACTTTCGAAACTAGAAATCGTTCACGTTTTTTCGCGCCATTTCCACGTTCATATTTGGAGAAAGCTATTTATGTCACTTTCAGGAGATGAATTTCAATTGAACTCAATTAAGACTTTTACTGAATAAAAAAAATCAGCAAGACCTACATGAGAGCAATGTGGAATTTCGCACCACTTGGGATGCATCAGAAACGTAGCATTGCAAGTTAGCAGACTTGCACGGAGAGCTTGAATCGATAAGGCCCGTTTCTGATTATGTTTAACCATTGGATTGTATAACTTGCATGCAGGATGTTCGGGAGATATTTGAGACATGTTTTTGGAAGACCACAATAAACTATCCATCAAACTTTCTACAGATTATTTATATTGAATTTAAGCAACCTCCAATTTCCCTCCCATCCACCAACAGATAAACTAATTACACGTGAACACAGAAAGGAAGCAATGAGAAACGTTTTAGATCATTTCAGCCTAAAGTGATCAACCGATACGTCTTCTAACCTCAATATTTATTAGCAAAATCCACAAGTACTCAGGGATCACAAGAACCATTTGGTCCATCGTCAGACTACATCCTTTTATACATTGAAAACACCAATCACATTATCCGCAAGAAAAGTACTTAAGAAACCTTACAAACAATAATCTTTGATTAATTCTAATTCAACTGAGACATTTCAAACTTAATGGAGATACACTTAAGTTCAAATTAACGTCTTGACCGATAACTTTTAAGAGCATCAAATATATCAACTATTCCAAACAGCTCAGTTCAGACAAACAACAACATCAACATTCACAAACGACTCGGCATTTAGTGCGTCGACATGGCAAAACTGATCAAAATGTTTCAAAGATCAAAAACATTTTCCAGATAATTTTGATCCAGTAATTTTGATATGACCGTAGAGTTAATTTTGGACTCAATTCCAGGCATTTGAATCCAGGCGATATCATCAGTCCAATTTATTCCGACTCTGTCTACAAATTCGGTCGAGAATTTCAATAAATCTTCAGCAATTATTTCCTCATCACCAGGACCAAAAACTATACTATTGAGTCATTATTGAAGGACGGTTACCAATTTTTTTGCTCCTATCATTTAAATCAGTTTGATTTCCGCGTGTTCATTGTCTTTCTTTCGACAATAAAACTTCGCTTATATGAAATTTAGAAAACGCTGCAGAAAAATTAAATTTCTATGAGTAAACAAGCGAAGCCAGACTAGAACAGTTTTGATACTTCTGAAGAAATGGAATGCTCAATGGAAAGCAGTGGGACATTTGGAACCGAAGGAGGGTCAAATAACACTCCAACCAGCAGTAAGAAAACTAAGAAGAAAGGAAACACGAAACGCATGCTATCTCTCACTGCTTACTTCATCGGAAGAAATCACTTCAACCACAACAAGTAAGACAAAATCTTTTCAAAAAACGTTTGAAAATACAAACTAAATTTATGTTTTTTTTTTTTAAAATTTTCGAAGAAAAAATAGCTCATCTTTAAGCTCTTTGAAAGCTGAAATTCTCGGAGTGAGTGATTGGACTTATATTTAGCAACTTATATTGAAATGAATTAAGAAGAACTCAGAAGTTAAAACGGGTTTAAAAAACTGAAGATAAACCTAAAAGAACAAAAAACCACACGACCTAAAATCAGTGCTAGCTAGTTAAGCGCCACCGAAATTAGTGATTTAGCTACTAGTGGTTTCAGAATTGCAATCTCAGATACCTGATATAAGAAAGCACTGTTATTTTTGCAACTTTCGAAGAAAGTGCGGATTATGTATGGTTATGGAGGTTGTTGTTTATCTACTAAAAATAAGTGAGAAGATAAAATTAATTTTGCACATAAAAGTTTTTGGGTGTGGAGCTTGCTTAGTTGTTTCTCTACTAAAATAAGAGTGAAGTTACATTCAATTTTTCATTAACACATTCTTTTAACAAATAACTAATGACTCACCGCTTCTGTTGTAAAAATTCTCTCGCAACCGGTTCTTTCGATTGAACTTAATTTCAGATTTCATAGGGTAGTTTTTAAGTTAAGAAGTTTAAAAAAACGGTCAAAGTTCAACGGTCAAAAACGTTTTTAAAAAACGGTCAAAAACGTTTTTAAAAAACTGTCATAACACTTGATTTTCCGAAATCAATTTTTTTTCTGCAATAGGAAGGCCGTGGCCGCTTAAGCAGAGAAGTTTCCCAAAACTGGTTTTCTCGATTGAAACCGAACACTTAACTTAAAAATGTGCAGGATAAATTTGGAGAAAAGTCACAAGGTTTCCAAAAATCGGTCAATATATCAAAACTTGAATTTTTTGCGAATCAAACCTTTTCGTGTGAAAAAAATTTGGGTGTGGCCGCTCATGCAGAAGATATTCACACAATCTGCTTTTTTCGATTGAACGCAAAAACTCAAGATTTGGGAGGGTAGTTTTCGAGAAAAATTAAATAGTTTCAAAAAACGTAACAAAAACCAATTATTGACTTTTCCGAAAGCCAAATATTTTATGTAATAAAACAATGGACGTAGTAAATTGTGCAGGCGAACTTACCGCAACCCGGTAGTTATCGAGCAAAGTCGAAGAATTAAAAAACGGTCAAAAAATCAAATATTTGACTATTCCGAGGACTATTCCTTCAGAACGATTTGGGTGTAGCCACTCAAACAGGGGAACTACTCATAACCATTTCTGTCAATTGAACTTAAAATCTCAGATTTGGGAGAGTAGGTTTGAGAAAACAAAAGTAAAAATGAGTCAAACATTACCCCGCAGACTTTTTCGAAGACTGTAGACAGTAGAGTAAAGTAAAAAGAGACTAGATGTTTATGGCGGCATACAGGGGAGTAAGCGGTCTTTCCATTGTTACGGCTTTTTTTTTAAATATGGTAATTTTCTACTGAACTATAACTTTTACAAGTGTCTCAAAGAAGTTAGAAAAAACCCAATCCCATACAACTTCATAAAACCTAACTTTGTCAAACAGGAACTTTTGGGCCGCCAAAACTATACAAAATAAGTTGACTAAACCGCTTCCACATCAGCCGAAACCATTTAGTCGAAAAAAAAAAACGAGTAAAAAAATTATTCTAAATCAGACTTGGTAAAATGACAAATTACAGAACATCCAATTATATCTATAAAAACTCGAATCAAAATAAAATCTACATTTTACAAAATAGGCCGATGAAAATTAGTACCGGATAACAAAAATGATAATTTAAAAAAACGGAAAATGAACCAACACTGACGGAAACTAGGCAGAAAACCAAGTCTAGTACCCAATTGCAATGCCCTTGCTGATCAGAAGGGTAAAAATCATTCGAAAAATTGTATTGCCATTAGCTCGAATTTAAAAATATATTTTATCTATGCTCTATTTTATTTAAATCATGGGGTTTAAATATTGCCAATTTGGGACAATTAACGCGCGATATACTTTGTCCTATTTGCGCATACGCGGAGATTTCATCTGTCTTAGAATTCGTCCTAAATTGTATTGAGGCATGCTATTTGGTCTGTTGAATTCTTTGCATGCGAAATATATAACTGTTGTTTACAAAATAGGGAGGATGATTTTCAAAAAAAACTCGAGAATATGAGTTTTATTTGAAAACTTTACCGACTTTGTTTTGAAATAAGACTGCGAAACACTACTCTATAGAACTTAAAGAGCTGTAGGAAATTCAGGGCTTCGCCCTGATAACAAGCTGTCTCATTTCAAAATTAAACGTTTTTGATGCGAACTTTCAAAACTTCACGGGAAAACCCTCACCTTTCAAAGCCTGTTTCTCCGCTCCTTTGCTGTAAGTCTTCCCGAGACTCCCATTCGATGGCAGTTGCCTTTCGGCTAACGGAACCATCGGCTGTGTAGAAGCATAACAAGTTGAACCAGACTGAGCTCGTTTCAATTGTATTCTTAACTGGGCAATTTCTCTGTTTTTTGCTTCTAATTCGCCCAATAGCGCCCTCAGTCTGTTTTCCACGTTTTCTATCCGTTTCTTTTCAAATTGGGCACTTTTGCTCGTGTACAAATTTTCGCTCGATTGATCGGGCTGCTTACCCGCCTCTAAAAAAACACACAAGGAAACTTTGTGAATATGAAAAACTAAGCAAAACCAAAAAATCCTCAAAAAAACGTCAAAATCTACTAGATTTTTTACTATGCCCAGCTCGATTATTCGTCGTTCAAACCACGAAAAATGATTTTGAATGTTGCATGGGTTCTCTATCTGCGTTTTGTTCAGCCACAAATCAAAAGCGACATCATAAAAACCTTTTTCAAAGCTGGCACTGGTGAGTATTTCAGTACTGGGAACATTTTTACACAATGCTCATCCGAAAAAAATAATGAACAATTAAATATTAATACATGCAGATTTTTGATCCGATAACATCTGCTGCAATGGCCTTTTTAAAAGTGTTGTTTTGAGCATGGAACACTTCAAAACTACTTAAGTGGTATTTCAAACCTTTTTTATCGAGACTTCACTTTAAAATTTACAATACACCATTACTCGTTTGGTCTAATGAACGGCCAGTCACGTTTACATGACAGGCAGTAGCAAACAATAGAACTTATGATGATAAAAACATCGACCATTATCAAATTTGCCATTCACCTTTTTGGTGTCCACCAAAAACCACATAACAACAAAACATTACAAATCGCAGTTGAGCCTTCAGTTTTTATTGACTATTGTTTGATGCTGTAAAATGGCGGATACTCGATAAAATTCTGGCATGCCTTCAAACATTTGATTCAATGTACACAACTTCAAACATTCAATTACGTAAGCCAGTTTGATTTCAAAAATGCCACATTTTTGATTAAAAAGTATCTCTATTTGTCTCGCTCGAATGAAGTGACTAATAATTATTAGTAGATGAAACCATGTAAGTTTTCTCAGTTTCTTACCAATGTAATGTGTTTGATACTCGTGTTTGCTTTACTGACTCAAACTTCTAAATTTACATTATTTTCATAACTTCAAAAATTTATATAGCCACTGCATGTTTCTAGAATGGACAGCGGAACTGCACGTCCAAAACCCGAGATAAAAACGGACTCGAAAGGAGGTCGGAAAAACACCGACTTCATTGACCGCATCTCTCACATACGACACATGTTGACCACGCCTCAAATGTACAGGTAATGGGACTCCCTTCCACTCCGTTCCCCCATTTGTAATTTTTTTGGTTGGACCACAGATTTTCAGAAAAAACGCGAGGCCAAACGCAAAATCAAAACTGGAAAGAGGGTATTGCACTAATTTAATCTACCTTTTTCCCCCAATTTCGCACAAGTTAGCTGAAATAGTTTCATCCTAAACTGCTTAAAGTAGAACCCATGTTTAGGTTGCGGAAAGAAGGCCGCAGTACGACTGTGCGTCCCGAGAGCGCACATGCCGAGATCGACGCCACTCCAGTTAGACCTGGAACATCCGTCGGACCCTTTAAGTGCAATACCGCATTTGAGCCAATCAGAAAGATAGAGCAGTCACGCGAGGCAATCAATGTATTCCAACCAATTTCAGAGAACATAAACCCACAAGAAGACGAAAGTCCACCGAGCCGAAGAGATTCCAAGAATTCGTTCAAAATTCGGGACTCCAGGAAAAGCCAATCAACTATACTACGCAAAAGATCTTCCGGAAATATTATGAACTTCGAAAGCAGTGATAAAAATTCCAATAATAATGTCATGTTTTGCCAGTCTAAAACTGGAAGGAATCTGAGCATATCAACGTCATCATTTATGAAATCTGGATGCACAAATTTGGATAGTTTCGAAAATTCAACCTCAACCTTTGACAACAGCGGCACCAGCGACAACAACTCACGAAACTATCCCACCCTTCGAAAACCAATTTTCACGCCTGTCCGTCCTAAAAGCGTGAACAATTTAGTACCTACAAACACGCAAGACATGACATCTGCGGTTAGTAACTTGAACACTTCGGGGACGATGCTGAGTTCGACTAGACATCTCGGAGGAGTGAGTTTGCAAACTAGGAAAATAATGGGTCGGCTGTGTAAATCGAAAGACAGTCTGCACAACATGTCTATGACCGAAGACGACATCAGAAGTGAGAGAGGAGAGGATAATAAAAAGCATCGGAAGCACTCTCTAGGAGTGGAGCTCACGACTCTCAAGAATCCGAAAAACATTACTCAAGAGTCAGAAGCGTTGGAAAGTTCAGATGATGATAGCGAGTCCTCCAAAAGGTTAGAAATGCATTGTCAAACAAGTGAGTTCAATATCAAAGACTCAAGGCATCCGGTATCGAAATTTGAGTTCAAACCAGTTACTACAAAAATCGAAAAATATAGAGCAAGTTTTGTTTTTTGTTTCTATAATTTTCAATGACAATCATCAGCTTGTTCTATTGTCATAACTGTCCGAGCCATTCATATTTCAACTCCAACTTTAACCCAGTAGATGATTCATGATCGCATATTCAATGAATTTTCTTCGTAGACAGTAAGCCGATAACCTCATCTATTGTTAAATTTAGTCTCTATTTAGCAGAGAAAAAGTAATGGAATGGCTCAGTGTGCAACAGAACGTGGTCACACCCGATCTTCTAGCCCATTGCGAGCCCATATCGAGCACAGTAGCAGAACAACCTTCAACTAGCAACGATCAGACTAAAATGGGAAAAACAGTAGCATTTAAACCAGGTACCGTCATAGCCCCAACACTGACAACAACAGGTGTTGCGGATGGAAACAATAGTGAAGACGACTACGAGAGGGCGTTAGCGCGGCAGATGAGTTTCAGCGGGTCGACAACGGTCATTCCCAAGGAGGATGATGAAGTCGTGGGGGAGACTGATATAAGAGTGAACAGATATGAGCAGTCGTTAGTGAAGTACATTGAGCAATTGCAGGGCAGATTTGATCATCTGGAGACAGAAACCAACAGGGTATGAATTTCATCATGGGATATTTTAAGTCTTAATGGTAAGAAAACACTTGCAGCTCTGAATAAGAAGCATCCAAGACCACAACCAGTATTGTTCATTTTGAAAACCTATCAAGTTGATATAAATATTTTTTCGACGGTAAAAAAAACTTTTGCACAAAATCCTCAGCAATAAATTTTTAAGAGCAAAGTAGCTCATCAATTTCACGATAGCATTAGTTGGTTATAAGAATATAAGAAAAAATATTGGCTGGGAAATATGTAGAATACCGTAATTTTAAGCGAAGATTACTACAAATCCATACAACATCGGCTATAATATATTGAATATATTTTTCTTCAGGTAGTTTCTGAGTTTGAGACTATGAACAAGAAATGGGCGCTAGACAAAGAGCGTCTCGAAATAACACAGCAGGAGCGAATCATTCTCGGTGAGCGAAATGTATTCATGCGTCGTCAGCGAGATGTCGACAAACAGCGTCTACAAAGCGCACTCAAACAATACCATTCCGTTCATCGAGATACCAGTAATGTATCACGTTTGAACCCTGGATTCGGCATTACGTCACATGATGTCAGAAGTGACGTCAGACTCAGTGGGGCTGCGTCATTGGATAGTAGAAACGACGTCAGTGATATGGATGATGCAATTACCCAGGTGGAGACTTTGTTGATGAATTTGGGAAGGATTTCGCATTCTTCTGAATGTGAACAAACAATGGGAATGGGTGATCGAAAAAACGATGGAAATAAGCGATGCTCCAAACAGGAGAACAGTGAATATTTACAAGGCTAGTATTTTATTGCGTTTTCAAGAACTAAAAAAATGGAATTTTTTGAAAAACGGTATTTCAAATGCGTTTTAAAAAACTAAGCTACTCCAGCCAAAAAGAAAGAAAAAGTTGTTTTCAAAAAGATTAAAGTTACCATTGATCAGCCGTTACTTAGGTTCACATCATTACTCAGGGTAGCTATCTATTAAACAATTGAGAAAAAAGATACTTAAAAATTATATGAAATGATTTGGTGATAGTTTCGTCATTCTCTAATTAACATAACGCCATAACGTGCTTTTCAGACATGCACGACGAGTTGAATAGCACGCGGTTATCGCTTACCATGACTGAGAATCGAAACCATTACCTGTCACAAGAGATAGCCAGTCTAACCATCCAGCTCAAAAACTCCAACCGCACAATCGAAAACCTACGCAAACACCGCGACGAACAAAAGCACGCAATCAAACAAGTCCTCGAAATGAGCAACTTCAAAACACGCAACGAGACCAACGCTAGTTTAGGTCATGGCTCATGTGACGAAAGCTCAAGCGTTTTAACACAAACAATTTGCTCGCGAGTTAGCAAATCGGATTTCTTCATCAAAGATCTGGAAAAACTCCTGGCGCAAGGCGAAGTCACAAAAATCAACTCACATGAGCTAATTGATGACATTACGTCATTGATTGATGATTATTATGTAACAATTCCTGGACAAATTGGCGGCTCTGATAGCACAGGCACTCCAGTTATGAGTCATCGCAGAAGACAGAGTTTAAAGAAAGGTGTTGAAAATGGAGAAAAACTCAAACGAATGTTAACATCACATCAATTAGACTTCATCTAATATTGCAATTCTAAACCAATAGTTATATGTAGTTTCATAGATCAGTTTTCCACGTAGAGAATAAAATCAATTCTGTCAACTTTGGATATGTAAGCCTTTTTAATGAGAAAACGATTTGACCTCAAGATTTGAACAAAGTCGAAGTAATCTGCGCGAAAATAGCGATACAGAAATAAGTTATAAAAACAAATCTGACGCTAAAAAAAACAAATTATACGCAGAGGCGAAGCTGCACTTCGCAAACACCAGCAAGAAAACGCTAAAATTAAGAGAAAAAAACAGTCAAAATAAAAAACTAATCAATTTTGAAAAATAAATGCCCTCAGCTTGAATAAATCTGTCCTGGAACATCGAAATTTTCCAGTTTACGGCTCAACCTAACTGTACCACTGACGCTTATAAAAAGCGTAGAAATGGAGCTACACAAAAGTATAAAAACACAAATTTAGGACGCAATTGATTGGACTGTTGTAAGTTGAAGGCAACTACAGTAATTAACTTGAAAGCAGACATCGAAAAATTTTATATTCGAGAAACATATTGGGTTCGAAATTTTCTGAAAAAGATTTTTATTGTATTGTTATAAGAAACTTATAGCTTTCTTAGTTTCATTTGATTAATTAAAAACGGATCAACTGTGTTAGCATATTATAATTAAATCTCATCATACATGGTATTAAAAAACCAGCTAAGCCTTCTGCTTAAAAACCACCAGAAATAGCACTAATATTTGCAACAAAGGTTTGGCAATACAAAAAAGTAGCCTTGTAGTTGTTTTGTAGTATCACACTAAGATTCATTTGCGCTGAAATTAAATTGAAAATGTACTTCGCATACTAATCCCAAAAGGGAAAAATCCTCAAAAAAATAACGATGTTGAACATTCGTTATTGGAGAGCGTTATTTGCCCACCTTTGAGCAAACTAATTTGAATTGAACTTCGCAAAGACAAGCATCAAAAGGCATCAAAGAAATAAATCTAAAAAGTAGCTTTCGGAAATTAAATATCGGAAAAATTGTGTTTTAACAAAAACGATAGCCAACAAACAGTTGGAACAGAGCCAATGAACAAATGTAAGCAGAAAAAACTGACTGAATTGTTTTTTTGAAAAAAAAATCAACTTTCGATTTTCCGAGAAAAAACAGATAGCTTTAAAGCTCATTGAATTTCTAGCTCTTTGAACAATTAATGAATGACACTTTATGATGAAATTAACCCAATTTGAGAAAACTCAATCAATATGTAAAAACTTTATTTCTCTAAAAAATCTGATTACTTAACTCCATTTTCGAAATTAGAAGACACCATTTTCTAAATTAGAAGTCAATCACGTTTTTCGTGATCTTTACACTTTCGCTGGTCGATAGTGGAGATTTCAAAAACTTTCGCTGGTCGATAGCGGAGACTTCAAAAAAACAAAAAAAAATCATCGCGACATATATGAAAGCCTAAGCTACGTTCATTGACTCTTAATAGTTAACAAAACTATCAAAAAAATGCCTCACTTTAGAGCTAAAAAAATAATTGATATTGAAATTGTTTGAACAGCACATAGCTATAATATAGTAAAAACTGATTGAAAAAATAACAAAACTGACTGCTAAAAACTGCTTCCACTTTCGAAATAAAAGTATAGCTCAAGTTTTCTCAAATAACATGTTTCATAGAAAAGTTACTTTACTTCAAAGCTTTTATTAATAATTTTTTTGATTAAGCAAATCCAATTTCAGAAAATTGAATCTTGGGAAACAACTATTGCAATTGAAAACACAAATAAATCAAGGAGACTGGAAAACAGAACTGGCTTTTCGGAGACATTTTTCAATTGTTGAGTTTCAAAGAGAACATTGGAGCTTTATTTTTTTAAGATAAAACTAACCCAAGTTAACTAAGTCAAAAGGTTAAAACCACTTTCAAAACTAAACATCGATTATGTTTTCTTGCTCTATTTGCACTGTCGTTTTTGGAGAGTCTCAAAAAAAAGCTTCGCTCAAGAAAATAGCTCTGGAATGTGGGGAAATAATACAAACGAAAAATGCTTAAACAGGTCTGAAAACCTTTCATAGATCCTCTACGAATAGCAAAAACCACAATTATTACCTTCAATTAAAAGCCAACTTACAGTTGGAAAAGAGTAATGAACGCAAGGAAACTTAAAAAAACTTGTTTTTTCAAGAGCCTTCAACTTTTGAATTTCGAAGAGAAAAATAGCTGGCCTTAAAACTCCTTGAATTTGTAGAACAATTTTTAATGGGCACTTTTTTGTTACAGTAATTAATTTGAAAGCAGACATCGAAAAATTTTATATTCGAGAAACATATTGGGTTCGAAATTTTCTGAAAAAGATTTTTATTGTATTGTTATAAGAAACTTAGAGCTTTCTTAGTTTCATTTGATTAATTAAAAACGGATCAACTGTGTTAGCATATTATAATTAAATCTCAACATACATGGTATTAAAAAACCAGCTAAGCCTTCTGCTTAAAAAACCACCAGAAATAGCACTAATATTTGCAACAAAGGTTTGGCAATACAAAAAAGTAGCCTTGTAGTTGTTTTGTAGTATCACACTAAGATTCATTTGCGCTGAAATTAAATTGAAAATGTACTTCGCATACTAATCCCAAAAGGGAAAAATCCTCAAAAAAATAACGATGTTGAACATTCGTTATTGGAGAGCGTTATTTGCCCACCTTTGAGCAAACTAATTTGAATTGAACTTCGCAAAGACAAGCATCAAAAGGCATCAAAGAAATAAATCTAAAAAGTAGCTTTCGGAAATTAAATATCGGAAAAATAGTGTTTTAACAAAAACGATAGCCAACAAACAGTTGGAACAGAGCCAATGAACAAATGTAAGCAGAAAAAACTGACTGAATTGTTTTTTTGAAAAAAAAATCAACTTTCGATTTTCCGAGAAAAAACAGATAGCTTTAAAGCTCTTTGAATTTCTAGCTCTTTGAACAATTATTGAATGACACTTTATGATGAAATTAACCCAATTTGAGAAAACTCAATCAATATGTAAAAACTTTATTTCTCTAAAAAATCTGATTACTTAACTCCATTTTCGAAATTAAAAGACACCATTTTCTAAATTAGAAGTCAATCACGTTTTTCGTGATCTTTACACTTTCGCTGGTCGATAGTGGAGATTTCAAAAACTTTCGCTGGTCGATAGCGGAGACTTCAAAAAAACAAAAAAAAATCATCGCGACATATATGAAAGCCTAAGCTACGTTCATTGACTCTTAATAATTAAAAAAAACTATCAAAAAATTGCCTCACTTTAGAGCTAAAAAAATAATTGATATTGAAATTGTTTGAACAGCACATAGCTATAATATAGTAAAAACTGATTGAAAAAATAACAAAACTGACTGCTAAAAACTGCTTCCACTTTCGAAATAAAAGTATAGCTCAAGTTTTCTCAAATAACATGTTTCATAGAAAAGTTACTTTACTTCAAAGCTTTTATTAATAATTTTTTTGATTAAGCAAATCCAATTTCAGAAAATTGAATCTTGGGAAACAACTATTGCAATTGAAAACACAAATAAATCAAGGAGACTGGAAAACAGAACTGGCTTTTCGGAGACATTTTTCAATTGTTGAGTTTCAAAGAGAACATTGGAGCTTTATTTTTTTAAGATAAAACTAACCCAAGTTAACTAAGTCAAAAGGTTAAAACCACTTTCAAAACTAAACATCGATTATGTTTTCTTGCTCTATTTGCACTGTCGTTTTTGGAGAGTCTCAAAAAAAGCTTCGCTCAAGAAAATAGCTCTGGAATGTGGGGAAATAATACAAACGAAAAATGCTTAAACAGGTCTGAAAACCTTTCATAGATCCTCTACGAATAGCAAAAACCACAATTATTACCTTCAATTAACATAGCCAACTTACAGTTGGAAAAGAGTAATGAACGCAAGGAAACTTAAAAAAACTTGTTTTTTCAAGAGCCTTCAACTTTTGAATTTCGAAGAGAAAAATAGCTGGCCTTAAAACTCCTTGAATTTGTAGAACAATTTTTAATGGGCACTTTTTTGTTAAAATTAACCCAATTAGAGAAAACTGGATCAATACGTAAAACTTCTATTTCGCTGGGAAATCTGATAATTAATTTCCATTTTCGAAATCAGAAGTCGATCACGTTTTTCGTGATCTTTACACTTTTGCTGTTCAATAGTGGAGTTTGCCTTCCTTTTAACAATGTAAATACACTGATTTAAAAAGAAATCAAAGTCAAGCCGCGAAAAATCAAAATTGAACGTGAACAAATTTCAAGACTTTTTCCCTACAAAAAATATCATTAAGACCTATATAAGAGTACTCAGTACGTTCATTACTCTTAATAACTGCCTCAACTTTGTTTATCAACACTTAAAAAGCCAAACTTCGCTTTCAAAACTAAAAGTCAAGCTTCCTTTTTCCTCCACTTTTACTTACTAGTTTTTATGGGTTTATTTGATGCAGTCGACTGGTTCTTCAACTGTCGCTTCAAATCAGCCACTTGAGCTTCCAACTGAGCCACTTTATCATTCGCCCGCTGCCGTGTCGCCTAAAATTATTAATTCATTTCTGACCATCCCGATCTGAAATATCGAAGCTGCTGCATCTGCTCTTCCGACAGATAGTATGTGAAAAAACTACCAGTAGCTTACAGATATCTATTATCACCAAGTTCAAAAACATCACTTTGAAAATTTGTCTAATCTCATCAGTTGAACAATGTCGAGAAAAATCTCATTTTTCGTGTGGCAGATGTTTAAAATTCAAATCGCAGAACTATTATAAGAAGCAGCAAAACGTTTAAATCCAGTGCGCTTACCTCCAGCTCCTGTTCGAGATAGACACTGTTGCGAGGTGACTTGCTCCTCGCTCTCTTCCCTTCGTCCATCTCCAGTGATGTCCGTACATGGTCCTTGTCCAGGTCCTTGTGGTTGGGTCCCAGAGTTGCAGCTGCTAACTCATTCCTCGCCACGCTCAATTCAGATTCCAACTTCTTCACTTTGAACTCGTATTGAGTCTGCAAAACAAAAAAGCTAAACATTTGATTTTTTAAAAATCCAAAACTTAAGACGTTCTTTGAGTTAAACCTTTGGTATTTTCAATAGACCTCTTCTAAGAACCTAAAATGGCCAAATCGAACTTCGAGTAGAATAAATGAATCTGATTGCTTACATGAATCTACTGGCAACTGAATTTGACGCATGAGTATACGTTAATCCGATCTCAAAATTAGGGGAGAGTAATCGAAAAGACCTATTTTCCATTTTTCCGAAATGAACAATAATTCCTCATTCAATTCCACCATAACCTTTCAGCATCTCATGTTTTTCTGTATAGCAGGATTGAAATTTCACATTTATAGGAATACCTTATATACTAATCTATCAATCCCATATGTACATTGAAATAGATAAACATTAAGAAATCGACAGTATTAGCCATCTTCAGAAGCCATATTGAAAACAGCTTGGATGTTACTGAAACAAAATCGCTCTTGGCCGATCAACCTACCAGCCTTTAAGCCATGCCCACCCGTCAATACCTCCATTTAATCTATATCTCTCGGTTAAAAAAACCTGTATACCCAGTTCAGCTGCGCAACACTTTTCATTTACTCCGCCAAAAAAATTGTAATCCTCCGCAGCTCTTCTCCCGTTTCTTCCCAACAAATTGCAATTTTTTAAGTAAATTTGTTCGCTGGTCATTAAAATTGGCAACTGACTTAATTACCGAATTACAAACACATTTTTTGCTCATATACAGTCACTTAAAATAAATGGTTATATCAAAAAGTTGATGTTTATATCTTTTAGGGGGAGTGGGAAGGAAAAGAGCCGAAGCAAGTTTCCAATAAAGTTTGGTATTTCGTTAGACCTATCACGTGAAACGCTGGAGAGACGCATGGCGAGCCAATCGGGATTGACTGGCAAAACTGACCTTGACATTAGCATACTTCTGATGCAGTGTCTTCACAGACTCGCTCGCCTTCTCCTCCTTACACGCCAGCTCGGTCTCTAATCGATGCACCTTGTCTTCTAAACATGTCAACACACTCAACCAAATAAAGCAGTCAACTTATCGCCGGCAAATAGCGGGGGAACTATTGAACAGCAAAAACCTGTTTGTTACAAATTTCAGTAAGCTTCGCCGACAACAGGGTTGGCCTATTAACTATTGTGATTTCAAATAATGGTGCTTTAAACGATTTTTCAAGTTTTCAGATGATAATTTTTTCAAATTTCTTAGAGCAAAGAAAAGCATCAAATCAGAATTGGAACAATTTTGTGTTTTATTTGATTTTCAATAATGTTTTAAACATTTGTAATCAGTTTGAAGTTTTAGTGCAATTCAAATTCCGATGCACCCTTAGTTTAACAATGCACCCTTAGTTTAAGCGTAATTCGTGATTGACTGAAAAAAGCCAAAAAGCAGGGTATTTTGGTTCAAAATTTCCAACAGATATTCGAAAAAGAAAATTTGATCAATAATTTTGATGAAATTCTCTGCAACTTCTGTTGTCTTCGCGGATCTTTTTCCTTTAACCAACACCGGCGAATCTTTGACAAACTTGGCTTTTTTCCACTTCCCCACTCCCCCTCCAGATTTTTAAGTTTCAATTTTCTGTTGTCCTAGGAAATAAAAGTAGATATTTATTCTTTGATACGTTTGTTTTTCTCATCTCGATTCCAATTGGTTTAAGTTTGTAATTGTCTACTTTTTGATCGCACTCCATGAAGAAAATATGTATTCACAGTAGCTTATTTTTTATCATGCCAAGTTTTATAACATTTGACAACGTAAAATTAAGGTTCAAAAGTACAATAGCTGTGTCCCAGGAAAGAGCAAGTATGAAAGATGGGTCTCATAATCTTTGTTAACATTTCAAAGATACACAATAAAACAAATGCGCACTATTTGTCCTTTACCCCAGCTACAATTTTTTGCAAGTAAAATGATTGTTAACATCATTCGATAGTAATGAAAATAGACAATTAGACTAATTAAGCCCTGACAAGCATGTTTGAGCTGCATACTTATCCTTGTAAAACCATGGTTTACACCATAAAATTGATGCTCATGCGAGGTAAGAGAGAAAGAGCGCAAAAGCGAATCAGGTTTTCGAATGCCGAAAAAAATTCTTCGAAGACCAATCTAAATTTGAGTGACCCAAATATCATATTTGAACCAAAAAAAGTTTTTCAAAACTGAGAACCAAATGTTGGAGGAGGGGGCAAAAAACCGTATGATTTTGTTCATAATGTCCGTTATTCGCTAGACAAAGCCAATCGAAGATTGGAAAAGAGTAATGAACGCAAGTAAACAAAAAACACTGAATTTGTTGAAAAAATGTAAACTTTCGAATTTCAAAGAAAAAAATAGATTCGCTTTAAGCTCATTAAATTTCCAGAAATATACATGATTGACGCTTTTTTGATAACACTAACCCAACTGGAGAAAACTAGATCAATAGGTAAAGTTTTTATTCTGCTGGAAATCCAGAAAAAACTGAATTCCACTTTCGAAACTAGAGATTGTTCAAATTTTTTTGCGCAACTTTCACGTTCGTAATTGTAGAGTGCTATTTACGTAACTTTGAGCAGATGAATTGTATGTATGAATGCACATTTGTAAATTTTAGAGACTTTTAAAGACTTTTTCCTAAAAAAAAAACAAAAAAATCAGCGAGACCTATATAAGAGTCTTCACTACGTTCATTACTCTTCACTAGTCATGACAAAAAAGTTCTTCGTCACAATTTTTGGTTAAACCTCCTACTTAAACTATTAAAAAAGGATGCTTATGTGAGCTTGGGGAGGGGCAAGATACGTCATCGCTTTCAGTCTAGTGTAGCGTTATATTCACGTTTGAACCAACGGTCATTTGTATCAAAATAATAAACGAAAATTGAACTATTTCAATGGATCATAGCCGAGAGTTAATATGTGTGCTCGACAAGCGAAAAGTCGGGGTTAGAACCTCAGCAGGACCTGATATTTGTATGATCAGATCACAAACAAATTTAAAAACAATCTAGGAAAACTGATGGAAAATTACCTTTTAGCTTTTCATAATTACAAAATAATTACGTAAGTGCAGGCCAAATTACGAAACGTTTATTCATATTAATTAAACTTTGACAGTTTCGCAGCTTTATTTTAGTCTCCCGCCGGATGACAACTCTCCTAATGAACTATTTTTTTTATCAGCTAATATTGAAAATCAAATACAAGTAATTCAATCGCAGAAAGGGAAAGCTGTTATTTTCAATAAAAATCCTTATTTAAGGCATTCGACAAATTCCTGAGCTGTTTTTTACATTGTATGCTGTTTCGTTCGACAAAATGAAAACAACGAATATATTTAACAGCGCTTGGTAAAATACAATTGCAGTACTATTTCACAGTGCAATATGTATTGCAATACTTTATGGACTCGCTATACTTATTTTGATTCAAAAAATATTGCAATAAGTATCGCAATTATTGCAATTTATTTCGCAATACTTCAATTTTTTCTTGGTGAAAAAAAACAAGCTCAGAGGAAACTTTGCATTGTTTCAACGTTCCAGAATGGTGCATTAACATGAAGGAAGAGAAGCCTCTCTAGATGCAATGCAGTCATTGACTTTCTCAAATTAGTAGTAGTCAAATTTTCTCGACTAACAAAGCCGTTCCACAATATTATTGGAACTTTACTTATGATCGTTTCATGTGAACACAGGGGTCTTTGCGCAAAACGGCCCAAAATAAGTATTTTTACATCTTGATCTTAAGTTGAATCTTCTTGGTTCATTAGCCAATCAAATGCACTCAACATGGTCCAGCATTTCAATTAAAATTTAAGGCACATAAATTATTGGCCGAAATGACCAAAACGATTGAAACTTTTTCGCGTTGAAACCATTTTACTGAACTTTTTTCTTTAGGTATAACTTCACAAAAAACATGAAATTAGTTTTATTGTTTGACTAAGGTTCACATTCTCAATTACTTCGGCAAATATTTTTTTTTCTGCTGGAACAGTTGATTGGCATGCCTGACCATGTTGCTTGAGTTTGATTGGCTAATATTAGCCAATCAAATTCTGCCGCGTTTATTTTTGCTAAAAGATCTAAAGATTTTGATTTTGGGCCGTTTTGTGGTGCGTATTCATAGGTTCCAAATTGAAAAATCAGTCCCATAGACCCCAAAATAAAAACGCAGTCGCATATGTCCCAAATCTTTTCAATTGGTCAAAAAACTGAATTAGCCGAGTCTTGGTTTAAGGTCGCCGGTGGGCGCGCTACGCCGCTTCGCGGCGATAACCGGCTCTAAATTTCGTATTGAGTCCTACCCTTTGGTGGCAAGCTCGCAACACGTTGGCACGGCAGCGGTGGTCACTATTCTGCAGCTTGAGTTTATGCTGGTTGAACAGTAAACAATCAATCCATAAATTCGTTGGCTCAAATTTCAACCAATCAGAATTCAAGAAGATAAATTTTGGAACTTATGCGACTGATTTTTTATTTTGGAACCTATGAATATTGGAACCTATGAATATTGGAACCTATGAATATTGGAACCTATGAATATTGGAACCTATGAGAATTCACCCGTTTTGAGCATAAGACCCGAAGACAGATACTCTTCACGGTGAAGTCCCATTTGTACCAACGTTCATTTGTACCAAAATGAAAAATCGGTCCCATTTGTACCAAACTTATTTATCTCGTTTTCTGATTGGTCTAATTGTGAGCCAACGAATCATTAATTTAACTTTCAACTGTTCAAACAGAAGAACACTAAGCAGCAGAAAAGCGATTGACGCAGTCGTGCCAACGTGTTGCGAGCTTGCCAACAGAGGGTAGGACTCTATACGAAAATTAGAGCTGGTTATCGCCCCGAAGCGGCGACGCGCGCGTAGCGAGCCAATCGGCGACCTTAACCGAGACTCGGCTAATTTAGTCTTTTGACCAATTGAAAAGATTTGGAACTTATGCGACTGCTTTTTTATTTTGGAACCTATGGGACTGATTTTTTATTTTGGAACCTATGAATACTCACCGCTGTTTTGTCCGGTGTGCTCAGCATAGCATTGTACTGGTTACATGTCAGTATTTAGACAACCTCGTATTCAGACTGGTCAGTATTTAGACAAATGCTGTTTCAACTCAGAATCGAGACAAAGATTGTATTGTATATGTATTATTTTATTATTACTGCTTTACATGTAGTATCTATCTTGTACCAAGTATTCTGTCCGAGCGTTGATATTACGCTATTCATTCTTCATCGACAGCCCGGCTAGCTCAGTCGGTAGAGCATGGGACTCTTAATCCCAGGGTCGTGGGTTCGAGCCCCACGTTGGGCGAGCTTTTTTTGAACAAAACTTGAACTTAGAAACACTGTTTTTCTCAAATTGTGTGAAGATTAGACAAAAAAAGAAGAGAACAAAAGTTGCTTAGATTTTCATCAGAATTAATACGGTGCAATTCTTTCTCCGAAATTCTCAACCAAAATTGTACCCCAAAAATGGGTAATTTAGGCTTTTTTCAATTAATCAAAAATTCCGCTGAAACTACTTTGTTAATTGATGAGGAATATATATCACAAGCTTGGGGGGGGGGGGGGGGTGTGTGTGGAAAAGAGCCTATGAAAAACATTTTTAGTCCTCACACTTATTCTGGTAAAACCTCTCGTGGGAGATGTGAGGTGCGGGGGGGGGGAGAGAAGAGTTCCAAACTTGGATATTCGAAAAAAAAGGCATTGATGCTTGCTTACGTGAGGTAGAAACAAGAAAATCTCTTCTTATTGTGAAGAAAGAAAGAGAACCTAATCTAATGATTTCCGCACCAACTGCTTTAAATATTTTTCATATGGAAGATATTTCGGGGAATTGTAGCACAGAAGTTCCGTCGGAGAGACTACGATCGAAAGATTGTGGGTTCGAATCCCTGGCTATCGGTAGGGCTGATTGGTGTGGAGTAGTTGAAGCCCTGCGCTTGAGACGTCCAAGTGACCCTCTACATGCCTAGATCCGAACAGCCCTATAATGCGGTTGCGAAGAGCCCAGTCATACCCGCTCTTACAAATCAAGAGACTACGGGGTTCAAGGTCAAGAGACTGAGGTGTATGACTGTAACCAAGTGCTGTACCGGCGCTCGGGTCAGGGATACGATTCATACTGTGTTGCAAAGCCCCCATGTGGGAATGGCAGTTGTACCTGCCCTTACAAATCAAGAGACTACGGGGCAAAGGTCAAGAGACTGAGGGGAAGCTGCTCCACATGGAACAACATTTTTAACAGGGTTTCCTGTTTTATTTTCGTGGCTCTTTTTCCTTCCCCCCATCTCATCAATAAGCATCAATTTTATGGTGTAACGAGGGGTGAAGACCAAATACGTTTTTCATGGGCTCTTCCCCCCCCCCCCCACCCACCTTCTACGATCATTAATTTAATGGTGTAACGAGTGGTTTTACAAGGTTAAATATAAAGACCAAATGTGTTTGGCACATCCTAATGGAAGCGTTTTACAGTGCCGAAGTACAAAAGTGCCGAAAAAGGCGGGAAAACTTGAGAATTATTTACACGCATTTTTAAAGAGCGGGAAATTACTGACGCTTATTATCAGAGAAAATCGCTCCAATTTTGGCGCCAATATGTATGCAACTGCAAATTAAACAATTATTTTGCCGCCAAAACGTCTAAATTGCAAATTTTCTCGCTCAAAATCTTAAAGTCTTACTTAAGATTGCAAACGATCGCTGTTTAATTTTTGATTGCCGCACTGGGCTCTTTTTCCTTTTCCCCCCACTTGCAATTTTTTACATGTAAATTTGTTGACCACAATGTCCGATTGTTATGAAAAATTACATACAGACCAATAAGGCCACGACAAACATATTTGGTCTTCATACTCAACCTCGTAAAACCACTCGTTACACTAATATATTGAAGCTGGTGTGAGGTGGGGGGGGAAGGAAAAAGAGCCAAATTCAATTTACATACACGCATCTACTTAACAATCACCCTCCCTTTGTTTGGTGTTTACTTATAAATTGCCACCCCTATTAATAAAAGCAGTAAATTAGCGCTAGAGCTTTGTATTGAGAATTCTAATTTTGCTGCAATCTGATTGGTCAAAAATGCGTTACATTAATCTACTTAAGAATTGCCCCCTCCCCCTTTCTTAAAGAGGGGGGGGGGGCAATTATTAAATAGATCCACATACACTACCTGCGATACAACAAGTATAAGAGTAAAACAGCAAGAGACTAAAGAAATATCCAAGAGGACTTCTAACGCTGTTACTGTTGAAGAAATAACAAGTAAAAAAAATTCTTTTGTTTAAAATCATGCAAACTTTTTGAAGAGTTCCAAACGGGGTTGAAATTGAACATTCGCAAAACTGAACTTGGGGTCACAATCTTATCGTTTTCATAAACAAAGAAGGGAAATTTGTAGGAAACCAAGTACTAGGTAAACAAGCCAGTCAGAATTAAATCCGACAGCTAATCAGCTTAAACTCAAAGCTCAACTAAATATATTCGGCTAAATCGCATTGGAAAAAACATGTACTGCCCAAATGTACTGAATGAAAAATGGTTTACACAAATCGGAAATTATACCGAGAGCTTAATCGACGACCATAAAGCCAAAAAACCATCAGCAAAAATTAATACCGGCTTATGTCCCTCTTTTAAGTCCCCTAAGTCCCTCTTTCTCTCATAAATTACTCAAACAAAAATTTTTTCGTCATCAAGCGACGCAGTAAGAGGCCACAAGGTCAATATAAAATAAGCCGAAACTGATTAAGTCGGAAAAAACATGATATATCTAGTTGGTAAAATAGCAACTAAGGTAAAAATCGTTTTTCGACTTTTCCGAATTTATTAAATGCTAAAGATAACAAGCAATTACAATGAAAATCGTTTATAGTAAAAACAAACTATTCTTAGATGTGGCAACTAAGCAGGCAATACAAAAGCAGACAAAAAGTAGGCCGACAATTTTTCTTGAAACAGATTACTTCACGTTTGGAAAAAAAGAGGTCCCAGTCAAATCGGAACCCAGGACCTTTTGCCATCCCAGGTTTTTTCGTAACTTCTAGGCTAAGTGTGCAGGATACACAAAAAAATTGATTTCCTTATGAAGCAATGTACCATTAGGAGTCCAGATGACTCATGTGAACAAAGCTATTAACGGAAAAACTCTAGTATCCGATTGCAATACCCTTTCTCACGCAATGGTAGAAAAAAATCTTTTTGACTTCTGATGTTTAAAGCTGCAATAAATGTTGCCAGCGTGAACTAGTTAACAGAATGTTAATACATTTCTTAAATGCAAATTGCCGTATTCACAATTTTGCAAATATTTCATTTAGTAAATTTCACAGGAGACAGGAACAGAATCAAAACTTCAGATTTGTCTTGATCTATATAGAAAAACATTCTGTTCGAAAACAGAAACATCCAAAAGCAACTGAATGCAAAACAAGCATCTGTTAAAAAAAGCTTAGCAAGCAGTAAAAAGCCGAAAATAGTTGAGCATACACCCGTTCAGCCCAAAAAAGTTTTAATAGCACCGGCAGAAAAATCTAACACAAGAATCTATTTTCGCTCATCAAATGTCGTAAAATCAGGCAACTAAACCAATATAATCCACAGTTATTGCAAGGGTAACACAGAGGCGAAGCTGCGTTTCACATTACTTGCAATACAAAATAAGAGAGACGCTAAGTCGAAAAAAGAGAAAAAGCCGAAAAAACGAGTCAGGCTTATTTTGAAACAAAAAAAACTACCAACAACGAAATTTGAAAGAAGCAACGGAAGAAAAGTTTATAAGCGGCAACATAGCCGAAAATATCTTAGCAAAAAAACTTTCACTCGAAAAAAACTCTTAAAATACTTGAAAACTATTTAAAAATTGTTTAAGCCCCCTCCTCATTACACACGCAAACAAATAATTTATCGCTCAACAAACAACAAAATATGAGGGCAATAAGTCCATATAGTATAGGAAACGACAAAAAAAATTGCTCTGATTAAAAAATAAGCCCTGAAAATCAAACATCTAACCTACAGATTACGATTCCACGTCTGCGCCACACAAACTTAATTAAAGGCAACAACACATCAAATGAGATAGAAACATAGCCAACAGGCAGTTGGAAAAAATTCAAGTAAACAGAAATAAACTTACTTTCTGCAAAAATTTCAACTTTCCAATTTCCAAGAGAAAATAGTTAGGCTTAAAGTTTTTTTGAATTTCTAGAACGATTTACGATGGGCGTTTTTTTGATAAAATTACACCAATTTGAGAAAACTTGATCAATATATCAATTTTTTAATTCGCTGGAAAATCTGAAACTTAAATTCCATTTTGGGAACTAGAATTCGATCACGCTTTTCGCGACCTTTACACTTTTTTTGTTCAATACTAGATTCTGCCTTCCTTTTACTTTTACAAAAAAATGAATTGAATTTAAAAAGAAAACCGCAAAAAAGTAAACTTGAGCCTGAACAAATTTAAATACTGAAAAAAAATCATCGAGGCTTATATAAGAGTCTGAACTACGTTTATCGACTCTTAAAATATGTCATCAATAAACACAATGCTCACTAGCTCGCTTGTGTAAAAACTGAATCATAAGTATCACCTTTCTGTTGAAGAAACTCAAAAAGTATTAAGCACTTACCAAGCAGGCTGCCCACTGTGACTGGGTGGCCTTTGGTGGGAGAAGTGCTTCTTCTCGTGGAGTTATTGGTCGTCGTTCCCCTCATTAGGGCGGAAACAGAGTCTCTGTTGGCATTGAGGGCCCACCTCTTCTCCAACTGCGTCAGCTGCCACTGCAGTTCCCTAATATACAGAAAAAGGTAGTATATAATTAAGCCAACCGAAGTATAAACCAGTCAAAAAATATTTAATTGTTATTAAAAAGTTCAGTAACAATTATGTAACAGTTACAAAAGTCTAAAGTTTAAATCAAATGTTATAACTTTCAGTTGGTTTACATGTTCTGCGAATTTTCGGATGGTATAAATATACAATTTCGGCTTGTATATTTATGCTCAGACATCACGCCACATATTACGAGCTCAATTTACATTTCCTTGATTTCGGTTTTACCAATCCATTCCTAAATACACAGTTCGAATAGCGGGTGGCGAAACACAAGTAATTTTGGCGAAACGAATTCACATTCAAGTCATTTGAACAAAATTATACACACTGGGGCTTAAATAGTACTTACGGTGTATATCAGCGATGTCCAAGTTGGTTGCTGTGTATGTCCAAACTATTAGGGTCAAATATTTCTAAACTTCTCATGTCAAAATTGATAATTTGTGTCCACTGATCAATTTAAAAAAAAAACTTTTCCTCATTTCCATTGTATAGAAAAGATGTAAAAACAAACTCCAGAAGCCAAAGAGTCTTCTATCTTATTCTTAGGACTCAGGATGCAAGTATTAAACTTCGAATGAAGATTCGCAGCGCTGACATTAAAAACAGCAGACAGTAAAGGGAGAAACATTCTAACTTGTAAATTTAGTCTCAAACTACCTGATATTAGCTGCATCCTTGTCCTTCTGAGACATGTGGCTGCTCTTTTCAGTGGCTACTTCATGCTCCAACTCCTGAATTCGACCTTCGATTCTATCGATGTAATCTTTCTTCTCTAGCAACTCCAGCCTCATTTTTTCAACTGTTCTATTATTCACATATGCTGATACTGGAGAACTAGTTGTACTAGTCCTCGCCAACTTCGCATTGGGCGAGGGCGATAGCCTTGAAGGTGAAACTGATGAATTTTTCTTGTTTTGACCTGAGTTGACCTCTGCAGGACTTTTATGAGTATTGATTGGCACGTTTGATTCTGCTTTATGATTGGCTGTCGTGGGTGAAGATGAGGGTGAAAATGGGTTGCGCATATTGTTGTTATTGTTAGCCATCATCTGCTGTAAACCACGCAATTCGGTATCCCGGTCATCTAGCAGATCCCTAGATCAACATTAAAGAAGTGCCAGTGAACTCAAGGAAACCGAATACAATTCTTTATGAACATTTTTCAACTTACAAAAAAATCCATCATGTTAAAACTCTTTGAATTTGAAGAATCCTTTGAGCTTGACGCTTTTTTCATAAAACTAATCCAATTAGAGAATGTTGAAAATTAAAGTACCTTTTGGAAACTATGCACATTTTTTCACGCAACTTCCACTTTAGCTAATGGTGGGCGTAATTTGCCTTCCTTTTACCAAATCAGCTAAAAGTAAAAAAGAATCCAAATTTCAAACTGTGAAAAATCAGGTTTAAGCGTGAACAATTTTTAAGACAATTTCCCAAACGCCGCACGACCAAAATAAGTGATATAATCGAGAAGTAAGCAAGTAAACCCATTAACAGTTAAAACTTGAGTTTGAAAAACTGAAATTGAGATATCCAGGGTCTTATCAGTTAAAAACGAAAAAAAAAATCATTTCTGCGAATCGCAGAGGATCAATCACAGTCTATATACCCTTTAACAGAAAAACTGATAATTTCATCTACAACTACCACCTGCCAAGGGTTACACGCTTCGACATCTACAGGCAGCAATTAATGAACTTTAATAAAGTGAATATAGCGCATGCTCTTTGATAGCACATCTTCGCAACATTATTTGTTATAAATGTGGTAGTTACTTTCTATTTGTAATATTTTGTATATAGTTTGTATAAATTTTTTAAATGTCGGCTTTTTCGAAAAAAAAAATCCCGATTTTTTCATTACTTTTCTAGCCCCACCAATTCATTGTTGATTTCTTCCAAAACATTTGGAAGACCTCAGTTAGCCAATAAAAATTAGCGCCCAATCCGCAAACAAAAACTCTGATAACATATGCCAAAAAATCCTGCTTTCGCATAGTTTATGCGACGTTTGGAACACAAGCCGCGTCTTTTTGACAAACGCTATCCCCTTGAACATAGTATATTGGCGCCAGAGGCTCCTTCAAAAAATTAGGTTGGCCAGCCAAATACGGATTTTGTTAGATAACAGCACAGCCGCGAAGATTAGGGGGCTAGTTCATTTGGCAGGTCGACCTTTTAGAAGGCTACTAAATCAATGGAAAACCAAATGCGAACTTCAACTTCCGCATGGGCTAGTAGCAAAAACTTGCTCGACTGCGCTCACACTGAGCGCGAGTGGCAGAGCTAGGGTCTATCAGTGTTTGCTTCTAATCTATTCTTTATAAAAATATTTTTTTTTGACAAATTCGGAGATATTTATATAATTGGTTAAATGGGAACTCAAGCCTTCCGCACTCGAATACCAAATAACTGGACTTTTAGAAGAGTACCGAAGAAAAATTGTTTTACGATTGGCTAAAATGAACTATTTATGGATATATTTAACTTCATTCCAACTGTGTTATGGATACAACTTTGGGTTTGTTCAAATTTTAGAACGAAAAAGAACGAAAATTGTGAGGCTATTTTGTTAATTACTGTAGTAATTGAAGGGTGTAGCAATAAGCATGTGTGCCTAATAGAATCCTAAAATGCTTCATTGGGCGTTAATTCAGACAACGAACAAATTAGCTTAAACTTTCGATTAACATTTCGAAAGGCACCCTAATCTAATCAGCAAAATTGATAAAAAAACAAAGCTTGAAATAATGAGTGAGTCAACTGCATTCTTTTACATAGCTTTGCCGGAAAAAGGTTTGACTACAAATGAGGAGAGTAGTTTGTCTATTTTGCTGAAAGACAGTAACAATAAACAAAGTTTACGTCTCTTTTTGTCTGATATTTAGTTTGCGCAGCTTTATCTTTTCTTCATCAGTGTGAATAGTACAGCAAAAAATCAAGACATATAAGCAGAGACACATAGATGCAAGGAAACAGAAAAAATTGACTACTTTTTGAAAAACTTCAACTTTCAAATTTCAAAGTAAAAAATCAATGGCCTAAACTCTCTCTAAAAGTTCCATTTGAGAAAACCGGATTAATGGATAAAACTTTACTCCGCTCGGAAATCTAAAAAATTAAATTCCACTTTCAAAAGTAGAAGTCGTTAACGTTTCTTCGCGCCTTTTCCACGTTCATAATCGGAGTGCAGTTTACCTAAATTTCAGCAGCTGAATTTAAATTGAACTAAAAATTAAACTAGATGCATCAATATGTATGAATGCTTATTTGTCGTTATTAGAGCATGTTAAGACTTTTTCCTGAAAAAAAAAGAAAAAAATCACCAAGACATATTAGGAGTGCTGAAAAAAATCACCAAGACCTATTAGAAGTCTTCACTATCTTCATTAATCTGAAAAATATAACAATTTGCAACGATAATTGTTTGTTCAGAAAAATTTATAACGCCGCGCTTGGGAAAATTTTGTTTGTTTAACAAGCGGCATCAATCAAAATGGCACTTTTGTCTTTTCAACTTCCGTACATTTGAATATAATTACTTAACGTCAGTGATTTGGGATGAGGAAAAACAGTATTGACAATAACTTTTAGCACTGTTTAACATTTTGCTTTTCGGCAGTTGTACTTGGGCTATGTTGTAATGCCACTGTAAAACAAATTTAAGCAATTTTATCGAAGAGTTCGACATGATTTGAATTTCATTTCTGAATTAATTACTTCTAGCTATCCAAGTGAACGAGCATGATGAAGAGACCGAATGTTGGAAGTTTACTTTTAGTCAGTTTAAGCCAATTAGAATTGATTTTTCAAAAATCTGAGAAATCTCGACCTCAAAGAAAGCGAAAAAATCTTGGCTATTAAAACTAATTGCGAAATCGAAACCGGGTATTGAAAAAATACCTAAAACCGATTTCAACAAAAAAGAAAAAAAAATCGTTTATCTACACGAATTGTACAGCAAAACTTTGGTGTGGTGCTATAATTCGTTTCCAGTGTTTTCAGTTAATAATGACCACGGTTTTAAGTAATTCAGCCAATATAACTGTCTAACAATTCTGATTGGTCAAAACTTTTCCATCATTCGGTCCATCCATCATGAGACTACCCTCCCCAACGATTATTCACGGAAAATTGAAAGGCAAATTGAATCAAAGTCAACAGCAAAAATGCTGAGCTCTGTTGGCTGCAAAAAATTCTTTATCCAAATGAAAGATCCCCTCCCCTAATTGGTTTAGGTTGATGTTACACACTTGGGCCTTTGCGTTAGCATTGAATGCTTTGCCAATATTTTCACCTTACAGCGATGATTACCACGAAAACGTCCACACAATTAAACAAGACTTTTAACAATTTCCACGGAAAACAAGGATAGCTGGTTACTGTGAAAGTAGCACAGAATGTTCCGAACATAGTCTTTAAATATCTACAAAACACTTTTTTTCAAATTAGTATAGCTTTTTCTGCATGGTGTGATAAAAGGATCTGAAATAAAACTATACTTTAGGGATATTCGACAGTCATAGTAATATAGGCAAACCGGACAACAGTTTTTGAGAAAAAAATGACTAGAAAAACAAAACAAAAATCAAAAAACAATTCAATTGTTTTTCTTTTTTTTGCAGAAATTTTTTGAACTTTTGAAGTTTTTGATTACCCAAATGGCATTAAACATCTCCAAAAACTAATTTTACTTGAGTAATATTACATTTAAGCATCATTAAGCTATTGTAAATTGCCTATATTGAGAATAATTAAGCCTGCTTGTGAATTTTTTAATGTGGTTCAAATTCAGACTGAAAGGGCTTTAATTTGATGTATCACAGTCCGATGATTATTTGTGGTACCTGATTTGCGTGAACAAGAAAAAAAACTAAAACACACCCGAATACAAAGTTCCTCCCCATTTTCAATGGTCGGAACAATAAACAAGACCCAAGGGCTTGAAAATTAGAACTTATAAAAAAAACTCAAGGAAAAGCACTTAACTGCCATCAGACCACAGCTTTTGAGCAGCCCTTCCTTTGGTAGTATACTGCAGGTTACATATAGGCTTGAATCTGATCTGAATCAATTCAGGTGTAATAACCTCTTCGGTCTTTTTATTCACACCGGCTCAGGCGAAATCACAGTTCACTTTATATTCAAGCCACCCCCTCTTGTTTCATTAAGCACATTCTACCTTTGAAAGTAATCCCCCAATCCAATATCATATTTCAGGTGCAACAGTCCAGCCTAAATTCGGACGGATGTTCAACTAACTGCCATATCTTGAAGCCCAAATTACATCAGAATTACGTAAATTACATCACAATTTATTAACAATTGCGTAACAACAGTGACAATCTGTTATTTTGGAGCATAACAAACTTAATTTTCGGTTTGTTGGCCCTTCGGCGTTTTGGCCAGCCTACCACCTATATTCAATATCTGTCACTGGGCGTTACTCTCTAATTCAATTTTGTCGGATTAGAACGAACTATACCAGATTTACAAAAAAAAGACACATTTATACGAATTCTGCAATTTTGGTAGTTAAGAAATTTGAAGAATTTTAAAAAAAGTTTATCTACTATGAAACGGCTAGCTCTTACTTACAGCTCTTTTCTTTAATGATTTTTGCCAGCTGCGCTTTAAAGCGACAGCAAAAGTCCACGGCTTCATCGCGAAATAAAAGCGCTCATAAGTTAGCATTAGTTGTAATCTAATTTGCGAAATACTAATATTAGTACTATTATCAAATATTAGTATTTTCAGTTCATTTGTCCTGAATTATTCACTTTAGAAATCTTTTTCTGCCAATTTTTCATACGGCCAAGCCAAAACTATGATCTCCACCTTCCAGAAAAAGAGAGTCAGAATCATTTCCAATAACATACCGAACTGAAAGGAGTCTCCCTCAACTCCAAGGAAAACAAAGACAGAAGTGTCTGGAAGTGGGATTTCCAAACACCTCCAATGACCCAAGAGAGCTATAGAAATGAAGCCATGTTTATCATTCACCCTTCATGAAGCCACAAATCACTTACAACTAGATTAAACTCGACTTAACTTTTTTCTCATTTTGAACAATAAAAGTCAAATTTCTTATGCCAATATAGTGCAATCGTGAACCAGCTACATACCAGATATGAATACCTAATGTTTGGACCATTGATTATGTTAGATTTCTGTCTTTTTCACAACTTGTAGTTGTCAATCTCTTCCATACAAGTCTTTAGATTAAGAAATCGAACAGGCAAAGACGTAAAGCATTAGAAACTAAACAAGATTAACTTGTAGCAAATTTCCAACATTTGGGAAATAATTCGCTTTTTCGGCGAAGTTTCCTCGATATTTCCTTGGTGGCTTAAGTTTCTTATTACCAGCATTTTTGTTATTAGGGAACATTTGTTATCTCATAAAACGTATCTTATCCCCTGAAACGGAACAAATGTTTAACTTCAACTCCTATTCCATTCACGCCAACTTAAGTTCCTCGCATAACGAGTTTATCTAGATTCAGCTTCATTGCGTTTCCAATAACAAGTAAGTTAATATTAATTCCAAAGAATTAAACATCAAAAAAATGTCAAATTAAGTACACTTAAAAGCATTACAAGCTGATGACTATAAGCTTTAAAAAAAGTCCAGGTCATAATTGTAAAAAAAAAAGCTGTCTAATGCAAACAAAACCTGAATTGAAAGCATTTCCATTGAGAGAAAACCCACCTACTTGGCACAGATAATCGCCGATAACGAACTCTTGCTGGAGATAGTTTTTTCACTCGAGCATACTTCACTACGTAGAAATTTAACCGCCCCCGGCTCCTAATTGATTCAAGAAAATTTCAGAAAAACGCTGACTGATACATAACATAGCGGATCAGTTGAAATTATCATCGGAGTTGAATTGCATATTTCACATCATTATTTTGTATTGTTCGGGGTTTTTTTTTACCCTAGGGGAGAAATTGTTGTAACTTTCACGCGACATTTGATTAAGAAAGAGTCCATATTCCATTATTATATTTCGCCAAAAATTATTCGAATGAATTAGGAGAGTTACTCAAGAGAGGCTAGGAGGTTCTTTAACTTTTATCCAGCTATCTTTTTACAATCGATATGTTGCTTTGTTCATAAGTCGTAGTGGCCTATTGATCTGTCTGGAGATTTGTGAAGCGATATTCAGAGAGCTTCGGAATTACGAATTCCAGCTGACAGCAGTGCAATTGACTTTTTGAGGTAAGTTGAAAAAATGCGCCAAAAAAGTCTGCTTCACATTTCAAAAAGATACCACAAAATAACAAATACAGAAAAGGCCATACAATTCAGCCAAAGACAATTCAGCTGATATGAAATTCAGACAACTCAGCCAAAAATATAAAGACAATTCAGCCAACATGACAAAAATTAGAATTTCTTCTTAAATTATTTAATAGTGACCGCTGCAGTCGCGCCAACATGTTGTGAGCTTGCCAACAGAGGGTAGGGCTCTATACAAAACTTAGAGCCGATTATCGCCGCGTAGCGCGCCCACCGGCGACTTTAAATTGACAATTAACTCCAATTCCGACAAAACCAAGGCAAGTTGTTCAAATATAAAAAAGAAAGACGTTAATTTTCCCTTTGCATCCTGCCAGCCTTTGCCCCGACCCCGGCCTGAATCCTTCAATTTTTTTGCTTCTTAACTAAATGGAAGGAAATTGAACATAATGGATGATTTTACATCTCTTAATTGATTTAGTAATTCGATATAATTACTTATATTGAGAAATAAATAGGAGTAATAGGGTTCATTTAACCCCTCGTGGAAAATTTCTTATTAGTTTCAATTTTCAAATTCAATTTAAAGACGACTAAGTCAACATACATAAGTTTCATCCTCAAAACCAGACGAAACAGCATTAATGGAGTGGTATGCGCCACATTTTCATATCTAGTAGAAGGACATTTTCTCGTTCGCTTTTCATAAAACTGAGATAAAAACTTAACTTGAAACTTAACCCTCAAAATGGATATTTTGACGTGAAAAAAAATACAATTACACTTCCAAAGTTCGAACAGTATAATATTTGTGGTTAATTTTCAGCTAATTTTACACACAATTTGTATTTTTGAAGCTATTTTAAAACTTCAGAGCCTTTTATTGGTGAATCAAAACCTAATTCGTCGTCTCATTTCCACTTTCTTGTTTCATCTGCAGTTATTTTCACCTGTTGCCAGTTTTCCGGACCAGAAACTCAATCACCAGCCATTCAATTAGAAGTTAATTATCTTTGACAATCAAAATCAACTGCTGTCACACCATCAAAGGCTACAACGTCATCAATCATGTCAAATGTTGCCGCGCTTGTTATTATTGCTCTTGCCACGTTGCTGCCACTATTAAACATGGTTGCCGGCATGGACCGAGTGGAGTTCAGAAACGAGAACGATCAGCGGGGATCTATTGTGGAGATGCAAAGAAGAGACGACAACTACCTCAGAGCCACTAAGTCTCTGCCCAAAACTGCCACTCTGCCCATGAATGTATCCGTCACTATGAGGTACATTAATTCTGAATAAACTAGGCGAAAAGTTATATCATATGAATGAAATCTGTAGAACTTATGTAACTGTTACATAATTGTTACATAACTGTTATATACCACTTACGTATTTAGGGGGCTGGTTGATACTACGGCTGGTTTACATGCCACCAGGTACAGTTGCCAAGCGTAAATTGAAGCATTTTGTTGAAACTTAGTTTTACGAGCGTCCATTGCTGGCGTATAATGTACATAAAAAAATCACGTATCGAAAGCACCGAAAAATTGAACAAAAAAGACTTTCTAAAATAAATCAAAGATCAAGTAAAAATGACTTCACTGTTGAAGAAGTAATGCTGAACATGAATGGGTAGTTGAATTTTGTCACTAACTGTCCAGTTGAATTAACATTTTCATTAGTTAATCAGTGCTGAAAAAACCTAGCACCGGGGAAAAAAACCAGGCTAGAACATCGACCCTTCCCAAATTTATCACACGTTACTGAACAAAAAATGCTAAACGATTGATTGAAAAAGTCTCCCTTAGCTCTGATTCTCAAATTTTGAGCCTACCGTATTTTTAGTCTGGAAACAATCAGTGAGATCCGAACAACCCATGCGGTTATTGACCTCTACATGTCCGAAATGTGGAATGCCGGTGAGACCATCTCAGGACACCCTCCTCAAAAGCAAAACAACACAAGCTCCCCCTCCCGCCACCCCAAAAAGGTCAAGTTGAGTGGTGAGGGGAGTGATACATACACGTGGACTACAGACACTTATTTCTTGTTGGCCAAGCATGTCAAGTATTACACTGAGTCGCAGTATTTGGTCATCAAATCAGACGGAAACATACATAGAGGTAAACATAGTCTGGTCATTTGAATTCTGGTTAATTATTAAAACATTGGAAAAGAGCAGGAAAGCCAACAGACAGTTGAACAAGAGTCATAAAGGAAACAGAAAAAAGAAGCAAAATTGACTTAATTTATGGAAAAACTTTAACTTTCGAATAAAAAATCATGGCCTTATAACTCTTCAAATTTCAAGACCAATTTATGATTGAAAGTTTTCCATAAAAAAAGCAAGTCGAGAAAACTGGATCACAAGATAACTTTATAAATCCGTTCGGAATTATGAAAATTAATATTACTTTTCAAAACCTAGAGTCATTTGCGTTTTATCACGCCATTTGCACTTTTGCAATTGAAGAGGGAAATGCGTTTTCCTTGTAGAGTGAGAATTTGAGTTAAAATTTGAAGAAAATTCAAAAATCAAACAGCGAAAAAAAAAAAATTGGACTTGAAAAAAACCACACGACCTCAAGGAGTGTCTTCACTTTATTCATTGACACTTAAAAAATTAAAAAATGGTTTCAAAAAGCTGACAAGCAAGTATGGAGAAGATGTAACAATGCCCGATTTAATTTTTCACAGAGGCGAAGCAGAGTTTCGCGTCACTTGCGATACGACACAAAAAGAGCATTGCATGCACAAACGCCGGCTTTAAATAAGTCTTTAGAAACACTTATCGAGCTGCAACGAAGCCGAAAAAAGTGTTATCTCCCGTTTAGACGGAAGCAAAATGTAGAAGCAAAACTTTGAAAGGAAACATTACATTTTTACACCCCACCCTTCAAAAACACAGAAGGATAAAAATCTGTTTATCCTTCTGTGTTCAGCCACAAATCAAAAGCGACATCATAAAAACCTTTTTCAAAGCTGGCACTGGTGAGTATTTCAGTACTGGGAACATTTTTACACAATGCTCATCCGAAAAAAATAATGAACAATTAAATATTAATACATGCAGATTTTTGATCCGATAACATCTGCTGCAATGGCCTTTTTAAAAGTGTTGTTTTGAGCATGGAACACTTCAAAACTACTTAAGTGGTATTTCAAACCTTTTTTATCGAGACTTCACTTTAAAATTTACAATACACCATTACTCGTTTGGTCTAATGAACGGCCAGTCACGTTTACATGACAGGCAGTAGCAAACAATAGAACTTATGATGATAAAAACATCGACCATTATCAAATTTGCCATTCACCTTTTTGGTGTCCACCAAAAGCCACATAACAACAAAACATTACAAATCGCAGTTGAGCCTTCAGTTTTTATTGACCATTGTTTGATGCTGTAAAATGGCGGATACTCGATAAAATTCTGGCATGCCTTCAAACATTTGATTCAATGTACACAACTTCAAACATTCAATTACGTAAGCCAGTTTGATTTCAAAAATGCCACATTTTTGATTAAAAAGTATCTCTATTTGTCTCGCTCGAATGAAGTGACTAATAATTATTAGTAGATGAAACCATGTAAGTTTTCTCAGTTTCTTACCAATGTAATGTGTTTGATACTCGTGTTTGCTTTACTGACTCAAACTTCTAAATTTACATTATTTTCATAACTTCAAAAATTTATATAGCCACTGCATGTTTCTAGAATGGACAGCGGAACTGCACGTCCAAAACCCGAGATAAAAACGGACTCGAAAGGAGGTCGGAAAAACACCGACTTCATTGACCGCATCTCTCACATAGGACACATGTTGACCACGCCTCAAATGTACAGGTAATGGGATTCCCTTCCACTCCGTTCCCCCATTTGTAATTTTTTTGGTTGGACCACAGATTTTCAGAAAAAACGCGAGGACAAACGCAAAATCAAAACTGGAAAGAGGGTATTGCACTAATTTAATCTACCTTTTCCCCCCAATTTCGCACAAGTTAGCTGAAATAGTTTCATCCTAAACTGCTTAAAGTAGAACCCATGTTTAGGTTGCGGAAAGAAGGCCGCAGTACGACTGTGCGTCCCGAGAGCGCACATGCCGAGATCGACGCCACTCCAGTTAGACCTGGAACATCCGTCGGACCCTTTAAGTGCAATGCCGCATTTGAGCCAATCAGAAAGATAGAGCAGTCACGCGAGGCAATCAATGTATTCCAACCAATTTCAGAGAACATAAACCCACAGGAAGACGAAAGTCCACCGAGCCGAAGAGATTCCAAGAATTCGTTCAAAATTCGGGACTCCAGGAAAAGCCAATCAACTATACTACGCAAAAGATCTTCTGGAAATATTATGAACTTCGAAAGAGGTGGTAAAAATTCCAATAATAATGTCATGTTTTGCCAGTCTAAAACTGGAAGGAATCTGAGCATATCAACGTCATCATTTATGAAATCTGGATGCACAAATTTGGATAGTTTCGAAAATTCAACCTCGACCTTTGACAACAGCGGCACCAGCGACAACAACTCACGAAACTATCCCACCCTTCGGAAACCAATTTTCACGCCTGTCCGTCCTAAAAGCGTGAACAATTTAGTACCTACAAACACGCAAGACATGACATCTGCGGTTAGTAACTTGAACACTTCGGGGACGATGCTGAGTTCGACTAGACATCTCGGAGGAGTGAGTTTGCAAACTAGGAAAATAATGGGTCGGCTGTGTAAATCGAAAGACAGTCTGCACAACATGTCTATGACCGAAGACGACATCAGAAGTGAGAGAGGAGAGGATAATAAAAAGCATCGGAAGCACTCTCTAGGAGTGGAGCTCACGACTCTCAAGAATCCGAAAAACATTACTCAAGAGTCAGAAGAGTTGGAAAGTTCAGATGATGATAGCGAGTCCTCCAAAAGGTTAGAAATGCATTGTCAAACAAGTGAGTTCAATATCAAAGACTCAAGGCATCCGGTATCGAAATTTGAGTTCAAACCAGTTACTACAAAAATCGAAAAATATAGAGCAAGTTTTGTTTTTCGTTTCTATAATTTTCAATGACAATCATCAGCTTGTTCTATTGTCATAACTGTCCGAGCCATTCATATTTCAACTCCAACTTTAACCCAGTAGATGATTCATGATCGCATATTCAATGAATTTTCTTCGTAGACAGTAAGCCGATAACCTCATCTATTGTTAAATTTAGTCTCTATTTAGCAGAGAAAAAGTAATGGAATGGCTCAGTGTGCAACAGAACGTGGTCACACCCGATCTTCTAGCCCATTGCGAGCCCATATCGAGCACAGTAGCAGAACAACCTTCAACTAGCAACGATCAGACTAAAATGGGAAAAACAGTAGCATTTAAACCAGGTACCGTCATAGCCCCAACACTGACAACAACAGGTGTTGCGGATGGAAACAATAGTGAAGACGACTACGAGAGGGCGTTAGCGCGGCAGATGAGTTTCAGCGGGTCGACAACGGTCATTCCCAAGGAGGATGATGAAGTCGTGGGGGAGACTGATATAAGAGTGAACAGATATGAGCAGTCGTTAGTGAAGTACATTGAGCAATTGCAGGGCAGATTTGATCATCTGGAGACAGAAACCAACAGGGTATGAATTTCATCATGGGATATTTTAAGTCTTAATGGTAAGAAAACACTTGCAGCTCTGAATAAGAAGCATCCAAGACCACAACCAGTATTGTTCATTTTGAAAACCTATCAAGTTGATATAAATATTTTTTCGACGGTAAAAAAAACTTTTGCACAAAATCCTCAGCAATAAATTTTTAAGAGCAAAGTAGCTCATCAATTTCACGATAGCATTAGTTGGTTATAAGAATATAAGAAAAAATATTGGCTGGGAAATATGTAGAATACCGTAATTTTAAGCGAAGATTACTACAAATCCATACAACATCGGCTATAATATATTGAATATATTTTTCTTCAGGTAGTTTCTGAGTTTGAGACTATGAACAAGAAATGGGCGCTAGACAAAGAGCGTCTCGAAATAACACAGCAGGAGCGAATCATTCTCTGTGAGCGAAATGTATTCATGCGTCGTCAGCGAGATGTCGACAAACAGCGTCTACAAAGCGCACTCAAACAATACCATTCCGTTCATCGAGATACCAGTAATGTATCACGTTTGAACCCTGGATTCGGCATTACGTCACATGATGTCAGAAGTGACGTCAGACTCAGTGGGGCTGCGTCATTGGATAGTAGAAACGACGTCAGTGATATGGATGATGCAATTACCCAGGTGGAGACTTTGTTGATGAATTTGGGAAGGATTTCGCATTCTTCTGAATGTGAACAAACAATGGGAATGGGTGATCGAAAAAACGATGGAAATAAGCGATGCTCCAAACAGGAGAACAGTGAATATTTACAAGGCTAGTATTTTATTGCGTTTTCAAGAACTAAAAAAATGGAATTTTTTGAAAAACGGTATTTCAAATGCGTTTTAAAAAACTAAGCTACTCCAGCCAAAAAGAAAGAAAAAGTTGTTTTCAAAAAGATTAAAGTTACCATTGATCAGCCGTTACTTAGGTTCACATCATTACTCAGGGTAGCTATCTATTAAACAATTGAGAAAAAAGATACTTAAAAATTATATGAAATGATTTGGTGATAGTTTCGTCATTCTCTAATTAACATAACGCCATAACGTGCTTTTCAGACATGCACGACGAGTTGAATAGCACGCGGTTATCGCTTACCATGACTGAGAATCGAAACCATTACCTGTCACAAGAGATAGCCAGTCTAACCATCCAGCTCAAAAACTCCAACCGCACAATCGAAAACCTACGCAAACACCGCGACGAACAAAAGCACGCAATCAAACAAGTCCTCGAAATGAGCAACTTCAAAACACGCAACGAGACCAACGCTAGTTTAGGTCATGGCTCATGTGACGAAAGCTCAAGCGTTTTAACACAAACAATTTGCTCGCGAGTTAGCAAATCGGATTTCTTCATCAAAGATCTGGAAAAACTCCTGGCGCAAGGCGAAGTCACAAAAATCAACTCACATGAGCTAATTGATGACATTACGTCATTGATTGATGATTATTATGTAACAATTCCTGGACAAATTGGCGGCTCTGATAGCACAGGCACTCCAGTTATGAGTCATCGCAGAAGACAGAGTTTAAAGAAAGGTGTTGAAAATGGAGAAAAACTCAAACGAATGTTAACATCACATCAATTAGACTTCATCTAATATTGCAATTCTAAACCAATAGTTATATGTAGTTTCATAGATCAGTTTTCCACGTAGAGAATAAAATCAATTCTGTCAACTTTGGATATGTAAGCCTTTTTAATGAGAAAACGATTTGACCTCAAGATTTGAACAAAGTCGAAGTAATCTGCGCGAAAATAGCGATACAGAAATAAGTTATAAAAACAAATCTGACGCTAAAAAAAAAAAATTATACGCAGAGGCGAAGCTGCACTTCGCAAACACCAGCAAGAAAACGCTAAAATTAAGAGAAAAAAACAGTCAAAATAAAAAACTAATCAATTTTGAAAAATAAATGCCCTCAGCTTGAATAAATCTGTCCTGGAACATCGAAATTTTCCAGTTTACGGCTCAACCTAACTGTACCACTGACGCTTATAAAAAGCGTAGAAATGGAGCTACACAAAAGTATAAAAACACAAATTTAGGACGCAATTGATTGGACTGTTGTAAGTTGAAGGCAACTACAGTAATTAACTTGAAAGCAGACATCGAAAAATTTTATATTCGAGAAACATATTGGGTTCGAAATTTTCTGAAAAAGATTTTTATTGTATTGTTATAAGAAACTTATAGCTTTCTTAGTTTCATTTGATTAATTAAAAACGGATCAACTGTGTTAGCATATTATAATTAAATCTCATCATACATGGTATTAAAAAACCAGCTAAGCCTTCTGCTTAAAAACCACCAGAAATAGCACTAATATTTGCAACAAAGGTTTGGCAATACAAAAAAGTAGCCTTGTAGTTGTTTTGTAGTATCACACTAAGATTCATTTGCGCTGAAATTAAATTGAAAATGTACTTCGCATACTAATCCCAAAAGGGAAAAATCCTCAAAAAAATAACGATGTTGAACATTCGTTATTGGAGAGCGTTATTTGCCCACCTTTGAGCAAACTAATTTGAATTGAACTTCGCAAAGACAAGCATCAAAAGGCATCAAAGAAATAAATCTAAAAAGTAGCTTTCGGAAATTAAATATCGGAAAAATTGTGTTTTAACAAAAACGATAGCCAACAAACAGTTGGAACAGAGCCAATGAACAAATGTAAGCAGAAAAAACTGACTGAATTGTTTTTTTGAAAAAAAAATCAACTTTCGATTTTCCGAGAAAAAACAGATAGCTTTAAAGCTCATTGAATTTCTAGCTCTTTGAACAATTAATGAATGACACTTTATGATGAAATTAACCCAATTTGAGAAAACTCAATCAATATGTAAAAACTTTATTTCTCTAAAAAATCTGATTACTTAACTCCATTTTCGAAATTAGAAGACACCATTTTCTAAATTAGAAGTCAATCACGTTTTTCGTGATCTTTACACTTTCGCTGGTCGATAGTGGAGATTTCAAAAACTTTCGCTGGTCGATAGCGGAGACTTCAAAAAAACAAAAAAAAATCATCGCGACATATATGAAAGCCTAAGCTACGTTCATTGACTCTTAATAGTTAACAAAACTATCAAAAAAATGCCTCACTTTAGAGCTAAAAAAATAATTGATATTGAAATTGTTTGAACAGCACATAGCTATAATATAGTAAAAACTGATTGAAAAAATAACAAAACTGACTGCTAAAAACTGCTTCCACTTTCGAAATAAAAGTATAGCTCAAGTTTTCTCAAATAACATGTTTCATAGAAAAGTTACTTTACTTCAAAGCTTTTATTAATAATTTTTTTGATTAAGCAAATCCAATTTCAGAAAATTGAATCTTGGGAAACAACTATTGCAATTGAAAACACAAATAAATCAAGGAGACTGGAAAACAGAACTGGCTTTTCGGAGACATTTTTCAATTGTTGAGTTTCAAAGAGAACATTGGAGCTTTATTTTTTTAAGATAAAACTAACCCAAGTTAACTAAGTCAAAAGGTTAAAACCACTTTCAAAACTAAACATCGATTATGTTTTCTTGCTCTATTTGCACTGTCGTTTTTGGAGAGTCTCAAAAAAAAGCTTCGCTCAAGAAAATAGCTCTGGAATGTGGGGAAATAATACAAACGAAAAATGCTTAAACAGGTCTGAAAACCTTTCATAGATCCTCTACGAATAGCAAAAACCACAATTATTACCTTCAATTAAAAGCCAACTTACAGTTGGAAAAGAGTAATGAACGCAAGGAAACTTAAAAAAACTTGTTTTTTCAAGAGCCTTCAACTTTTGAATTTCGAAGAGAAAAATAGCTGGCCTTAAAACTCCTTGAATTTGTAGAACAATTTTTAATGGGCACTTTTTTGTTACAGTAATTAATTTGAAAGCAGACATCGAAAAATTTTATATTCGAGAAACATATTGGGTTCGAAATTTTCTGAAAAAGATTTTTATTGTATTGTTATAAGAAACTTAGAGCTTTCTTAGTTTCATTTGATTAATTAAAAACGGATCAACTGTGTTAGCATATTATAATTAAATCTCAACATACATGGTATTAAAAAACCAGCTAAGCCTTCTGCTTAAAAAACCACCAGAAATAGCACTAATATTTGCAACAAAGGTTTGGCAATACAAAAAAGTAGCCTTGTAGTTGTTTTGTAGTATCACACTAAGATTCATTTGCGCTGAAATTAAATTGAAAATGTACTTCGCATACTAATCCCAAAAGGGAAAAATCCTCAAAAAAATAACGATGTTGAACATTCGTTATTGGAGAGCGTTATTTGCCCACCTTTGAGCAAACTAATTTGAATTGAACTTCGCAAAGACAAGCATCAAAAGGCATCAAAGAAATAAATCTAAAAAGTAGCTTTCGGAAATTAAATATCGGAAAAATAGTGTTTTAACAAAAACGATAGCCAACAAACAGTTGGAACAGAGCCAATGAACAAATGTAAGCAGAAAAAACTGACTGAATTGTTTTTTTGAAAAAAAAATCAACTTTCGATTTTCCGAGAAAAAACAGATAGCTTTAAAGCTCTTTGAATTTCTAGCTCTTTGAACAATTATTGAATGACACTTTATGATGAAATTAACCCAATTTGAGAAAACTCAATCAATATGTAAAAACTTTATTTCTCTAAAAAATCTGATTACTTAACTCCATTTTCGAAATTAGAAGACACCATTTTCTAAATTAGAAGTCAATCACGTTTTTCGTGATCTTTACACTTTCGCTGGTCGATAGTGGAGATTTCAAAAACTTTCGCTGGTCGATAGCGGAGACTTCAAAAAAACAAAAAAAAATCATCGCGACATATATGAAAGCCTAAGCTACGTTCATTGACTCTTAATAGTTAAAAAACTATCAAAAAATTGCCTCACTTTAGAGCTAAAAAAATAATTGATATTGAAATTGTTTGAACAGCACATAGCTATAATATAGTAAAAACTGATTGAAAAAATAACAAAACTGACTGCTAAAAACTGCTTCCACTTTCGAAATAAAAGTATAGCTCAAGTTTTCTCAAATAACATGTTTCATAGAAAAGTTACTTTACTTCAAAGCTTTTATTAATAATTTTTTTGATTAAGCAAATCCAATTTCAGAAAATTGAATCTTGGGAAACAACTATTGCAATTGAAAACACAAATAAATCAAGGAGACTGGAAAACAGAACTGGCTTTTCGGAGACATTTTTCAATTGTTGAGTTTCAAAGAGAACATTGGAGCTTTATTTTTTTAAGATAAAACTAACCCAAGTTAACTAAGTCAAAAGGTTAAAACCACTTTCAAAACTAAACATCGATTATGTTTTCTTGCTCTATTTGCACTGTCGTTTTTGGAGAGTCTCAAAAAAAAGCTTCGCTCAAGAAAATAGCTCTGGAATGTGGGGAAATAATACAAACGAAAAATGCTTAAACAGGTCTGAAAACCTTTCATAGATCCTCTACGAATAGCAAAAACCACAATTATTACCTTCAATTAACATAGCCAACTTACAGTTGGAAAAGAGTAATGAACGCAAGGAAACTTAAAAAAACTTGTTTTTTCAAGAGCCTTCAACTTTTGAATTTCGAAGAGAAAAATAGCTGGCCTTAAAACTCCTTGAATTTGTAGAACAATTTTTAATGGGCACTTTTTTGTTAAAATTAACCCAATTAGAGAAAACTGGATCAATACGTAAAACTTCTATTTCGCTGGGAAATCTGATAATTAATTTCCATTTTCGAAATCAGAAGTCGATCACGTTTTTCGTGATCTTTACACTTTTGCTGTTCAATAGTGGAGTTTGCCTTCCTTTTAACAATGTAAATACACTGATTTAAAAAGAAATCAAAGTCAAGCCGCGAAAAATCAAAATTGAACGTGAACAAATTTCAAGACTTTTTCCCTACAAAAAATATCATTAAGACCTATATAAGAGTACTCAGTACGTTCATTACTCTTAATAACTGCCTCAACTTTGTTTATCAACACTTAAAAAGCCAAACTTCGCTTTCAAAACTAAAAGTCAAGCTTCCTTTTTCCTCCACTTTGACTTACTAGTTTTTATGGGTTTATTTGATGCAGTCGACTGGTTCTTCAACTGTCGCTTCAAATCAGCCACTTGAGCTTCCAACTGAGCCACTTTATCATTCGCCCGCTGCCGTGTCGCCTAAAATTATTAATTCATTTCTGACCATCCCGATCTGAAATATCGAAGCTGCTGCATCTGCTCTTCCGACAGATAGTATGTGAAAAAACTACCAGTAGCTTACAGATATCTATTATCACCAAGTTCAAAAACATCACTTTGAAAATTTGTCTAATCTCATCAGTTGAACAATGTCGAGAAAAATCTCATTTTTCGTGTGGCAGATGTTTAAAATTCAAATCGCAGAACTATTATAAGAAGCAGCAAAACGTTTAAATCCAGTGCGCTTACCTCCAGCTCCTGTTCGAGATAGACACTGTTGCGAGGTGACTTGCTCCTCGCTCTCTTCCCTTCGTCCATCTCCAGTGATGTCCGTACATGGTCCTTGTCCAGGTCCTTGTGGTTGGGTCCCAGAGTTGCAGCTGCTAACTCATTCCTCGCCACGCTCAATTCAGATTCCAACTTCTTCACTTTGAACTCGTATTGAGTCTGCAAAACAAAAAAGCTAAACATTTGATTTTTTAAAAATCCAAAACTTAAGACGTTCTTTGAGTTAAACCTTTGGTATTTTCAATAGACCTCTCCTAAGAACCTAAAATGGCCAAATCGAACTTCGAGTAGAATAAATGAATCTGATTGCTTACATGAATCTACTGGCAACTGAATTTGACGCATGAGTATACGTTAATCCGATCTCAAAATTAGGGGAGAGTAATCGAAAAGACCTATTTTCCATTTTTCCGAAATGAACAATAATTCCTCATTGAATTCCACCATAACCTTTCAGCATCTCATGTTTTTCTGTATAGCAGGATTGAAATTTCACATTTATAGGAATACCTTATATACTAATCTATCAATCCCATATGTACATTGAAATAGATAAACATTAAGAAATCGACAGTATTAGCCATCTTCAGAAGCCATATTGAAAACAGCTTGGATGTTACTGAAACAAAATCGCTCTTGGCCGATCAACCTACCAGCCTTTAAGCCATGCCCACCCGTCAATACCTCCATTTAATCTATATCTCTCGGTTAAAAAAACCTGTATACCCAGTTCAGCTGCGCAACACTTTTCATTTACTCCGCCAAAAAAATTGTAATCCTCCGCAGCTCTTCTCCCGTTTCTTCCCAACAAATTGCAATTTTTTAAGTAAATTTGTTCGCTGGTCATTAAAATTGGCAACTGACTTAATTACCGAATTACAAACACATTTTTTGCTCATATACAGTCACTTAAAATAAATGGTTATATCAAAAAGTTGATGTTTATATCTTTTAGGGGGAGTGGGAAGGAAAAGAGCCGAAGCAAGTTTCCAATAAAGTTTGGTATTTCGTTAGACCTATCACGTGAAACGCTGGAGAGACGCATGGCGAGCCAATCGGGATTGACTGGCAAAACTGACCTTGACATTAGCATACTTCTGATGCAGTGTCTTCACAGACTCGCTCGCCTTCTCCTCCTTACACGCCAGCTCGGTCTCTAATCGATGCACCTTGTCTTCTAAACATGTCAACACACTCAACCAAATAAAGCAGTCAACTTATCGCCGGCAAATAGCGGGGGAACTATTGAACAGCAAAAACCTGTTTGTTACAAATTTCAGTAAGCTTCGCCGACAACAGGGTTGGCCTATTAACTATTGTGATTTCAAATAATGGTGCTTTAAACGATTTTTCAAGTTTTCAGATGATAATTTTTTCAAATTTCTTAGAGCAAAGAAAAGCATCAAATCAGAATTGGAACAATTTTGTGTTTTATTTGATTTTCAATAATGTTTTTAACATTTGTAATCAGTTTGAAGTTTTAGTGCAATTCAAATTCCGATGCACCCTTAGTTTAACAATGCACCCTTAGTTTAAGCGTAATTCGTGATTGACTGAAAAAAGCCAAAAAGCAGGGTATTTTGGTTCAAAATTTCCAACAGATATTCGAAAAAGAAAATTTGATCAATAATTTTGATGAAATTCTCTGCAACTTCTGTTGTCTTCGCGGATCTTTTTCCTTTAACCAACACCGGCGAATCTTTGACAAACTTGGCTTTTTTCCACTTCCCCACTCCCCCTCCAGATTTTTAAGTTTCAATTTTCTGTTGTCCTAGGAAATAAAAGTAGATATTTATTCTTTGATACGTTTGTTTTTCTCATCTCGATTCCAATTGGTTTAAGTTTGTAATTGTCTACTTTTTGATCGCACTCCATGAAGAAAATATGTATTCACAGTAGCTTATTTTTTATCATGCCAAGTTTTATAACATTTGACAACGTAAAATTAAGGTTCAAAAGTACAATAGCTGTGTCCCAGGAAAGAGCAAGTATGAAAGATGGGTCTCATAATCTTTGTTAACATTTCAAAGATACACAATAAAACAAATGCGCACTATTTGTCCTTTACCCCAGCTACAATTTTTTGCAAGTAAAATGATTGTTAACATCATTCGATAGTAATGAAAATAGACAATTAGACTAATTAAGCCCTGACAAGCATGTTTGAGCTGCATACTTATCCTTGTAAAACCATGGTTTACACCATAAAATTGATGCTCATGCGAGGTAAGAGAGAAAGAGCGCAAAAGCGAATCAGGTTTTCGAATGCCGAAAAAAATTCTTCGAAGACCAATCTAAATTTGAGTGACCCAAATATCATATTTGAACCAAAAAAAGTTTTTCAAAACTGAGAACCAAATGTTGGAGGAGGGGGCAAAAAACCGTATGATTTTGTTCATAATGTCCGTTATTCGCTAGACAAAGCCAATCGAAGATTGGAAAAGAGTAATGAACGCAAGTAAACAAAAAACACTGAATTTGTTGAAAAAATGTAAACTTTCGAATTTCAAAGAAAAAAATAGATTCGCTTTAAGCTCATTAAATTTCCAGAAATATACATGATTGACGCTTTTTTGATAACACTAACCCAACTGGAGAAAACTAGATCAATAGGTAAAGTTTTTATTCTGCTGGAAATCCAGAAAAAACTGAATTCCACTTTCGAAACTAGAGATTGTTCAAATTTTTTTGCGCAACTTTCACGTTCGTAATTGTAGAGTGCTATTTACGTAACTTTGAGCAGATGAATTGTATGTATGAATGCACATTTGTAAATTTTAGAGACTTTTAAAGACTTTTTCCTAAAAAAAAAACAAAAAAATCAGCGAGACCTATATAAGAGTCTTCACTACGTTCATTACTCTTCACTAGTCATGACAAAAAAGTTCTTCGTCACAATTTTTGGTTAAACCTCCTACTTAAACTATTAAAAAAGGATGCTTATGTGAGCTTGGGGAGGGGCAAGATACGTCATCGCTTTCAGTCTAGTGTAGCGTTATATTCACGTTTGAACCAACGGTCATTTGTATCAAAATAATAAACGAAAATTGAACTATTTCAATGGATCATAGCCGAGAGTTAATATGTGTGCTCGACAAGCGAAAAGTCGGGGTTAGAACCTCAGCAGGACCTGATATTTGTATGATCAGATCACAAACAAATTTAAAAACAATCTAGGAAAACTGATGGAAAATTACCTTTTAGCTTTTCATAATTACAAAATAATTACGTAAGTGCAGGCCAAATTACGAAACGTTTATTCATTTTAATTAAACTTTGACAGTTTCGCAGCTTTATTTTAGTCTCCCGCCGGATGACAACTCTCCTAATGAACTATTTTTTTTATCAGCTAATATTGAAAATCAAATACAAGTAATTCAATCGCAGAAAGGGAAAGCTGTTATTTTCAATAAAAATCCTTATTTAAGGCATTCGACAAATTCCTGAGCTGTTTTTTACATTGTATGCTGTTTCGTTCGACAAAATGAAAACAACGAATATATTTAACAGCGCTTGGTAAAATACAATTGCAGTACTATTTCACAGTGCAATATGTATTGCAATACTTTATGGACTCGCTATACTTATTTTGATTCAAAAAAATATTGCAATAAGTATCGCAATTATTGCAATTTATTTCGCAATACTTCAATTTTTTCTTGGTGAAAAAAACAAGCTCAGAGGAAACTTTGCATTGTTTCAACGTTCCAGAATGGTGCATTAACATGAAGGAAGAGAAGCCTCTCTAGATGCAATGCAGTCATTGACTTTCTCAAATTAGTAGTAGTCAAATTTTCTCGACTAACAAAGCCGTTCCACAATATTATTGGAACTTTACTTATGATCGTTTCATGTGAACACAGGGGTCTTTGCGCAAAACGGCCCAAAATAAGTATTTTTACATCTTGATCTTAAGTTGAATCTTCTTGGTTCATTAGCCAATCAAATGCACTCAACATGGTCCAGCATTTCAATTAAAATTTAAGGCACATAAATTATTGGCCGAAATGACCAAAACGATTGAAACTTTTTCGCGTTGAAACCATTTTACTGAACTTTTTTCTTTAGGTATAACTTCACAAAAAACATGAAATTAGTTTTATTGTTTGACTAAGGTTCACATTCTCAATTACTTCGGCAAATATTTTTTTTTCTGCTGGAACAGTTGATTGGCATGCCTGACCATGTTGCTTGAGTTTGATTGGCTAATATTAGCCAATCAAATTCTGCCGCGTTTATTTTTGCTAAAAGATCTAAAGATTTTGATTTTGGGCCGTTTTGTGGTGCGTATTCATAGGTTCCAAATTGAAAAATCAGTCCCATAGACCCCAAAATAAAAACGCAGTCGCATATGTCCCAAATCTTTTCAATTGGTCAAAAAACTGAATTAGCCGAGTCTTGGTTTAAGGTCGCCGGTGGGCGCGCTACGCCGCTTCGCGGCGATAACCGGCTCTAAATTTCGTATTGAGTCCTACCCTTTGGTGGCAAGCTCGCAACACGTTGGCACGGCAGCGGTGGTCACTATTCTGCAGCTTGAGTTTATGCTGGTTGAACAGTAAACAATCAATCCATAAATTCGTTGGCTCAAATTTCAACCAATCAGAATTCAAGAAGATAAATTTTGGAACTTATGCGACTGATTTTTTATTTTGGAACCTATGAATATTGGAACCTATGAATATTGGAACCTATGAATATTGGAACCTATGAATATTGGAACCTATGAATATTGGAACCTATGAGAATTCACCCGTTTTGAGCATAAGACCCGAAGACAGATACTCTTCACGGTGAAGTCCCATTTGTACCAACGTTCATTTGTACCAAAATGAAAAATCGGTCCCATTTGTACCAAACTTATTTATCTCGTTTTCTGATTGGTCTAATTGTGAGCCAACGAATCATTAATTTAACTTTCAACTGTTCAAACAGAAGAACACTAAGCAGCAGAAAAGCGATTGACGCAGTCGTGCCAACGTGTTGCGAGCTTGCCAACAGAGGGTAGGACTCTATACGAAAATTAGAGCTGGTTATCGCCCCGAAGCGGCGACGCGCGCGTAGCGAGCCAATCGGCGACCTTAACCGAGACTCGGCTAATTTAGTCTTTTGACCAATTGAAAAGATTTGGAACTTATGCGACTGCTTTTTTATTTTGGAACCTATGGGACTGATTTTTTATTTTGGAACCTATGAATACTCACCGCTGTTTTGTCCGGTGTGCTCAGCATAGCATTGTACTGGTTACATGTCAGTATTTAGACAACCTCGTATTCAGACTGGTCAGTATTTAGACAAATGCTGTTTCAACTCAGAATCGAGACAAAGATTGTATTGTATATGTATTATTTTATTATTACTGCTTTACATGTAGTATCTATCTTGTACCAAGTATTCTGTCCGAGCGTTGATATTACGCTATTCATTCTTCATCGACAGCCCGGCTAGCTCAGTCGGTAGAGCATGGGACTCTTAATCCCAGGGTCGTGGGTTCGAGCCCCACGTTGGGCGAGCTTTTTTTGAACAAAACTTGAACTTAGAAACACTGTTTTTCTCAAATTGTGTGAAGATTAGACAAAAAAAGAAGAGAACAAAAGTTGCTTAGATTTTCATCAGAATTAATACGGTGCAATTCTTTCTCCGAAATTCTCAACCAAAATTGTACCCCAAAAATGGGTAATTTAGGCTTTTTTCAATTAATCAAAAATTCCGCTGAAACTACTTTGTTAATTGATGAGGAATATATATCACAAGCTTGGGGGGGGGGGGGGTGTGTGGAAAAGAGCCTATGAAAAACATTTTTAGTCCTCACACTTATTCTGGTAAAACCTCTCGTGGGAGATGTGAGGTGCGGGGGGGGGGGGGGAGAGAAGAGTTCCAAACTTGGATATTCGAAAAAAAAGGCATTGATGCTTGCTTACGTGAGGTAGAAACAAGAAAATCTCTTCTTATTGTGAAGAAAGAAAGAGAACCTAATCTAATGATTTCCGCACCAACTGCTTTAAATATTTTTCATATGGAAGATATTTCGGGGAATTGTAGCACAGAAGTTCCGTCGGAGAGACTACGATCGAAAGATTGTGGGTTCGAATCCCTGGCTATCGGTAGGGCTGATTGGTGTGGAGTAGTTGAAGCCCTGCGCTTGAGACGTCCAAGTGACCCTCTACATGCCTAGATCCGAACAGCCCTATAATGCGGTTGCGAAGAGCCCAGTCATACCCGCTCTTACAAATCAAGAGACTACGGGGTTCAAGGTCAAGAGACTGAGGTGTATGACTGTAACCAAGTGCTGTACCGGCGCTCGGGTCAGGGATACGATTCATACTGTGTTGCAAAGCCCCCATGTGGGAATGGCAGTTGTACCTGCCCTTACAAATCAAGAGACTACGGGGCAAAGGTCAAGAGACTGAGGGGAAGCTGCTCCACATGGAACAACATTTTTAACAGGGTTTCCTGTTTTATTTTCGTGGCTCTTTTTCCTTCCCCCCATCTCATCAATAAGCATCAATTTTATGGTGTAACGAGGGGTGAAGACCAAATACGTTTTTCATGGGCTCTTCCCCCCCCCCCCCACCCACCTTCTACGATCATTAATTTAATGGTGTAACGAGTGGTTTTACAAGGTTAAATATAAAGACCAAATGTGTTTGGCACATCCTAATGGAAGCGTTTTACAGTGCCGAAGTACAAAAGTGCCGAAAAAGGCGGGAAAACTTGAGAATTATTTACACGCATTTTTAAAGAGCGGGAAATTACTGACGCTTATTATCAGAGAAAATCGCTCCAATTTTGGCGCCAATATGTATGCAACTGCAAATTAAACAATTATTTTGCCGCCAAAACGTCTAAATTGCAAATTTTCTCGCTCAAAATCTTAAAGTCTTACTTAAGATTGCAAACGATCGCTGTTTAATTTTTGATTGCCGCACTGGGCTCTTTTTCATTTTCCCCCCACTTGCAATTTTTTACATGTAAATTTGTTGACCACAATGTCCGATTGTTATGAAAAATTACATACAGACCAATAAGGCCACGACAAACATATTTGGTCTTCATACTCAACCTCGTAAAACCACTCGTTACACTAATATATTGAAGCTGGTGTGAGGTGGGGGGGGGGGGGGGAAGGAAAAAGAGCCAAATTCAATTTACATACACGCATCTACTTAACAATCACCCTCCCTTTGTTTGGTGTTTACTTATAAATTGCCACCCCTATTAATAAAAGCAGTAAATTAGCGCTAGAGCTTTGTATTGAGAATTCTAATTTTGCTGCAATCTGATTGGTCAAAAATGCGTTACATTAATCTACTTAAGAATTGCCCCCTCCCCCTTTCTTAAAGAGGGGGGGGGGGGCAATTATTAAATAGATCCACATACACTACCTGCGATACAACAAGTATAAGAGTAAAACAGCAAGAGACTAAAGAAATATCCAAGAGGACTTCTAACGCTGTTACTGTTGAAGAAATAACAAGTAAAAAAAAATTCTTTTGTTTAAAATCATGCAAACTTTTTGAAGAGTTCCAAACGGGGTTGAAATTGAACATTCGCAAAACTGAACTTGGGGTCACAATCTTATCGTTTTCATAAACAAAGAAGGGAAATTTGTAGGAAACCAAGTACTAGGTAAACAAGCCAGTCAGAATTAAATCCGACAGCTAATCAGCTTAAACTCAAAGCTCAACTAAATATATTCGGCTAAATCGCATTGGAAAAAACATGTACTGCCCAAATGTACTGAATGAAAAATGGTTTACACAAATCGGAAATTATACCGAGAGCTTAATCGACGACCATAAAGCCAAAAAACCATCAGCAAAAATTAATACCGGCTTATGTCCCTCTTTTAAGTCCCCTAAGTCCCTCTTTCTCTCATAAATTACTCAAACAAAAATTTTTTCGTCATCAAGCGACGCAGTAAGAGGCCACAAGGTCAATATAAAATAAGCCGAAACTGATTAAGTCGGAAAAAACATGATATATCTAGTTGGTAAAATAGCAACTAAGGTAAAAATCGTTTTTCGACTTTTCCGAATTTATTAAATGCTAAAGATAACAAGCAATTACAATGAAAATCGTTTATAGTAAAAACAAACTATTCTTAGATGTGGCAACTAAGCAGGCAATACAAAAGCAGACAAAAAGTAGGCCGACAATTTTTCTTGAAACAGATTACTTCACGTTTGGAAAAAAAGAGGTCCCAGTCAAATCGGAACCCAGGACCTTTTGCCATCCCAGGTTTTTTCGTAACTTCTAGGCTAAGTGTGCAGGATACACAAAAAAATTGATTTCCTTATGAAGCAATGTACCATTAGGAGTCCAGATGACTCATGTGAACAAAGCTATTAACGGAAAAACTCTAGTATCCGATTGCAATACCCTTTCTCACGCAATGGTAGAAAAAAATCTTTTTGACTTCTGATGTTTAAAGCTGCAATAAATGTTGCCAGCGTGAACTAGTTAACAGAATGTTAATACATTTCTTAAATGCAAATTGCCGTATTCACAATTTTGCAAATATTTCATTTAGTAAATTTCACAGGAGACAGGAACAGAATCAAAACTTCAGATTTGTCTTGATCTATATAGAAAAACATTCTGTTCGAAAACAGAAACATCCAAAAGCAACTGAATGCAAAACAAGCATCTGTTAAAAAAAGCTTAGCAAGCAGTAAAAAGCCGAAAATAGTTGAGCATACACCCGTTCAGCCCAAAAAAGTTTTAATAGCACCGGCAGAAAAATCTAACACAAGAATCTATTTTCGCTCATCAAATGTCGTAAAATCAGGCAACTAAACCAATATAATCCACAGTTATTGCAAGGGTAACACAGAGGCGAAGCTGCGTTTCACATTACTTGCAATACAAAATAAGAGAGACGCTAAGTCGAAAAAAGAGAAAAAGCCGAAAAAACGAGTCAGGCTTATTTTGAAACAAAAAAAACTACCAACAACGAAATTTGAAAGAAGCAACGGAAGAAAAGTTTATAAGCGGCAACATAGCCGAAAATATCTTAGCAAAAAAACTTTCACTAGAAAAAAACTCTTAAAATACTTGAAAACTATTTAAAAATTGTTTAAGCCCCCTCCTCATTACACACGCAAACAAATAATTTATCGCTCAACAAACAACAAAATATGAGGGCAATAAGTCCATATAGTATAGGAAACGACAAAAAAAATTGCTCTGATTAAAAAATAAGCCCTGAAAATCAAACATCTAACCTACAGATTACGATTCCACGTCTGCGCCACACAAACTTAATTAAAGGCAACAACACATCAAATGAGATAGAAACATAGCCAACAGGCAGTTGGAAAAAATTCAAGTAAACAGAAATAAACTTACTTTCTGCAAAAATTTCAACTTTCCAATTTCCAAGAGAAAATAGTTAGGCTTAAAGTTTTTTTGAATTTCTAGAACGATTTACGATGGGCGTTTTTTTGATAAAATTACACCAATTTGAGAAAACTTGATCAATATATCAATTTTTTAATTCGCTGGAAAATCTGAAACTTAAATTCCATTTTGGGAACTAGAATTCGATCACGCTTTTCGCGACCTTTACACTTTTTTTGTTCAATACTAGATTCTGCCTTCCTTTTACTTTTACAAAAAAATGAATTGAATTTAAAAAGAAAACCGCAAAAAAGTAAACTTGAGCCTGAACAAATTTAAATACTGAAAAAAAATCATCGAGGCTTATATAAGAGTCTGAACTACGTTTATCGACTCTTAAAATATGTCATCAATAAACACAATGCTCACTAGCTCGCTTGTGTAAAAACTGAATCATAAGTATCACCTTTCTGTTGAAGAAACTCAAAAAGTATTAAGCACTTACCAAGCAGGCTGCCCACTGTGACTGGGTGGCCTTTGGTGGGAGAAGTGCTTCTTCTCGTGGAGTTATTGGTCGTCGTTCCCCTCATTAGGGCGGAAACAGAGTCTCTGTTGGCATTGAGGGCCCACCTCTTCTCCAACTGCGTCAGCTGCCACTGCAGTTCCCTAATATACAGAAAAAGGTAGTATATAATTAAGCCAACCGAAGTATAAACCAGTCAAAAAATATTTAATTGTTATTAAAAAGTTCAGTAACAATTATGTAACAGTTACAAAAGTCTAAAGTTTAAATCAAATGTTATAACTTTCAGTTGGTTTACATGTTCTGCGAATTTTCGGATGGTATAAATATACAATTTCGGCTTGTATATTTATGCTCAGACATCACGCCACATATTACGAGCTCAATTTACATTTCCTTGATTTCGGTTTTACCAATCCATTCCTAAATACACAGTTCGAATAGCGGGTGGCGAAACACAAGTAATTTTGGCGAAACGAATTCACATTCAAGTCATTTGAACAAAATTATACACACTGGGGCTTAAATAGTACTTACGGTGTATATCAGCGATGTCCAAGTTGGTTGCTGTGTATGTCCAAACTATTAGGGTCAAATATTTCTAAACTTCTCATGTCAAAATTGATAATTTGTGTCCACTGATCAATTTAAAAAAAAAACTTTTCCTCATTTCCATTGTATAGAAAAGATGTAAAAACAAACTCCAGAAGCCAAAGAGTCTTCTATCTTATTCTTAGGACTCAGGATGCAAGTATTAAACTTCGAATGAAGATTCGCAGCGCTGACATTAAAAACAGCAGACAGTAAAGGGAGAAACATTCTAACTTGTAAATTTAGTCTCAAACTACCTGATATTAGCTGCATCCTTGTCCTTCTGAGACATGTGGCTGCTCTTTTCAGTGGCTACTTCATGCTCCAACTCCTGAATTCGACCTTCGATTCTATCGATGTAATCTTTCTTCTCTAGCAACTCCAGCCTCATTTTTTCAACTGTTCTATTATTCACATATGCTGATACTGGAGAACTAGTTGTACTAGTCCTCGCCAACTTCGCATTGGGCGAGGGCGATAGCCTTGAAGGTGAAACTGATGAATTTTTCTTGTTTTGACCTGAGTTGACCTCTGCAGGACTTTTATGAGTATTGATTGGCACGTTTGATTCTGCTTTATGATTGGCTGTCGTGGGTGAAGATGAGGGTGAAAATGGGTTGCGCATATTGTTGTTATTGTTAGCCATCATCTGCTGTAAACCACGCAATTCGGTATCCCGGTCATCTAGCAGATCCCTAGATCAACATTAAAGAAGTGCCAGTGAACTCAAGGAAACCGAATACAATTCTTTATGAACATTTTTCAACTTACAAAAAAATCCATCATGTTAAAACTCTTTGAATTTGAAGAATCCTTTGAGCTTGACGCTTTTTTCATAAAACTAATCCAATTAGAGAATGTTGAAAATTAAAGTACCTTTTGGAAACTATGCACATTTTTTCACGCAACTTCCACTTTAGCTAATGGTGGGCGTAATTTGCCTTCCTTTTACCAAATCAGCTAAAAGTAAAAAAGAATCCAAATTTCAAACTGTGAAAAATCAGGTTTAAGCGTGAACAATTTTTAAGACAATTTCCCAAACGCCGCACGACCAAAATAAGTGATATAATCGAGAAGTAAGCAAGTAAACCCATTAACAGTTAAAAGTTGAGTTTGAAAAACTGAAATTGAGATATCCAGGGTCTTATCAGTTAAAAACGAAAAAAAAAAATCATTTCTGCGAATCGCAGAGGATCAATCACAGTCTATATACCCTTTAACAGAAAAACTGATAATTTCATCTACAACTACCACCTGCCAAGGGTTACACGCTTCGACATCTACAGGCAGCAATTAATGAACTTTAATAAAGTGAATATAGCGCATGCTCTTTGATAGCACATCTTCGCAACATTATTTGTTATAAATGTGGTAGTTACTTTCTATTTGTAATATTTTGTATATAGTTTGTATAAATTTTTTAAATGTCGGCTTTTTCGAAAAAAAAAATCCCGATTTTTTCATTACTTTTCTAGCCCCACCAATTCATTGTTGATTTCTTCCAAAACATTTGGAAGACCTCAGTTAGCCAATAAAAATTAGCGCCCAATCCGCAAACAAAAACTCTGATAACATATGCCAAAAAATCCTGCTTTCGCATAGTTTATGCGACGTTTGGAACACAAGCCGCGTCTTTTTGACAAACGCTATCCCCTTGAACATAGTATATTGGCGCCAGAGGCTCCTTCAAAAAATTAGGTTGGCCAGCCAAATACGGATTTTGTTAGATAACAGCACAGCCGCGAAGATTAGGGGGCTAGTTCATTTGGCAGGTCGACCTTTTAGAAGGCTACTAAATCAATGGAAAACCAAATGCGAACTTCAACTTCCGCATGGGCTAGTAGCAAAAACTTGCTCGACTGCGCTCACACTGAGCGCGAGTGGCAGAGCTAGGGTCTATCAGTGTTTGCTTCTAATCTATTCTTTATAAAAATATTTTTTTTTGACAAATTCGGAGATATTTATATAATTGGTTAAATGGGAACTCAAGCCTTCCGCACTCGAATACCAAATAACTGGACTTTTAGAAGAGTACCGAAGAAAAATTGTTTTACGATTGGCTAAAATGAACTATTTATGGATATATTTAACTTCATTCCAACTGTGTTATGGATACAACTTTGGGTTTGTTCAAATTTTAGAACGAAAAAGAACGAAAATTGTGAGGCTATTTTGTTAATTACTGTAGTAATTGAAGGGTGTAGCAATAAGCATGTGTGCCTAATAGAATCCTAAAATGCTTCATTGGGCGTTAATTCAGACAACGAACAAATTAGCTTAAACTTTCGATTAACATTTCGAAAGGCACCCTAATCTAATCAGCAAAATTGATAAAAAAACAAAGCTTGAAATAATGAGTGAGTCAACTGCATTCTTTTACATAGCTTTGCCGGAAAAAGGTTTGACTACAAATGAGGAGAGTAGTTTGTCTATTTTGCTGAAAGACAGTAACAATAAACAAAGTTTACGTCTCTTTTTGTCTGATATTTAGTTTGCGCAGCTTTATCTTTTCTTCATCAGTGTGAATAGTACAGCAAAAAATCAAGACATATAAGCAGAGACACATAGATGCAAGGAAACAGAAAAAATTGACTACTTTTTGAAAAACTTCAACTTTCAAATTTCAAAGTAAAAAATCAATGGCCTAAACTCTCTCTAAAAGTTCCATTTGAGAAAACCGGATTAATCGATAAAACTTTACTCCGCTCGGAAATCTAAAAAATTAAATTCCACTTTCAAAAGTAGAAGTCGTTAACGTTTCTTCGCGCCTTTTCCACGTTCATAATCGGAGTGCAGTTTACCTAAATTTCAGCAGCTGAATTTAAATTGAACTAAAAATTAAACTAGATGCATCAATATGTATGAATGCTTATTTGTCGTTATTAGAGCATGTTAAGACTTTTTCCTGAAAAAAAAGAAAAAAATCACCAAGACATATTAGGAGTGCTGAAAAAAATCACCAAGACCTATTAGAAGTCTTCACTATCTTCATTAATCTGAAAAATATAACAATTTGCAACGATAATTGTTTGTTCAGAAAAATTTATAACGCCGCGCTTGGGAAAATTTTGTTTGTTTAACAAGCGGCATCAATCAAAATGGCACTTTTGTCTTTTCAACTTCCGTACATTTGAATATAATTACTTAACGTCAGTGATTTGGGATGAGGAAAAACAGTATTGACAATAACTTTTAGCACTGTTTAACATTTTGCTTTTCGGCAGTTGTACTTGGGCTATGTTGTAATGCCACTGTAAAACAAATTTAAGCAATTTTATCGAAGAGTTCGACATGATTTGAATTTCATTTCTGAATTAATTACTTCTAGCTATCCAAGTGAACGAGCATGATGAAGAGACCGAATGTTGGAAGTTTACTTTTAGTCAGTTTAAGCCAATTAGAATTGATTTTTCAAAAATCTGAGAAATCTCGACCTCAAAGAAAGCGAAAAAATCTTGGCTATTAAAACTAATTGCGAAATCGAAACCGGGTATTGAAAAAATACCTAAAACCGATTTCAACAAAAAAGAAAAAAAAATCGTTTATCTACACGAATTGTACAGCAAAACTTTGGTGTGGTGCTATAATTCGTTTCCAGTGTTTTCAGTTAATAATGACCACGGTTTTAAGTAATTCAGCCAATATAACTGTCTAACAATTCTGATTGGTCAAAACTTTTCCATCATTCGGTCCATCCATCATGAGACTACCCTCCCCAACGATTATTCACGGAAAATTGAAAGGCAAATTGAATCAAAGTCAACAGCAAAAATGCTGAGCTCTGTTGGCTGCAAAAAATTCTTTATCCAAATGAAAGATCCCCTCCCCTAATTGGTTTAGGTTGATGTTACACACTTGGGCCTTTGCGTTAGCATTGAATGCTTTGCCAATATTTTCACCTTACAGCGATGATTACCACGAAAACGTCCACACAATTAAACAAGACTTTTAACAATTTCCACGGAAAACAAGGATAGCTGGTTACTGTGAAAGTAGCACAGAATGTTCCGAACATAGTCTTTAAATATCTACAAAACACTTTTTTTCAAATTAGTATAGCTTTTTCTGCATGGTGTGATAAAAGGATCTGAAATAAAACTATACTTTAGGGATATTCGACAGTCATAGTAATATAGGCAAACCGGACAACAGTTTTTGAGAAAAAAATGACTAGAAAAACAAAACAAAAATCAAAAAACAATTCAATTGTTTTTCTTTTTTTTGCAGAAATTTTTTGAACTTTTGAAGTTTTTGATTACCCAAATGGCATTAAACATCTCCAAAAACTAATTTTACTTGAGTAATATTACATTTAAGCATCATTAAGCTATTGTAAATTGCCTATATTGAGAATAATTAAGCCTGCTTGTGAATTTTTTAATGTGGTTCAAATTCAGACTGAAAGGGCTTTAATTTGATGTATCACAGTCCGATGATTATTTGTGGTACCTGATTTGCGTGAACAAGAAAAAAAACTAAAACACACCCGAATACAAAGTTCCTCCCCATTTTCAATGGTCGGAACAATAAACAAGACCCAAGGGCTTGAAAATTAGAACTTATAAAAAAAACTCAAGGAAAAGCACTTAACTGCCATCAGACCACAGCTTTTAAGCAGCCCTTCCTTTGGTAGTATACTGCAGGTTACATATAGGCTTGAATCTGATCTGAATCAATTCAGGTGTAATAACCTCTTCGGTCTTTTTATTCACACCGGCTCAGGCGAAATCACAGTTCACTTTATATTCAAGCCACCCCCTCTTGTTTCATTAAGCACATTCTACCTTTGAAAGTAATCCCCCAATCCAATATCATATTTCAGGTGCAACAGTCCAGCCTAAATTCGGACGGATGTTCAACTAACTGCCATATCTTGAAGCCCAAATTACATCAGAATTACGTAAATTACATCACAATTTATTAACAATTGCGTAACAACAGTGACAATCTGTTATTTTGGAGCATAACAAACTTAATTTTCGGTTTGTTGGCCCTTCGGCGTTTTGGCCAGCCTACCACCTATATTCAATATCTGTCACTGGGCGTTACTCTCTAATTCAATTTTGTCGGATTAGAACGAACTATACCAGATTTACAAAAAAAAGACACATTTATACGAATTCTGCAATTTTGGTAGTTAAGAAATTTGAAGAATTTTAAAAAAAGTTTATCTACTATGAAACGGCTAGCTCTTACTTACAGCTCTTTTCTTTAATGATTTTTGCCAGCTGCGCTTTAAAGCGACAGCAAAAGTCCACGGCTTCATCGCGAAATAAAAGCGCTCATAAGTTAGCATTAGTTGTAATCTAATTTGCGAAATACTAATATTAGTACTATTATCAAATATTAGTATTTTCAGTTCATTTGTCCTGAATTATTCACTTTAGAAATCTTTTTCTGCCAATTTTTCATACGGCCAAGCCAAAACTATGATCTCCACCTTCCAGAAAAAGAGAGTCAGAATCATTTCCAATAACATACCGAACTGAAAGGAGTCTCCCTCAACTCCAAGGAAAACAAAGACAGAAGTGTCTGGAAGTGGGATTTCCAAACACCTCCAATGACCCAAGAGAGCTATAGAAATGAAGCCATGTTTATCATTCACCCTTCATGAAGCCACAAATCACTTACAACTAGATTAAACTCGACTTAACTTTTTTCTCATTTTGAACAATAAAAGTCAAATTTCTTATGCCAATATAGTGCAATCGTGAACCAGCTACATACCAGATATGAATACCTAATGTTTGGACCATTGATTATGTTAGATTTCTGTCTTTTTCACAACTTGTAGTTGTCAATCTCTTCCATACAAGTCTTTAGATTAAGAAATCGAACAGGCAAAGACGTAAAGCATTAGAAACTAAACAAGATTAACTTGTAGCAAATTTCCAACATTTGGGAAATAATTCGCTTTTTCGGCGAAGTTTCCTCGATATTTCCTTGGTGGCTTAAGTTTCTTATTACCAGCATTTTTGTTATTAGGGAACATTTGTTATCTCATAAAACGTATCTTATCCCCTGAAACGGAACAAATGTTTAACTTCAACTCCTATTCCATTCACGCCAACTTAAGTTCCTCGCATAACGAGTTTATCTAGATTCAGCTTCATTGCGTTTCCAATAACAAGTAAGTTAATATTAATTCCAAAGAATTAAACATCAAAAAAATGTCAAATTAAGTACACTTAAAAGCATTACAAGCTGATGACTATAAGCTTTAAAAAAAGTCCAGGTCATAATTGTAAAAAAAAGCTGTCTAATGCAAACAAAACCTGAATTGAAAGCATTTCCATTGAGAGAAAACCCACCTACTTGGCACAGATAATCGCCGATAACGAACTCTTGCTGGAGATAGTTTTTTCACTCGAGCATACTTCACTACGTAGAAATTTAACCGCCCCCGGCTCCTAATTGATTCAAGAAAATTTCAGAAAAACGCTGACTGATACATAACATAGCGGATCAGTTGAAATTATCATCGGAGTTGAATTGCATATTTCACATCATTATTTTGTATTGTTCGGGGTTTTTTTTTACCCTAGGGGAGAAATTGTTGTAACTTTCACGCGACATTTGATTAAGAAAGAGTCCATATTCCATTATTATATTTCGCCAAAAAATTATTCGAATGAATTAGGAGAGTTACTCAAGAGAGGCTAGGAGGTTCTTTAACTTTTATCCAGCTATCTTTTTACAATCGATATGTTGCTTTGTTCATAAGTCGTAGTGGCCTATTGATCTGTCTGGAGATTTGTGAAGCGATATTCAGAGAGCTTCGGAATTACGAATTCCAGCTGACAGCAGTGCAATTGACTTTTTGAGGTAAGTTGAAAAAATGCGCCAAAAAAGTCTGCTTCACATTTCAAAAAGATACCACAAAATAACAAATACAGAAAAGGCCATACAATTCAGCCAAAGACAATTCAGCTGATATGAAATTCAGACAACTCAGCCAAAAATATAAAGACAATTCAGCCAACATGACAAAAATTAGAATTTCTTCTTAAATTATTTAATAGTGACCGCTGCAGTCGCGCCAACATGTTGTGAGCTTGCCAACAGAGGGTAGGGCTCTATACAAAACTTAGAGCCGATTATCGCCGCGTAGCGCGCCCACCGGCGACTTTAAATTGACAATTAACTCCAATTCCGACAAAACCAAGGCAAGTTGTTCAAATATAAAAAAGAAAGACGTTAATTTTCCCTTTGCATCCTGCCAGCCTTTGCCCCGACCCCGGCCTGAATCCTTCAATTTTTTTGCTTCTTAACTAAATGGAAGGAAATTGAACATAATGGATGATTTTACATCTCTTAATTGATTTAGTAATTCGATATAATTACTTATATTGAGAAATAAATAGGAGTAATAGGGTTCATTTAACCCCTCGTGGAAAATTTCTTATTAGTTTCAATTTTCAAATTCAATTTAAAGACGACTAAGTCAACATACATAAGTTTCATCCTCAAAACCAGACGAAACAGCATTAATGGAGTGGTATGCGCCACATTTTCATATCTAGTAGAAGGACATTTTCTCGTTCGCTTTTCATAAAACTGAGATAAAAACTTAACTTGAAACTTAACCCTCAAAATGGATATTTTGACGTGAAAAAAAATACAATTACACTTCCAAAGTTCGAACAGTATAATATTTGTGGTTAATTTTCAGCTAATTTTACACACAATTTGTATTTTTGAAGCTATTTTAAAACTTCAGAGCCTTTTATTGGTGAATCAAAACCTAATTCGTCGTCTCATTTCCACTTTCTTGTTTCATCTGCAGTTATTTTCACCTGTTGCCAGTTTTCCGGACCAGAAACTCAATCACCAGCCATTCAATTAGAAGTTAATTATCTTTGACAATCAAAATCAACTGCTGTCACACCATCAAAGGCTACAACGTCATCAATCATGTCAAATGTTGCCGCGCTTGTTATTATTGCTCTTGCCACGTTGCTGCCACTATTAAACATGGTTGCCGGCATGGACCGAGTGGAGTTCAGAAACGAGAACGATCAGCGGGGATCTATTGTGGAGATGCAAAGAAGAGACGACAACTACCTCAGAGCCACTAAGTCTCTGCCCAAAACTGCCACTCTGCCCATGAATGTATCCGTCACTATGAGGTACATTAATTCTGAATAAACTAAGCGAAAAGTTATATCATATGAATGAAATCTGTAGAACTTATGTAACTGTTACATAATTGTTACATAACTGTTATATACCACTTACGTATTTAGGGGGCTGGTTGATACTACAGCTGGTTTACATACCACCAAATACAGTTGCCAAGCGTAAATTGAAGCATTTTGTTGAAACTTAGTTTTACGAGCGTCCATTGCTGGCGTATAATGTACATAAAAAAATCACGTATCGAAAGCACCGAAAAATTGAACAAAAAAGACTTTCTAAAATAAATCAAAGATCAAGTAAAAATGACTTCACTGTTGAAGAAGTAATGCTGAACATGAATGGGTAGTTGAATTTTGTCACTAACTGTCCAGTTGAATTAACATTTTCATTAGTTAATCAGTGCTGAAAAAACCTAGCACCGGGGAAAAAAACCAGGCTAGAACATCGACCCTTCCCAAATTTATCACACGTTACTGAACAAAAAATGCTAAACGATTGATTGAAAAAGTCTCCCTTAGCTCTGATTCTCAAATTTTGAGCCTACCGTATTTTTAGTCTGGAAACAATCAGTGAGATCCGAACAACCCATGCGGTTATTGACCTCTACATGTCCGAAATGTGGAATGCCGGTGAGACCATCTCAGGACACCCTCCTCAAAAGCAAAACAACACAAGCTCCCCCTCCCGCCACCCCAAAAAGGTCAAGTTGAGTGGTGAGGGGAGTGATACATACACGTGGACTACAGACACTTATTTCTTGTTGGCCAAGCATGTCAAGTATTACACTGAGTCGCAGTATTTGGTCATCAAATCAGACGGAAACATACATAGAGGTAAACATAGTCTGGTCATTTGAATTCTGGTTAATTATTAAAACATTGGAAAAGAGCAGGAAAGCCAACAGACAGTTGAACAAGAGTCAGAAAGGAAACAGAAAAAAAAAGCAAAATTGACTTAATTTATGGAAAAACTTTAACTTTCGAATAAAAAAATCATGGCCTTATAACTCTTCAAATTTCAAGACCAATTTATGATTGAAAGTTTTCCATAAAAAAAGCAAGTCGAGAAAACTGGATCACAAGATAACTTTATAAATCCGTTCGGAATTATGAAAATTAATATTACTTTTCAAAACCTAGAGTCATTTGCGTTTTATCACGCCATTTGCACTTTTGCAATTGAAGAGGGAAATGCGTTTTCCTTGTAGAGTGAGAATTTGAGTTAAAATTTGAAGAAAATTCAAAAATCAAACAGCGAAAAAAAAAAATTGGACTTGAAAAAAACCACACGACCTCAAGGAGTGTCTTCACTTTATTCATTGACACTTAAAAAATTAAAAAATGGTTTCAAAAAGCTGACAAGCAAGTATGGAGAAGATGTAACAATGCCCGATTTAATTTTTCACAGAGGCGAAGCAGAGTTTCGCGTCACTTGCGATACGACACAAAAAGAGCATTGCATGCACAAACGCCGGCTTTAAATAAGTCTTTAGAAACACTTATCGAGCTGCAACGAAGCCGAAAAAAGTGTTATCTCCCGTTTAGACGGAAGCAAAATGTAGAAGCAAAACTTTGAAAGGAAACATTACATTTTTACACCCCACCCTTCAAAAACACAGAAGGATAAAAATCTGTTTTTAATTTCAAACAACGCAAAATTGGGTCACTTAGCCGATAAACCATAAGTCCAACAACGTGAGGCAAATGAAACTTTTCGCCAAAAAAAGGAAATTGCAAAAAGTCAGATTCACTAAATTTACAAACTATAGTCACAAATTAATTTAAAAAAAAACCACTTTCAATAACAATGAAAATTGCGTATAACAGAAAAAATCCGTGATGAGGCAACTTAGACGACAAAAGATAAGCAAACAAACAATAGGCCGACAACTATTTTGAAACGGATGATTCCCGCTTGAATAAAAACAGATTCGGCCCAAGGACTTTTGCCGTCCCAAGCATTGTTACCTCCAGAACTAGTGTGCTAGAGAAGCTAAGAAATTTCAACTGATTAAAAATCAAGCTATCAAATGATTCCACTGATTTTGCTGATTCAACTGATTTTGATAATCGCAAGCGTAAAAAACGAAATGGACTGAAAAAAATCGTTCCAATCTATGTAGTTGCCTTCACTACGTTAATTGAAACTTAAAAGAGCAATTTGCGAATCTAGGCAAAAGTTTGCAGTCTGTTTCGATTGTTTCACGCATTTAAATACTACTCATAATGCAAAAGTTTTTCCAAAAACGGCCAACTCCCCAAAACCAATCAATTAACTTGAACTTTTTTTGAGTGTAATAACTCGAATTTAGAATGTTCTAATAATTGCAATGTATTTCATTTGAGATCGGAAGATCCGCATTGAGGCCCCCTGTACACTGACAGTGCTCAACTTCCCCTTCGACAACAGCCAGTGTCGCATCCTGCTGAGTAGCTATGGCTTCCACACTGAGGAGTTGAGACTGCAGTGGAGTGGGGATGCCGTGCTATTCCCCTACCAGTATGACTCACTCAAGGAGTTGGGATTTATCATGAATGGAATAGAAGTGCTCTCTTATGAAGGTAAAACTGGATAGAACGTAATTGTACAAGCCAAATGGTGTATAAAGCAAGTCCAATTTGCTAACTCTCAAGATGCACAATATTTGAAAAACATTGACGGCTTGACTACTTCGAAAACATTTCCAAGCACACTCTCAGCACGCTACTTTCAGTTGCAAAAGCTATCAGGCAACAGAAAGCAGCGGATTCCTCATCTCAATTTCCACAAAGGATAACCTTAGACAGGCTGCACAGCCGTTGATAGCTCCTCTGCGATTCGCAGAAACCAACAAAACAGCGTTTCGGATCTGTCATCTCGGGAAGTTCCTTTTGAGTCGGATCAATTGCGTATTTTCAAACCAATAGTTTAACGGGGCTTATCTTGATTTTCAAATCAACAGAAGATGAAACTAGTGGTTTGAAAAGACGCAATTCACTCGACTCAAAAGGAACTTATCGAGATGACAGATCGTGAGCTCTATTTTATTGGTTTCTGCGAGTCGAGAGGATCAATACTATTTTTTCAGCCCAGTATGGACCAGTGTCCTACGACATCCTGGAGGCCCAGCTCAGTTTCACCCGACTCAGCTCAGTCTATCTCTACCAGGTGTACATCCCAGCTGCCTCTCTCGTAGTGATGAGCTGGGTGCCCTTCTGGCTCACTGAGGAGAAGTGTGGCACTCCTGCCAGGGCCAGTATTGGGGTCATGACTGTGCTGTCTATGCTCACTATTTGCAGCAATGTTAAGAACGTTGGAGGAGCGGTAAGATCAAGTATATTTAATTGTACATTCATCCATATAATTAATTCAGGGACGACTAGGGAATCAAAACGGAATTGGAACGACTCCATAAAGCACAAATTCAAAAGCCGTTTCCAATTTTTGCTGCGTCTTCTTTCTCTAAAATTTACTTATTACTATCCCATGAGCACTGTTCAATAGACAGAGATATACCAGATTGTTTGGCCATAGCTTAAGCTCACGCGGAATATGCTTACGGGTTCTATATTATTCCCCTTGATTGCTGTTTCGCAAGATAATCAGGAAACCAGTAGAGGTCCTCCATAAAAAAATTAAAAGATTGCATGTTCGACATTTACTTTGAGGTGACATGCTCTCAACCTAATCATAGATACTTTTGAAAATATCATTGGAGAAACCATCAGGAACGAAGATTTTGACTTAATTGCAGGTGTCGCGCAATGTGAGTCTTCTGGACATCTGGATGTGGGTCAGTTTCGGACTGGTAGTGTTGGCAATGTTGCAGTTCGCAATGGCTGACTTCCACCGCACAGACGACCGCATCACCTTCCTCGGCATCGGCAGACGAGACACCGACGTTACCAAACGAAAGGTTCCAATATAACTAATTACGATATAAAACATTAAACAATCTTTAGGAGCAACGCATTTGCTCACGCATAGGCCTTTACAGACCTATTCAGAAGCTGAAAAAATGTATTTATTTTCAAATTCCAAAAAGAGCATAGGCGTTGTGTAGTAAAAAATTAGCATAGACTTGTGTCTTCTTAGAAAAGTTCAAAACTTGGGTTGTAAATTTACCACATTTTCTGATTTTCAAATTAATTGTACGGATTTACAAAACCTGCAACATCGCCAAAAGTTCAATTATTTGCTCGATTTTAGATCGACAAAGTGGCCCGCTTTTTGTTCCCAGTCGTGTATTTTGTGTTCAATGCGGGATACTGGAGCTATGTGGAGTACATCAAAGCGACGTCCAAAAAAACTTCCGTCACTGAGTCCGAATCAACCGGCTGACCATAGACTACTCTCTAAACTTATTTCGATATTCTTTGATAAATGATATAGTCTATAGAAAATTAGTTTTATAATATAATATTTTACGATGATTTCCTGTTCCAACGACTCCGTAAAAGGTAGTAGGAAATAACTTTGGCGTAGGGTGTGTTATTTGCCGATTTTCAAGAGGTGTCCCACTCTTTAACCCTACGATATTTAACCCCCTCTGTTTACACCCCCTATATCATAACCAAGTAACATGATAACCCCACAACAATTTAACCCCCTTTTAATGACGATAATTAGTTTCAAATTAAGTCCTTTTTAGAAGTACAGGGGTAGTCCAGTTAAGTGTAGTAATTGAGACCTGAAAAGCTAGTCCTAATTCACTTGATGCCTCTAGCATCTCAAAAATAATTGCATTTGGTTTACGCGTTTAAAACAGAGATAGCCTACATGGTGCTAATTGAAGGCAACAAAAGACGTTTGTGAGTCTTATAAAAAATCATACTGCCTATTTCTTTAACCATTGTTATACCACTCTATCAGATCAGATATAATGTTTGAAGCGTCATTCCACTTTACTTTATCATCGAAAGACAAACAAATGCTAGTGGTATCAGGCCACGAGTATTACCTTAAACGAAAAAACAAAACAACAACAAATTGGAACTGCTCAAAGTACCAAACCCATAAATGCCGCGCAACAGCAATTACGGATGGAGAAAACTTTATTGAAACGAGGGGTCAACATAATCACGATATTTCCACGGCAAACCTGATGCTCGACTAGTTTTGAAAACATTAAGTCCTTTTTATAAGTACAGGAGTAGTCCAATTAAGCTTACTAATTGAGGCCTGAAAAACTAGTCTTAATTCACTTGATGCCTCTAGCATCTCAACAGTAATTGCATTTCGATTAGTTAGAGAAATAATCCCTCACTCACGCGTTTAAAACAGAGATAACCTACATGGTGCTAATTGAAGGCAACAATGGACGTTTGTGAGTTTTATAAAAAATCACACTGCCTATTTCTTTAACCATTGTTATACCACTCTATCAGATCAGATATAATGTTTGAAGCGTCATTCCACTTTACTTTATCATCGAAAGACAAACAAATGCTAGTGGTATCAGGCCACGAGTATTACCTTAAACGAAAAAACAAAACAACAACAAATTGGAACTGCTCAAAGTACCAAACCCATAAATGCCGCGCAACAGCAATTACGGATGGAGAAAACTTTATTGAAACGAGGGGTCAACATAATCACGATATTTCCACGGCAAACCTGATGCTCGACTAGTTTTGAAAAACATCAAGGAGCTAAGCGATAGTAACACCCCAACCGTCGCAGTCGCAACCGCCATTCAGCCAATTACAGACAAAGAAGAAAAAATAGGAAATTCATACGATAAAATACGAATTTGCTATTTAATCTATATTGCCAAGCAATAAAATTTTTTCCAAGTTTAATTATTTTCCTCGATTTTTCAAAATTGAGATAGAGTCGATTTGAAACCGGCAAAATAATAAATACATACAAGGTGTTGACTTTTCTTTTCCCTCCGCCCAACCCTGTAAGGTTAACCCATTTATTGTACCCTTGATATACCCGTTATCATATTTACCTGAAATTCAACTTTTTTTGGGAAAATTGGAAAAATTTTTGTGCCGCCAGGGATTCGAACCTTTGATCTCTAGATTTTGAGACTAACGCTTTAATCACTATACCATCAGGCCTTCGTTTGTCATCCAAATTATTCTTCCAAATTTGGCTCTTTGATCTTTAATTAAGCCCATGTTCGAGTTTTCAAAGCGTAGATCAATTCTGTCGGCGCCAAAAGATCAAGGTCAAGAAATTCAATAGGTTTTGGACTGTTTTGTATATGCACCAATTTGAATCATGTCGGTCGGATTCGTTTTCAAGTTCATATCAAAGTCTAGACTATCGGCAAGGTCATTTCTGTTCAAATCTAAAACGCATTTAGCAGCGTGCATGTTAACTCATTTTGGTTCGCAAAGTTTTTCGCAATTAAAGCTTTGATGTTTATCGACGATATGGTTCCGAATCGTTTTCAAGTAACTTTCAATTTGATTCTAACAATTGGTTTTAAAAAGGGGTTAAATTGTAGTGGGGTTATATGAGAGGGGGTTAAGAAAAAGGGGGTTACAAAACACGGGGTGATAAGCTTGGGAACCATTCAAGAAAGCTAGTGGATTGTCAAGAGTGGTATTATATTCAAACCTCATTAGCCATGAATCAGATTTCAAAAAAGTTCTCAAAGTGTTGAGAAAAACGCGTCTGACCTTTTTCGTTTTTCAGACTACAAGATGTCTTTAATATACGTTTTTCAAGGACTGCTCGCTCATTTCATCTGCACATTAATTATTGAAACCATTGCAACAGGCAGCAAAAACTGCCGAAGTTCATGCATTCATCAAATTTTCGCTGCATTATTGGCTGAATAATCAGATAAAACTTACAAAATTAAAGTTTAAAAACTCCAATTTCTCAAATTGGGTTGACCATCGACAAAAAATAATTATGAGGACGAAAATAGCTTAGAGCTTTATCAGAAATAACAAAATTAGCAACTAAGTTACATATTTAAAACGGGAAAATTCTTCTGTTTCAAAACTATGCGGAAAAAACAGAATCATTTGAGATAAAACATCAATTAACCAAGTATTTTACCCTTATTTATGAGCCAAACGAACTGACCTGTTTTAATGGAGTAATCTTTGGTTCGAATTTTGCAATTTTAATTACACCAGAAACTTTGAAAAGTTCTAAGCAGTTTCTGTTCTCCTCATTTTTTGTCTGAAGTTAACACGAATTTCAGTTATTTTAAATCAGCGCTGTATACGCTTGCTCAGCACAAAAGGCAAAAAAACCTGTGAACAAAAACAACCCAACTTAATCAGAATTCATTAAAACGTATTATTAAAACACCCTGTAGATGTCACAAATTTATGAATGACACACGATGAGAGACCGAACTCTCTAATTAATTCTCCCAAAATAATATGTTATTTTTATTACCACCCACTCTTGCGTTTTTTAACCGAGTACAATCGCCATTTATAGAAAGAAAATAACATGTAATTTAGAAAAAAGAACAAACTTTTTTGGCCCGACCATTTTTCGTCTTAACTCGAGCGACTAAAGCGAGCGATCACGCTTATTTATGCTTAATTTGGACTGTTTACAATAGCTTATTTAAGCTTAATTTTATTTTTTATTCAAGTAAAATAAGTTTTTGGAGATTTTAAATGCCATTTTGGGAATCAAAAGCTTCAAACACTCAAAAAGATTCTGCAAAAAATTGAATTTTTTTTTGTTTTTCTAGTCATTTTTCTTCACCCTGTTTTTACCCTGTTTTGCTATATTACTATTACTTTCGAATATACCTAGAGCATAGTTTTACGTCAGATCCTTTTATCACACTACGAAGAAAAAACTGCACTAAATTTTTTCACTGCAGAAAAAAAATTAGCGCAGTTTCTTGTAGTTTTTTAAAGACCACGGTGTGAACATTCTGTGCTACTTGCGCAGTAATCGGCTATCCATGTTTCCATTTTGAATTTTGTTTTCTTCAATTAGTGGAGGTCGAAACTTTTTGTGTTAATTGCAGAGCATCCGACTATCCTTGATTTTGATTTAAAATTATACACAGAGGCGAAGCTTCGCAAAAACTAGCAAGAACACGTTAAAAGGCAGCTCTATAGAGTGCAATGAGAAACATTAGAAGAAAGCCTCGAATTAGTAAAAATTCGGCTGCGTCTAAGATTCGAACCTGTGACCTAGAGATTAAGAGTCTCACACACTAAACACTCAGTCACGGATGCTTAATAGGCACCAAACACTAGACACATAAAAAGCAGAGAACAGATGCTATGCAATTTTCAATGCTACAGTGAAACTTCCAATACAGAGGCGAAGTTTCGCTTCGCAAACACTAGCGACAACACGACCAAAAGCAGCTCTAGAAAATGCAATAAGAAAAAATAGAAATAAGCTTCGAATTTGCAAAAATTCGGCTAGGTCTAGGATTCTATAAGCGACCTACTGCAATTAAGAGATTTTGAGTCTCACGCACTAAGCACTCAGCCACGCACGCTTAACCACCGACAATTACAAGTCACGAACAAAGCAGCTATATATGCTAATAAAATGCCAATGTGATTCAGCGAAAATGGAACCAAATACAAATAGACACAATTTTGCAAGTAATAACTTGGAATTTACCAAACTAAAGGCATCCACACTAACTTTGCATGTAACAAATCGCAAAGCAAAAAGCCACATTATGTATAAATTATGCATTTCAAAAACTTGCGAGATAGATTGCGAGTTATATTGTTTGCACTAATAGCTTTTTACGGTATTTGATGAACTAAAAATGCATCAACTGTGTTAACTTATTACTTTTCGAATGTCAAAGAATATGCTATCAAAAAGCTGTAAGGGCACCCCAAAATGGGCACCAATTTTTGCTACTTAGAATAGAAAAATGAAGGTTCTTAATAATACACTAAGCTGACGCTAGTGTAAATAAAGGAACTTTAATGTAGACTTTTATTTGCGAGTTAGGTTAGAAAAAAAAGAAGGTTCGTAATAATCCACTAAGTTGAGGGCTAGTGAAAACAGCTCCGCTTGTGGGAGCTGAAGGAGGCTTTGCCCTAAGGTGTGTTTAAGGACCTATTCTAATGCCACGACTTCCTGAAGATTTCACAAAAATTCGAAGAGCTGAACATCTGAACATGCAAGGCCAGAGAAGAGAGACCTCAACGAGTAACTAAGACCAACTTAATCTACCTGAGGTTTCCAATTTCTTTGAGAAGTTTCTGGTTCTCCTTGAACATGGCTGCAGTCGCGCTCTTTTCTCTCGTCCCTCCCCCTCCCCCCTCCGATTTGAGACTCTTAATCTCCTCGTACAGTCTCTCATTCTCCTTCTGGTACCCTGTACAACAAAACACTCAAATGAAACTCCAATGTCTCCGAAACCTCAATGTCTCCCAAAAACGTTATCGCATCAAACACAATCAATCACTTTCATGTCTCGTACTACAAAGCTGTTTTCATCGAGTGATTTCAGTGGTAAATTTCATAACTAAATTTTCTTTTTAAGATGAACCATCGTTGCATCGTAAAACCAGCCCCACCCGTCTAAAAATAAGATATTTAATTTTCCACCTGTTAGTTTTTCCCTTTAAACTGATCAGAAATAGCAGAGCAATCAAAACATCAGCGTCGAATTCACCTGATATGAGGTTTTCCTGTTCTGCCAGCTGTTGCTTCAACTCCAGCCACTGAGCCTCTGTCACATTTTGGGGCAACTTCACCGCCTGGTTATGATCCCCTCTTTCGTTCAAGTGACCAGTCCCTAATTTGCCCCTAGGGAAGTTTCGAGGAGAGGGAGATGCCTGGTTGTAGTTGCGGGTGGGCGACGAGCCTCTGCCTTTGTTCAAATCGTCTAACGTTGCATGGAGCTGAAATAAAGGATACGACCAGTTGCTACTAAATTCGCGCACCAATTACGCTTTGGAAAAAATCGGGAAGCGACGCGGGCTCAAATTACATAATTTTCTCGAATGATTGATAATGCACATTTATACAGGGATTTCTGATACAGTTAAATTTCTGATGAGGCACACTTATAAAGAGATCCTCGTGTCATTGAAAATAATTTAAGAGTTATCCGTATCCCACCAATTAATTTATTGCTATTCAATTTGACATTAATACCTATGACGGGGATGACTCAGTCGCCTTTTGTGCCGTGCCCTGACCTTACCTGTGCTTTGAGGGCGAAGTTGTCCTGATGGAGCTGTTCTGTCTGTGACTGGAACTCCTTCACCAACTGCTCCTCCTTCCGCCTCCAGTTGATCTCCTTCATTCTCATTTCGCCCTAAAGACACAATGTTTAAGACAAAGATAGCGTTTGGATAAAAGGGTCACGTAGCCAGCAGCATGTAAACTTTTTTTGACCAAGTCAATTGGTCAAAGCTCGCATCAGCAAAACATTTTTCTACCCCTCATGTGAAATTTTGCCGTGAATGCTAGTCACGCGAAACATTTCACATTGAGTCCAGAGAATAAACAATTTTCGGTCATCAAACGACGCAATATGAGTCCAATAAGTCTATATCATAAAACCGAATACTTTCAAATCGAATAAACATAAAAAGAAAAAACAAGCAAAACTGAATTTACGCAAAGTTGGAGTTGGTAAGCTTACAACACAGAGGCGAAGAAGAGCTTCGCACCACTTGCGATACCACAAAAACATAAAGACATAAGAAGTCGAAAAAAAAAGTTACGAAAAAAAACTAGGTCTACCAAAATTTTAAATTTCTCGATATCTCGATAGAAATTCAACCCAGGCAAAAACCCCAGAAACTTGAATAAGAAATTAGCAACTGAACAAAACTTACAAAGAGGCAACAAAGTCAACAATCTTTATTCAGACCCAAGTCCATCCGAAAAATATAGTATTATAAAAAAATCTTAAAGCTTCAAGTCCCACCTGAAACTACAATTGCATTTGCAATCACTATGAAAGTAGCTTACAGCACAGGCGAAATCCGTGATGTGGAAACTTTGCGGACAAAACTTAAGCAGCCAAACGAAAGTCCGAAAATTCAATTTTAACCGAAACTTTTTTCTATTGCATACAAACTGAAAAAAAACAAGGTCAGGCCGAGACGCATACATCCAGATCTTAGGATTCAAAGGCGGCGGAGCTACCTTAGGCTAAAGAAACTGAAACAAGTTGAGGTTCAATATTAAAGAAAAGAACAGAGTGAAGAAGAGAAGAAATTGAGTCAAAAAACTGTTGTCATAAAAAAATTTTGAGCTGTAAAGTTTTAAAGTTCTTATGAGACACATAAAAGCATAAAAATATAATTTACCCTAGAAACTAGGCAAGATAAATTGTTTAAACTGAAGTAACATTCGCCGAAAACCGTGTAATAAAAAAAAGAAAAAAATAATCCAAACAGAAAAACATAACCCAAAATACAACTTAAAATGACTGCGCAAACAGAAAAAAAATAACCCTAAAAAGTTCGAAAAGTGAAAAAATGAGAAAAAGTCAAGACTAATGAAAATCCCGATCTATTCCGGAATCGAACTCCCGACATCGCGAATAAGATTCTCAAGTTCTATCATCTGCCCCCTGGTTACTTGATAAGAATCAAAGTCTAGCCTCTGTTACACCAGATATAATTCAAATGCACACAGAGGCGAAGTCGCACTTCGCATACACAACGAAAAAATATGACCAAAAACGCTACTGGAAACCCAGTTTTCGAGTTTATTCTTGACCTCAGAGGCGAAGCAGCGCTTCGCAAACACTAGCGAGAACACGACAAAAAGCAGCTTTATGAAGTGAAAAAAGAAAAGCTCATTTTTGTAAGTTGATCTCTCAAAACTAATGAAGTTGCTGTCAAAAGATTACAGATTAGTCTAATATATGAGTAAAACTTGGAGTCTACATAATTTCTTCAGCGACTCACGCCAATTATGAGTCTACATGATTGATTAGTGACGCAAGCCAATTATGACATTAGCAGTACGAATCAATTTGAAAAATAAATTTACAAACTAACATGCCTCAATTTATAGATCGGACACGTTAAAAACATCCAACCCTTCCAAGTTTCAAACCCTCTTATTTTGTTGAGAGTCTCCTTCCCTACCTCTACGCTACAGATTCATGACACCTTGCAGCTACAGTGCTATTTGTAATATAATAGTCTGTGTTAATATCCTTTAGCACTGGCTGTACTTAATAGCTGGTTATTGATCTTATGGATATACTGCAATAAAAGAACACTTTCAAATTGAACACTAATATTTGCGACTTAGGCTGGAAAACAAGTGAGTTCAAACGATCACACAAGCTTGGCTTAAGCAAACATAAGTAAACAAGATATAAGGCTATTGCCAAAAAATTCCACCAAATAAATGACTCTTTGCTAATTGGGTTGGAAAAAAATGAACTTCATAATATGACATTACGATCCATTTTGAAAAAATATAAAACTGCTCAAATTATGTCTGTTGGTCAACGAAAGTACAGATTTGAGAAATTGATTCGGTGATTTTCTTAAGCAAATTGTTTTTAGGGAAACAAATTCCGACTTGATAACAATTGCTAAGCACAAGTGTCACAATCAATGAGTGAAAGCTCCTTGAAGATTTTCTGTTTAAACCCTACGCTGTGAAAAACAAAAAATCTACAATGTACCTTCAGCTGATCGACTAGAATCATCTCCACTTCAGAGTACTTCACAGGTGAAGATGAAGAACCACCAGATGGACTTCTGCTACTGTGCCTGGAACCACTTATCTGTCTTTTACTTATCGATTCACCCATTCTCGGTCGAATTGGGGACAAATGGTCTAATTCCTGGTCCAGTGCCCCCTTGGTATATCCTCCATACATGTCTTCATTTTGAACATCCTTGGTTCTTTTCTGACCATAATTCCATACTTTAGGCGACTCTTTAGGAGAGCTACTACTGCTGCCCGGAGCTTGCTTAGCAGCGGGCCTGCCTCGGGAACCTGCGTTGTTAGCTCGTTTGGAAGCAGTTGGTGTCTTGGGCGAAGAGTGACGAATGACCGAGGAGTCGTTCTTACCTTGAGTGCCTTTCGTGCTACGTTTCTTTTCAGGGCTTTTGGAACCTGTGCGCTCTGAAACAGAATACGATCCTTTTGTTTGTACAATTCCCTAGACTAAACGCTAATTTGAACTCATACTAATTAAGTGCCAACAGATTTACTTTTAACTTATCAGATTCGTTTAATCATCACGAAATTCAATTTGCCTCTCAGAGATTCCTCTTTTTTAAGCAAATAGCCAGTACATGTTTTCTAGTACACTCACTGGTTTTCTTGGACTCTTTTGTTCTGCCGCTCGCAGATTTTGAGATATTTTCCGGTGATATCCCACTAACTGGGGGCTGAACGACGGACGTGGAGTTCTTCAGGATAGACTTGAGTACAAATGGCTGACTGGTTTTCGGCACTCCACCGCTGTTCTTCGGGGGCGCCAGATAATGATGGTCCAATGATATGTTTTGATCGCTCTTCGAAGTGGATATAGGACTCCTAGAGTCATCGACTGACTCGCCTCCTGCTGTAATCAACGGGACACCTACAACAATTTTTGGGCATTTATTTTTACACTACCCTAATTCGTTAATGTAGATTCGTTGAAATTAATGAAACTGTACGAATACAGCGAGCAATATTAATGACGCGGAGCTTAAACCATTTTGAGCAAAAGAGACGGAACCTCTCAAAGTATCTCTCAATCAAAATTTACCCCTTTCTGAAAGTCCCGTAGAATCACATAAACAAAAACCCATAAAATGACTTCAAAATTCAAGAAAGATCAATCAGATTTGATTTTAAGCTTCCACTGAGACGTCTTCTAGTTTTCCTTCAGCTTATAATCAACCTCAAATCAAACTCCGAGCTTAAGCCAAGAGGAGCTATCATATCAGTAGCTTTATAGTGTGGTCCATGGCGCATTTCGCAATGAGTTTATTGAAACTTTATTGAACCTGATGCCGGTAGCAGGTCGAACCCTCTCGAGTCACTCGGATCAAGGAACCGCATTGCGTTTTTCTCCGAATATTCCGAGGAACCTCTCACGTCTGCAGACGAATACACACTTCCGCCGGTCATCTGACGCGATACTAAATCTGAGTTCCTCAGAGCTCCCGTGGGGTCTTTTGGGAGGGTAGCATCGTCTGCATAAGTTGAGCCTCCAGTTTGTTGGAGTTTAATTCCTGGTTCTTGAGCATCTTCAAAAGCACGATGGATCGCTTCAAACTGAGTTGAAGTTCCTAAATCCGAGATTTTTAAGGTTTCTTCTCATAAATTCAAAAACATAATCAGTTGTTAAGTTCTAAATTTACCAGTGAGTGCAGAAATTGGCATTGTGTTTTTGTAGCTCATGGGAGGCGAGGGTCCGTCCAACTCATCTGAGCCGTCTTTTGAATTCTGCGAGAATGCAATCGACTTCTTCCCCAGAAGAGCTGATTCGGTCGATTCCAACTCAACTAAACAATTTACTAATATCTAAAGAAAAAAAAAGAATTTTTAAGTTTGGTTAGCCAATAAAGTCAGATACCCAACTATTTGTCGCTATTTGGTTTTGCTAAGTGTGCAAGTGATTACGAACGCCACGTAATTAGAAGAAATTTGATAGTAGTTTTGTCATGGTCGCTTTCTCAGCAAAGATTGCACGCTGCAACAAGTCTCAGATTAATTCCGAAATCAATGAAAAATAAATTGCCGCCATAAAATTAAACTTTCACAGTTTTTGCCGGGAAAAGGCCTAGTACAGTTGACATACTTATTTTCTATCATTTTTTGAAGTCATTATTATCAAAATTCATTATACCTCTTCCTAACAAAGTATTTCCACCGGGGGGTGGTTTCTTATTTTCTGCTCCTCCTCCTCCACTTTGACCTTTTGACCCCTGCTTTTCCGTTTTCCTTTTTGTCTTTGACCTTTCCATTTCTGCTAAGATGTCGCTGATCACATCACCTTTAGCTCCAGCTCCGAACTCGTCAGAACCTTCGTTGTTCCCATCCGAACTCAAGTTTCCTATCTTTCCTTGGTTCTCAATCAACGACTTCATCGTATCTTGGCCTTAAATAGAACAAACAGCTGATTTACTAGACAGTTAAGACTTGACACTTTACAGTTTGGACTCGCTCCTTTATTCTGCTTAAAACTGTTCCATTCTAGAAAGCTAAATCAGTTTATTTTAACCGATTAGAGAAATTCGAAATGAAGATCACTGTTCTAAATTCAAATAGTAGCAAGTTCAAGGGGGTTGTCACTCCCTCAAAACTATTATTCTTCGAATAGCCTTTCAAGGATACATTTGTAAAAACATATCTTCTATTTATCCAATGACTAATTATCAAGGCAACCATTTATAATACAAGTTGATATTGACTAAGTCTTCATTTGGATAGTCTTCTAAAATAGTTTTTTAGAAAAAGGAGGTCAGATGAAGAAAACCAGACTACCACGATACCCTCAGACAAAATGAGACTGACCTTGGATTTGCTTGTTGAGCTGGCTGAAATCCACACTATCATTAGTGTTCTCCAGTTCTTTGAAGAAGCGTGCCTTGTCTTCTATCTCCTCTAGAGTATCCTGTCCGATCCCACCACTAGTTGCAATGTCGCCAGTCCTGTCCATCGGCTTCACTTCTTCATCTTCCAGTTCGTACGAGTTTTGACCAATTGGAACTTGAATTGGAATTGCATGTGGGGATTGTTGTTTCTCTACTGGCTTATGTAGTGATGAGCTGAAAGTCAATAAAAAACAATCAATACAAATTTATATCGGGAGCGCTGACAGTTTAAAAAAATAGCTGTCAATTAATGTTCGTTTAACTCAAATTGATAAAAGAAGACATTTTTCAGGTTATACAATCACCTAGCAACAAGAAAATTCAAAAGTTCTAGAACATTCTAGATAATTGTGTTTACCTCATGCTATTGTTGGTGCTGAATGAGGCATTGATTGGGGGCACAAACAGTCCTCCGCCTTCTCCTTTCTCCTCATCATCATCACCCCTGGACTTCTTGGAAGTAGCGGATGATTTGAGGAACTGAGACCCCGTCACTCCCAACTCTTCTTCGCTGTCCTGTGACCACCAGTGGCCTCCCCCTCCTCCCTTCTTACTTCTATATTTGGCACTGCCCGGACGCTGTCTATTAACACTTTCTCTGCTTCTCGACGAGTCATCAGATATCTACACAAGCGCAATTCGACCACTCATGGAACATTACAGATATAAACTTTTGCCAAAAGCCAGAAAGGAACAGCAATTGCAGAAAAAATCGGACTAAGTTAACATCCTCCCCCCAAAGTCGTTTCTACTTAGTTCTGAGTTTTAACTTTCAGCCAATCAGAACAGTGCATTTTACATGCAGCGCTTAGCAAATTTAATTCGAATTGGGCACTGGGGTGGAGGGTCTTAACTTGGTCTATTTGGAGGAGGATGTCACCTTGATCCAAAAAAATCATACAATAAAAAAGATAAGTTCCTGAATGCCGTTCAATCTATAGAACATAACTTTCTTATATTTTTTCCATTTCCCCATGTAAGAGTTACTTGTACTCGATTCTTATTCTATTGATGATAACCTTCAAAACTACCCTTGAAAAATTTTAAGTGAAACCATTTTATATTACTTGTCTTGAATTTGCAACATAATACCAAGCAAGAAAAACCTTTATGATTCGAACTTTCAAAAAAATTGCTTTATTTCAATCACATAACCTTTTCTAAAGTCTAGCTGAGAACAATTACCTCGTTGAGGATGTTCTCGATGTCCTTCTCATCCACGTCCGAGTAGTTACTCACCGAACTAGACACCCGAGTGATCTTTGCAGAACTCATCATGCACACACAGGCGTTTGTTTTCGAGCTAAGTATAATTTGAGGTCATGTAAACCTGAAATTGATAAGTTGAATACTCGATTTAAATTGTCTTCTTCCTTTTCAACAGCGCACTAGGGATGATCCTCAGTTTTCAAAACAGCAGACACTAAGAGAAAGCTTGAAAAAAGAGTAAAAAGCAGAGTGAAAACACAAACGAGATAGACTATTATCAAAATAAACTTTACGCAAGCCTTCTTTATGTTCTATGTTCTGAAGTAAATTGCAAAGATAAAAAATCCTATTTGAATTGAAGCTTCCAAAGAAATAAGTAACAAATTAACCATGATTTTGCAAGTAAACACAATTGAACTGACTGTTGCAAAGTCAGCTCTGAATTGAAAAAAAAACTTTTCTTTCGTATGAACAAAACCAGCGAATACGAAGTGTCAAACAATATAGCTATTTTCCCAACAAGTATTGAACTGATGCTGATGATTTAATATATTTGGTATGAAAGAAAAAACAACACCGCTCTTGTACCAACACTAAAAACAACTTTGAACCATTGCACATTGGACTCAATTTTTTCTGATAATCTTAAATTAGCTCAGATAATTCCAATCAAAAAGACGGCATTTTCACAAGCGGTAACTTTAGACCCGTTTCAATTCCTCTAACATTGAGAAGCTGTTTGAGCGTTCGGTCAACAACGGCATAATTAGTTGTCTTGCAAAATTCAAACTGCTCAAGTCAAATCAGTTCATGTCAAAAAATCATTTGTCTCAAAAAAATTGAAGGAAAACAGTTCTAAGAGTGTAAAACTTGATGGGTTTTAAAAAAGCGTTTCAAATTGTTGATGATTTTACATCTGATTTTGAAGTTACTGAGTTGGGAAAACCAAGGCTCTATTCTTGGTATTTTGCACTAAATCATTCACTTAAAAGATATTAATAACTGTTGTTACTAATTTCACATTATTTTACGAACTGAGGGTCCATTCTGATAAATGATCCAGGCATCAAAAAGACCAGCGTAGAATTGATAGAAGTAATTAATCGGCTGATTGCAAACAAGTTAACTCAAAACAATGACAAAACAAAAACGGTAAATTCACAAACCACGACTTACAAGAATCATAAATAGTGTCAGAATGAACGGTAAACTTATCGAAAAGGTATCAGCCTAAATACCTAAGAACAAATAGATCGCAAAATGAATTTCAACTTAGTGGGGAAGCTGAGCTTCGCACCACTTGCAATACAGAAAAAAATAGATCTGTCAAAATGAATCAGGATTGTTTTGAAACAAAAACATGCCAAAACAATAGAATGTGAAATTATCATCGCAAGATATTGTACCCAGCGGTAACAAAGCCAAAAATACCTTTTCAAAAACCGTTTAAGCCAAAAAAAAACAAGATTTTGAAAAAGTAAAAAAACCCCCCTCACCCTGAAAACACTTCATTTTTTTTCTAATGAAACAAACTAAGGCCACTAAGCTGATATAATATAGGCCAAATCCTATTAAGTCTAAAAAAAAGCAAAAAAAAGCCGAAAAAAATAAAAAAAAAAACATTTAGACTAAAAAGAAGTTTTTAGTTCACCTCACCCTCAAAACACAGATACGAACAGACAAACTATTTTCGAAAATAGTGGAAACTATATGGAAACTAGGCCGACAAAACATAGGCAGACACTAATTAGCAGACAATTTTTTTTGAAATGGATTATTTCCCGTTTGAAAAAAGTTAGTTTCTGTCAGATTCAAACCCAAGACCTTGGCCTTCCAAGGCGCATTCATTTCCCCCAGACCAAGTATTCCGGAGACGCAAAGAAACATAGTTGTTTACGGTAACATAGTTGTTTCCGGGAAATAAAGTCTAGTAGCCGATTGCAATACCCGATTCAATGAGTAAAATGAAGCACTAGAAAAACAAGGTTTCTCCGAATTGGTTTTACCAGTTGAGAAATCCGTCTAAGACAAAAGCAATTAGTGAGAGCACACAGATTTTGCGTTCGATTAAAACTCAATATGGTATACTGTTATACTGAACAGCCAGTAAGATTTGAGTAAAATAATTGGAATATCTGGGTCGAAGGGTAGAAGAAGAAGAATTAATTTCACTTTACAATCAGAAACACTATTACATTAAACAAAGAATATTTTTTATCATAATAAATGAATCAACAGTTTACCCAGGATTGTTAAGTGAGGATACGCAAAGAGTTTTCTTCAAACCCACTAGGAGCGTACCCCACAGATTACACAAAAGAAAAGCACATCAATGAGTTATGAATAAGTGATAAATATAATATTTAGGAAACCAAATAGCAAAAAGAAAAAATTATAAGTTTTTTAGAAATTAATTAACGCCTCATCTACCTCGCGAAAAAAAGCCCTGAAATTTTCTAGAAATTTGGGCAGAGTAACGCCCTCTTTTTGACCATTTTTCAAAATTTCTTGAAATATGACTATGTCCTTTAGGTGCAAAGCAAAACAACCCAAAACTGTATACCCATACTCAGACTTGAATAGTATTAAACTATGTTGCCCGGAGACAACGCCTGGTCTTCTGAAAGAATACAGTTCGAGCCGCCTCACCCCGCACCTGAACACAGTCATATTTATAAACATAAAGCAAAAATATACCTAACAAGTTCGTAATTTTCATGTATAAACGTATCTCTTAGCATATGTGCCAAATTGTTTAGTTACCCTTCTTTTAAGTTTAAAACATTTTCAGGGAGCAAGTTATTATCTCTAAATATCTTCAACAGTTTGCATCCTCTTAACCATATCGATTGTCTTTTCGTTTTTGTCTTACAGCAAGGAGCTTCAAACTGAATACCTATAGATGTTCTGGTAAAATAAGCCGATTTTGTTTTCAGAGTGAAAAAATCGTTAAAAAATGCGGTTGAATTCAACTTGTTTATTGATCTTAAGCAAAATTTGAGAAGATCGTACACACACAGCTCATGAACTGTTAAAATTTTGTGTTCTCTAAACCTTTCCCTGATACTATCAAATTTCCTTACCTTGTAAATAATTCGAATTATTTTTTTCTGCAAAAGGAAAACTGGATTGAGATTCGAGAAGCTCGTTCCCCCATATACAAGTAATCCATATTGTATAATGGGTTTGATGTTGTAACAATAATATTTTATTAGCACATCTAGAGGTACAAACTTTCTCATTTGAGCAATAACTCCACAATGCCTTCCTAGTTTCGCTTTTACTTTTTCAACGTGCGTTCAAAATGACAGTTTTGGATCCACAAAAACACCTAGATATTTGCAATACGCCTTAGAAGTAACCATATAATTGTTAATGCACAACTGAAGACTGGAAGCACTTGCTTTATTTTGGAAACTTAGTAATATTGATTTGTCTCCATTAAGTGTTAGCTTATTTCTATTTAGCCAGTAACATATATTTTGTATGTCGTTGGTGAAGACCTCGAAAGATTCGTTTTCACAAGTGACATTGGTATCATCTGCAAATAGGTAAACGGTTGTGTCTTTTACGCAATTGGGCATATCATTAATATATATTAAGAACAATAACGGACCGATCACGGAACCTTGCGGAACTCCATGCGAAACATTCGTCCAATCAGAGTAAACGGAGTTTGTGAACACACATTGCCTACGATTGCAGCGATTATTTCGAAACCAATCATTACACAATCCTCTTATTCCGTAGTTTTCTAATTTGTGTAAAAGTAGTTCATGATCCAATGTATCAAAGGCTTTCTTAAGATCTAGGAACATACTGAATTTCATTGACTTACCACAGTACCTAAGTTTTTCTGTTAACTCAACTAATGCATCGATAGTATTGTATTTCTGTCTAAATCCAAATTGTTTTTCATATAAAAGGTTGAACTTGTTCAAATAGTTGTATAGGCGAATATGCATTAATTTTTGAAAGATTTTACTGCAACAATTTAGTAAGGAAATGGGCCTGTAGTTATTTTCATCTGTTTTACTACCTTCTTTATAGAAGGGCTGGATTTTGGAGCTCTTGAGTTGTTCGGGATATTGGCCGGATTTGAATGAGAGATTTATCAAATAAGTTAAATATGGCGCAACTACATGAGAAACTTTCTTAATGATAATATTGCTTATTTCATCTACTCCCGTAGACTGTTTCGCTTTTAGATTCTCTATTATTTCGAGGACTTCGAACATTGTTACTTTGTGTAAGAACATTGATTGTGGTGCATTATATTTTGAATAAGTCTCATGAGACTCTCTGCTATCACTTGGTAATGTTGCCAGAAGTTTTGACGCAATGTTAGCGACGTGATCATTTAAGTGGTTGGCGATCTCCTGATTATTATCTATTTCTAAATCTCCATTTTTAAGAAGAGGAACGTTTCCGCTCCTTGGACATTTTCCTATTATTTCATTCAATATTTTAAAAACCTGTCTCGAGTCTCCAATGCAATTATTGAACCTATTGTAATAGTAATTTCTTTTGCTTAGCTTAACTAATTTTTCTAATTTACTCCTCTCGGCGAGAAAATTTTCGCGCTTGGTCTTATTTGTTTTGTTACATTTCCATTCCTTATACATTCTGTTCCTGGAACTAATTGCATTTTTTATTTCTTTGCTGACCCACCCTGCCGAAGAGCAATCTTTTGCAGTGCATATACGTACAGGTGCATATTCATCAATCGTTTTTTTGAAGCAGTTTTGGAAAGATTCGTACGAGGAATTGATATTTTCATCAACTAAAAGTTGTGCTCCTTCTAATTTTACTTTAAGGGAATTCTGGAAACTAAGGATTTTAACTTCATCGTTAAGGAATTTTAAATCCCGAAATCTTTTCGTTGTATCCTGTTTACGAGATATTCTGAATTTTAGCAAAATTGGGCAATGATCAGCAAACGTATGCTCTTCCAAAATTTTTACTTCATATTCCGGAATATTTTTTACAAAGAAATGGTCGATACACGTGTTTGATTCAGCTGTTATTCGAGTTGGGGTATCACTTGTGAGAATGAAGCCATATGCTGCTATAGTATTTAGATAGTTATTTACAAGGTTACTTTGTTGTAAGATATCAATATTAAAATCACCGCCAAAAATTATAGGGCCATTATGGTTTGACAATTCTTCAAGAAACTCATCTAATTTTTCGATGAATAATCCTTTATCCGAACGTGGCTTTAAATAGGTAACAACCAAAATGATTCTAACATCCGCACTAATATTGCCTTAGTTTCTGGTAAGCTACATTTTATCTCTTGGATTTAACTAATGTTATCTCTAATTTGGATCATCGACCCACCACCTCTATTCATTTGTCTATTACAAGCAAAGGACGTGTAATTTTTCATTGTAAAAAGCTCTTTATTATCTTCCTCACTTGGCACATTGTTGATGGTCTTGTCATAATTTTCAAAAATGCTGTTACCATTCGAATCCCTTTGTACTTGCTCTGGAAATCCCAATATCTTCAAATTATCTCGCCTATTGTAATTCTCTAGCTGTTCGTCTTCGCACATGGCTTTCACGAGAGTAACCGTTTCACTATTTTTTAGTTCTTTTCGTACTTCCCCAAGAATTTCATTTTTGTTGCAGTCAGAAGCTCATTGATCACTTGTCGAATTATCCCTTTTAGATCCTCAGTCAACATTTTCACAATATCTGGAATTTTGTTTTCAAATTGCCTTTTCAATGGTTGCTTGTAGTTTATCTAATACGGGTTCTTCGTCTGGTGGGCTGAGAGCAGCACATGTCCTTTTGTTGTCGGGCTTAGCAATTGGCGTCTGGTCTTGGAATCTAAGAGTGGGTGGATCAGTCGCGGTTTCATCATGTGATTCCATTTTCACTTCTCTGAAACTATTTAATAAGTTTATCACAACAATCAGGGTAGTTCGGGTAATGTTTTGTAAGAAACATCATTTTTTGATTTGAACTATATTCAAAACAAAACTTGCATCTACATGAAGTTTTGAAGCTTTCAACAAAATTAATTCTTGGAATGAAAAGAGCACCCTATGTTCCGACACCACAGCAATGAAAAAAGAGAGCAAACCAGTTTTTTTTCTCAAAACTGTCCTTTATTGTGCACGATGTATTGTGAGCAAAAAAGCTTACACTATTAATAAATTAAGCATGGCCTCCAACAATTACTTTTGACAAACAAAAAAACAAACATAAAAAATGAGCTACATGATTCTTCAAAACCTAGATTTTTTGGTCTAACTAAGTCTTTCATAGCTTAAATTACTAATTTTAATTTTCTCGATTTTTCTCGACAACAAGAAAAGATTTTGGATGGGTGACAATAAAATGTGAAACACACTACTAGCCCCCCGCCATCCCCATACACCCATCGATTTTTTTTTTGCTAGTTAAACTTGGTGGATGACAATTTGCTGAATTGCATGATAAAGAGAAATTCAAAACTTTATCAACTTGCAGTTGTATTAAAATCTTCGGTTCAAAATTGCTATTGACAGTATTTACATCAACACAAAATGCATAATCTACAAAAAATCATGAACAATATTTTAAAATTTACGCCTATGAATATTTTTACGCTATTTTATTTACAATTTTTACAATTTACACATCGAATAATCAGTGAGCTACGGAAACTATTTTTCAATTGAAACAATAATTAGTTGTGATATTCCAAGCACCGCTAAATTGATCTATTGTCTGGGAAAGCCACAGTTACAGTTCGATGGTCGAGACAAACCCTCCAATCAATTTCCACTATCTTCGATTGCGGACTACTGGAAATAAACGGATAGTTCGAGTCAAAACTACTCTAGTTCGCAGCTACAATCAACATCCCTATTGCTCACGCCACTCCCGCAGCAGCAGATTGCTGCACACTAGTATTCTGATTAGGCTGAGTTGGGTTGTTGTGTCTCTTGGCGATGTTGGCCTGGCGCATCATCTGCTTCAACTGTTTCTGTCTGTTCTCATTCGAGCAGCCTAGGAATGAGTTGGTGCAGTGTCCAGGGGCACTGGTGTACTCCACTCCTCCGTCATTTACTAGCACTGGGCCGTCGTGCCACATCAAGTCGAAGCCACCTATCCAAATATTGAACTATTACAAAGAAATAAAACAATATGGTTTCACTGTTTTAATTAGATATCTGGTCCACGTGAAAGAACCCCATCTCGAGTATGTCCAGTGAATACTCGCCACCCAAAAACGCAAAACAAAATTAAGTATTTAGAATATGCAGTAGTTCTCTCCTGATACGAATATTGATCGCCCAAAAAATTTAGGGTGTTTATTTTCAATATACCAAAAAAGTCAATATCTAAACGACAAAAAAATACTGATAACAATAATTGGCAACCAAAGATATTCCTATTAAAGCAAATCGGGCAATCGCAGAAAGTTCGGTCACGGTTGGAGGGGTCCCTGTCTCCTCAAGGTGGGAACGGCTACGGCAAAATGAATATCCCTCTTCCCCACGAAAGAATTACCAAAGGTAGAAAGAAGGAAGCAGGGCCGGGGGCTAAATAGAAAAAATGCAAGAAAATCTTCGCTTCGGCTACTTGGCGAGTGAGATAGTAGGAGGATTACAACTTGATCCGGATAATTTTTTTATTTGTACTGACCGATGCGTTTCTCCTTTCCAGTGAGTCTGTTCTCCATGTCGATCACAGTGACCATGTCGTCCAGTAGTCTGTACTTCAACTCGTAGTCCTGTGGTGAGGATGCGGTCAGGGAGGGAGAGGCATTGACCTTGAAAAAGTTGAGTGTTTTCGACCACTTTTCAATTTAGCTACACGAGATTTCAAAATTTGGTAATTTCCTGATCGTCTTCCAATTTGCTTTTTGAAGAATTTTGAAAATATTTAGTATTATTTCACTCCTAGAAATTAACCAACATATAAAAAATGAAACGAATGTTTGATTTCAGAACAAACTTTTTACAAGCTTTTGATGACATAAATTGTATATGATTTCAGAGTTTCAAAAATTTATATCACCAAAAGCTTGTAAAGTTTCAAAGACTCGCACTTTTTTGATAAATTTAACCTAGTTTGAGAAAACTAGACTAAAAAGCAAGACTAGTGAAAAACTGAAACCTTTTCACATTTTCACGCGCCAGTTGCACTTTTGATATCGAAATGCGTCCTTTTCGTTGCATTTTTTAGATGAACTTTGAAACACAGAGCGAAGCAAGGACATAGATGCACCGAAACAGAAAAAAAAAACTAAATCCTTTTGGAAAAATTTCGTCTATCAAAATTCAAAAGTATAAAACATATGGGCTTACCCCTTTCTGATATTCAAAACGAATTTAAGATTGATAGTTTTTTGATCAACTAACTCCATTTGAGAAAACCGGAAAATCGATAAAAATTTTATTCTGCTTGGAAATCTTAAAACTAAATTCCTTTTTCGAAACTAGAAGTCAAGTCGCTAACCTTTCTTCGCGCCATTTCCATGTTCAAAATTGGGGTGCAGTTTACCCTAAATTTCAGCAGCTGAATTTAAATTGAATTTAAAAATTAAACTAAATGCATGAATCTGTAGTTATTAGAAAAATTTAAGATTTTTTCCTGAAACGAAAACAAAAAAAATCACGAAGACCTATATAAAAGTCCTCATTGACACTTAAACACAAACAACAGACAGTTTGAAAATAGCAACAGACAGTTTTGAAAAAACTTCACCCTCAAAGAAAAGAGTTTAAAAAAATGAATGGTCAAATTAACTATATTTGAGCTAACTAATTTGAAAATTAATTCAAAGCTCTTTAGAAAACTTAACCAATACGAGAAAACTGGACCAATAGGTAAATTTAAAACTTCAATCGGAAATCTGACACAGAGGCGAAACAGAGCATAGCATCACTTGCGTTACAACGACAGCCCATCATTGCAGGCTAGCGAATAGAAAATGAGACGAAAATTACAAAAACTAAACTAGTATCAGAAAAACACAACCACTTGGAAATCTTGCAACACTTGGAAATCTTGCAAACTTGAAAACCTTGCCTTTGAAGTGACAAAAAAAGATAACTTAATTTTTGCCTTTGAATGACACAAAAAAAGGTAACTAAGTCAATAAATTATAAGCCGAAACCGTTTAGGCCGATCAGAACTTTTAATCAAAAAAAAAGATAACCAAAGAAAATATAAAATTAATGATGAAAGTTACATAAGTAAATCAACCAAGCCGACAAAAACTGAGCAATCAAACAAAAACAAAAAATTTTTCCAGGAAAACAATGATCTCAATAGACTAAAAATTGAATTTTTCCGAGAAAAGCGTCAACTTCAAGTGAATAAAACTTCCAATGTGTACCGTAACAGCAGTAGTGCAGTAGTTATTTTTTAAATTCAATAGACCTGAAAAAATCTATTTTTGATTTGATAACTCTTGCTTATCGCGATCGTAGAAAAATCTCGAATTGAAAAAGAAAAAGCAGAAGTCAAAACACTAGAACAAAAATCTTAACTTTATAAAATTTCAAGAAATTTTCCTGTGAAACATCAAAAAAAAACGCAAGAGCAAATCAAGTGAAAATTCTTTTAATTCGTTAAAACTTAAAAAAAACAGCTGCATTAAAGAAAAAATTGCGGAAAAAGGATACATTGAAAAAAAAGAATTTCACTTCAAAGTAAATATTTAAATGTTCACCATGCGGTATGAACCCTATGTTTAAGAGTTTCATAGAAGAGAATGATCTATAACTACTAAAAACACGTTGGCCAATAAAACTTCAGCTAATTCAATAGCTAGTTTAAGCTTAAGTACATCGTTTTATTCAACAGATCCTCTACTTATCAAGCGCAATTATCCAAGTTCGTGTTCAGTGCAAGCTAATTTATGAATTGAGTGCGTATTTAAATGCTACATATTGCCTTATATCAGTAAAACATAACCGCTGCTCCGCCTGAGGTCATTTATGGGTCGAATCATGAGTAGAGCTTACTTTATTTGAAAATTTTTGTCCGGAGAACTTTACCTACGTCGTTGTTTCACCATGTTGAACAACTGTTAGCAACCCAGTTTATGCAGTTCATCAATATGCCTGATCAAAAGTGAACAAACACCCACCTCCAACAGCCATGGTTTCATTGCAGTGTCCAGCATGATGTCATAGCCGTATAGTTCGAAGCAGTGCTTGTCATTGATGATGATCTTCTGTACACTCTTGAGACTGTAGATGACTAGTTCGTCAATTTCTCTCATCAGCTGGGCCACTTCTTCATTGCCATGCTTTGCAGTCAGGTATCTCTTCAAGCTGCAATACAATATGTTAAGACTCAGCACCCAAAAACGGAATTAACGACAATTAAAACTGAAACATCACTGAGTCTTAACACAATACAACACATTTCATGGCAAAGAACATTGAAACTATTGTAAAAAAGTTCAAGTGCTCAATCTGATTCCACTACGGCATGCATCTGCAAAATTATTTAAAACTATTTTGAACACAATGTAACAGGAAAAATTAAATCGTTTTTCAAATAGTGATCTGTAATGTTCAGTTTTCTGAGTTTTTCAAATTTATAAACTTTGTGACCATGGTTTTGTTTCACAACGACTCTTTCAATACTTTGAATCTTTCTTGACACTTTTTGCTGTAGGCTGCAGCAACATTCTCCAGTACAATGTAGGTCTAAATAGAGGGGTGAACAGTTTGACTAGCAGTGACAATTTGAACAGGTCCTGTTTTAATATTTCCCATCGTAAATAAACAGCCTTAAATATCACTATGTTGTTTTTTATACCTGGCGAAACTCCATTTGCAGTCCCTCTCTGGGTCATAGTCTGGAGCCAACTTTTGGATGGCCACATTGGTCAGGTGGACCACATTGTCCTCAATGCTCTCCAGATTGTATCTTACAGTTGAGAAGCGGGCAAATGCCTCCCTGTACAGCCACACTTTCAGAGGCGCATAGCAACACACCAGCACATAAAACCTATTAAAAAAAAACGAAATTGAAACCTCGAAAAATCGAAATTTTAGCGTGAACAAATCTAAATTTTTTCCAGAAAGAAATTGAGACTATTTATATGCACCTTGTGTTCAGAAGGTATCAATAGTAAGAGTATTGTTGTGATGTAGACAGCTGATACCTTCTGAACACAGGGCTGAGATTCAAATTGACCGGACAAAATTTGAAATTTCAAACCGTTTTTTTTTTCAAATTGGGTTAAAATTAGCCAAAATGTGAAGAGAACAAAATTTGCTTAGAATTTAACAAGAATTAATATGGTGCAATTTTTTTCTGAAATCTTTGGCTGAAAACAAATTTAAAACGTTTTACCCTTCTAAAATTTTGTTGGGCTGTGCAGGAGGTTTCTTTTGATATAACTTTCTTATCAATTAACTAGGTAGTTTCAGGGTAATTCTTGATTGACTAAAAAACAATACATTAATTTTGACGCTAAAAGTTTGGTTCAGAATTTCGTGAGAAAATTGCACCATATTACTTCTGGTGAAACTCTAAGCAACTTTTGTTCTCTTCCTTTTTGTCTTATTTTAACCCAATTTGAGAAAAACCCCGCGTTTGAAAATTCGTTTTGAAGTTTTGTTCGCTATGTCCGGATAATTTAAATCAGTACTGCATACGTTTTTTCATTACGCTAGTAGACAGCTGCATTTTTTAAAGCACACACCATCGTAATTTAACACCACTCGGCTGAACTCACTTACCAAGCAATCACATAGACCTTTACCTCAGGAAACCGATTAAGAAATGAACCAAAAATTACGGATTGACCCAAGGAATATTTCCGATTAATTAGTTTGAATATTAGCACACATCAGTTACAACAGTAATCTTGGTGTTTTGGGGGCGCAAAAAAAATTTTTTTTTTTAAAGTTGATCGGGAGCCAAAGCAGGGTTGGCATAAAAAATGTTATAATAAACGTTTACAATATGTTTCAAAATATTTTTCACACGACAATTTAATTTTTATGAGAAAACGAATTCCAATAACGACATTTTATTGATTGCAATCATCAAGTATTCAGGAGCAAAAAGCAGTTGACTGTCAAAGTAAGGTCCAGTGAACTGCGATTTACACTTCTGGCTCCCAGTCACTTCTCGTCCAGTTATTTCCGCCCCAAAAACACAGTCATTTCCGCCTCAAAAGCATACAGTTCCGGAAAGAACTGCTTTTGGGACGGAATTGACTTTGTTGTTAGGGCCAAAGTGACTGCGGCGGAAATGACTGGGGGCGCAAATGACTGGTCACGATACTTCTATATCAAAACAAAGCCAACTGACAGTTGCAAAAGAGTAATGAACGCAAGTTGACTTGGTTGAAAAAATCTCAACTTTCGAATTTCAAAGAAAAAAAATGCCCTTTAAGCTGTTTGAACCTCTAGAACAATTTATGATTGGCGCTTTATTGATAACATTGGCCCAACTTTTTAAAACTGGATTAATAAGTAAAGTTTTTCTTCCGCTGAAAATCTAAAAATTAAATTCCACTTTCGAGATTGTTCACATTTTTTGCGCCACTTTCACGTTTGTATTTGGAGAGTGCCATTTACGTCTTTTTCAGCAGATGAATTTCAATTGAACTCAAAAAGTGTTAAGCCAATCAAAAAGTGTCAATCAGAATAAATGCAGTAATATGAATGAATGCACATCTGTAGTTGTTAGAGCATTTTCAGACTTTTTCCTAAAAACACCAAGACCTATATAAGAGTCTCCACTACGTTCATTACTCTTTCTAAACCTTCGAAGTTAAGTCGACTGACCTGACATCGAACTTTTTGTTTCCGACTAGGTATGGGTTGTCGATGTACTTGCACACCACGTATGTCTCCACTTGCGCCTCCTTCTCCCCCTGACTGTCCTGGTGGTTCTGCTGAGAGGCTGGCTTGTACACACTGTTCTTCTTCCAGTCTGTGATATCCTACAACAACATCACAACAATACTCTTACTATTGATACCTTCTGAACACAAGGTGCATATAAATAATGTCACATCGCTGCCAATTTACTCAATGTTGTTTTAGTGGTATCGGTGAAAAAGGGTGTTCGTTTTCACTCCACTAGTTGATTTTAAAAAAACAACGACAATTTTGATATCGGCAAACAAAATTACATCAACAAAATACACATTTGGAAGCAAAACTGTATTTGTATAATTTTTTCATCTTTCTCCAGCTTTCTGCCAGCTTGCATTTTACTCGCAGTTAATTCTGATGTTTCTGACGGAAGTCGAAAAAAGTTCGAAGCAAGTATTAGCAATGATATCAATGAGACTTTCACACCGTGGCAGTACTGAGACCAGATAAGCTCACTGCAGCCTGACTTCATTCCAAGTAACTGACTTCAATTATACCAACAACACAAGCTACGGTCACAAATATGCGTCTGATCCTGTAACAATAAACTTTAACTTGACAAACTGACTGACCTTGAGTTTTCGGAACAGGAATATGCCCTTGCCCTGGCTCTTCGCAGCTGGCTTCATAATCCAAGTTGCACTAGGGTGTTTTTTAAACTCCTCCACAAACATGTGATACTCGGTCGGCAACTCAAACGTCGGAGGGTAGAAGTCCATCTAAACATTCTCATGGACCATCATTAGACACAGAGATGAAGCTGCGCTTGGCACCACTTGCGATACAAAACAAGAAACAAAATTGAAAAACAAATCAAAGGCCGAAAAACTAGATCTGTCAAAATGAATAAGGCTAGTGTGGAATAAAAAAATACCAAGACAATAGAATGTGAAATAAGCATTGGAAGTACTCAGCTGTAGCAAAGCCGAAAATACCTTTTCAGAAACCCTTTAAGCCGAAAAAAATCAACAAGACTTCAGACTGCTGAAAAGTTAATAGGTCCACCTTACCCTCAAAACACACAAACACCTTTATTTGCTCGTCAAATGAAACAATATGAGGCCACTAAGCCGATATAACATAGGACGAAACCTATTAAGCACAAAAAAGAACAAAAAAAGCCGAAAAACTTCAAAAAAATCAAAGACTAATACAAAGTTATTAAGTCCCCCTCAGCCTCTTAACACAGACACGCACACACGAAACCTTTTCCCCTCGTAGAAAGACGCAATATGAGGCCAATAAGGCGATATAATATCGGCCGAGACCTATCAAGCCGAAGGAAAAAATAACAAAGCCGGAAAAAATTGTTATCAAGAAAATATGAACTATAAATATATTAAGAGCAATCCAGAGGTGAGCATAAACAATATGCTTTCGTTGAAACGATTCAAAATTATGTTACTTAGCCGATAACATAAAAAGTAGGCCGAAAAAAGTTTTTAAACGAAAAAAAAAATATGAAGTCAATTTTAGCAAAATTACGAACAACAGGTAAATCAGCACACTACAAGCAACTATAAAGTCAAAAAACTTTTAGAAAAACAAATCTACAACATGGCAGCTAAGCCGACAAAACACAAGCATACAATATAAAGCCAACAATTCATTATGAACCAAGATACTAATTGATTGAAGTGATCCTGTTAAACAAGTTGTTAACCCGAAAAAAGTCTATATTGCGATTTGATAACGCTTGCTATTCGCAAGCGTAAACATCCTCTCCCATAAATCGATGAAAACAGGAGATAGGAGATAGTATATCCATTTCGACAATTGAAAATCCAGCATTTTGTTCCTTTTCTTCATTTTTTGTCAGCGTATTAAGAACGCAATGATAACTATTCATCTTCAAAAAAAACTGAACTGTTTTAAACACTATCTTCATTTTGAGCCTAAAATCTGCAATCGATACTATTCTTACACGAGGATCTGATTGAACTATAAAATATACTTTTTTAGTACATTTGCTCTCACAAGAGAAATAGTAATACTTAAACCAACCTTAAGAGCCTCAGACTTTCCTCCAGCCGTTGCGGCCTCCCTTTCAAGTTGTTTGCGGTACCGCTTGAAGTTCTTTACCATCAGGTTCTTCCTAGTCAACTCATAGTGGTTCCGGAAGTGACAGATTCGAGCTCCCTCATCCATGTAGCAGTGGTCGAACACCTGTAAAGAAATAAACCTATTCTGGTACTAAAATATTCTAAGGAGAGGAAACACAATGAGCAGAAAAAAGTTGCTTTAGATACGGTCAAACTTTAGAAAGTTAGATTGTTAGTTTTTGTCTTTGAAAAGAAAACAATCGTTACTGTTGAATTGCAGGAGTCTCACCCCTTTTTTTTCAGGAAAAAAACCCTATCAACATCTTTCGGTTCTTTTTGTACAACATCAACTTCACTAAGAACACAATCTGAACACAGATGCAATACAAAAATGACACTGCGACTAGGAGCAGATAAATCCACAAATCAAAATCCAAAAAACTCACAGAATCCTTTTTTCTAAATTGAAACTCTCTTACCTGCACCATTACGAATTTTACAAACGGCATTTGAAATGCCAAAAAAACTGAATCATCAAAATCCAAAAAACCCAAAGAATCCTTTTTTCTAGCTTGAAACTCTCTTACCTGCACCATAACGAATTTTACAAAGGGCATTTGAAATGCCAAAAAAACTGAATCATCAAAATCCAAAAAACTCACAGAATCCTTTTTTCTAGCTTGAAACTCTCTTACCTGCACCATTACGAATTTTACAAACGGCATTTGAAATGTCAAAAAAACTGAATCATCAAAATCCAAAAAACTCACAGAATCCATTTTTCTAGCTTGAAACTCTCTTACCTGCACCATTACAAATTTTACAAACGGCATTTGAAATGCCAAAAAAACTGAATCATCAAAATCCAAAAAACTCACAGAATCCTTTTTTCTAGCTTGAAACTCTCTTACCCGCACCATTACGAATTTTACAAACGGCATTTGAAATGCCAAAAAAACTGAATCATCAAAATCCAAAAAACTCACAGAATCCTTTTTTCTAGCTTGAAACTCTCTTACCTGCACCATTACGAATTTTACAAACGGCATTTGAAATGTCAAAAAAACTGAATCATCAAAATCCAAAAAACCCAAAGAATCCTTTTTTCTAGCTTGAAACTCTCTTACCTGCACCATTACGAACTTTACAAACGGCATTTGAAATGCCAAAAAAACTGAATCATCAAAATCCAAAAAAACTCACAGAATCCTTTTTTCTAGCTTGAAACTCTCTTACCTGCACCATTACGAATTTTACAAACGGCATTTGAAATGTCAAAAAAACTGAATCATCAAAATCCAAAAAACTCACAGAATCCTTTTTTCTAGCTTCAAACTCTCTTACCTGCACCATTACGAACTTTACAAACGGCATTTGAAATGCCAAAAAAACTGAATCATCAAAATCCAAAAAACTCACAGAATCCTTTTTTCTAGCTTGAAACTCTCTTACCTGCACCATTACTAACTTTACAAACGGCATTTGAAATGTCAAAAAAACTGAATCATCAAAATCCAAAAAACTCACAGAATCCTTTTTTCTAGCTTGAAACTCTCTTACCTGCACCATTACGAATTTTACAAACGGCATTTGAAATGTCAAAAAAACTGAATCATCAAAATCCAAAAAACTCACAGAATCCATTTTTCTAGCTTGAAACTCTCTTACATGCACCATTACAAATTTTACAAACGGCATTTGAAATGCCAAAAAAACTGAATCATCAAAATCCAAAAAACTCACAGAATCCTTTTTTCTAGCTTGAAACTCTCTTACCTGCACCATTACGAATTTTACAAACAGGATTTGAAATGCCAAAAAAACTGAATCATCAAAATCCAAAAAACTCACAGAATCCTTTTGTCTAGCTTGAAACTCTCTTACCTGCACCATTACGAATTTTACAAACGGCATTTGAAATGCCAAAAAAACTGAATCATCAAAATCCAAAAAACTCACAGAATCCTTTTTTCTAGCTTGAAACTCTCTTACCTGCACCATTACGAATTTTACAAACGGCATTTGAAATGTCAAAAAAACTGAATCATCAAAATCCAAAAAACTCACAGAATCCTTTTTTCTAGCTTGAATCTCTCTTACCTGAACCATTACGATTTTACAAACGGCATTTGAAATGTCAAAAAAACTGAATCATCAAAATCCAAAAAACTCACAGAATCCTTTTTTCTAGCTTGAAAGTCTCTTACCTGCACCATTACAAATTTTACAAACTGAATTTGAAATGTCAAAAAAACTGAATCTTCAAAACATCTGTTGTGTGAACTAAGCCTATCAAAATAAGCATCAGACGAAGCCGAACATTTTCAGTCTGCAAAAAAAGTCCCGGTCCGACTCAAAATTTATACTCATGTCGTCTAAAGAATGGGTTTTAAAACAGCGCCCAGATACGCCAATTAAAAACAAGGATAGCCAGTTGCTGTCCAATTTGCACAGAATGTTCCTATCACAATCTGAGATATTTTTTTCTTTGTTTTTTAAATTGACGTCTTTTCTTATGCATCGTGTGATGATAAAACTATAGGAACGTGTAGAAATTTAGTGAATTCGGCATAAACAACTCCAATTGTCTTCAAAAAAATAAATAATCAAAAAATGAAAAAATTCAAAAAAAAACTTTACTTTTCAATGTTTTGCAATAAAATGTCGTTCGTATCACGACTGAAAGAGCTCTAATACGGTATATCATTCGACTCAGTCCAATTATAATGTGTGATACCTGATTTTTCGTGGAAAACAACAAAAAGAAAAAACTAAAACACTCCCGAATACAAAATTCCTCCCCGTTTTCAATGGTCGGAACAAAACTAATTTAATGTTACAATATGGGTCCACGCAAGTTAAACGAAAGATTTCAACTTAAATAAAAAAAATTCTATCCCACGCCAAAGTACTGGCTTAAAAAATATGATAGAAAAACACCTAACCAGCAACGCTAACTGGACCTGTTTGACACCGAGCCTAATCGAATATGTACTGATTTAAATCGATAAGTACAGATAATGCAGCAATGTTGCTCATTGTATCACAAAAAAGAGAACTTCCGAACTTCGGGCACAGTTGCTGATGATGAAAATATCGATGACATATCACGAAGACTAACAGAACTCAGAAAAATTAAAATTGTTTCAGAAAAAAATTAAATTTTAAGTTAAATTTTAATTCAAATTTAAATAATTTTATAAATGGACATCACTGACTGCGCCAAATACCTAAAACGTTTCACTGAATTTGACTTTTTTGTTAAGCAACTTGAAGCACGTGTACAGTTTCACCCTTCCTTAGCGTAAGGTAACTATAAACTCAAAATCGGCATGACTTTACCTCTCTCATCCAGCCAACATCACACCAATAGAAGTCCCAGTCTGCCCCCTCCTCAGTCACGTGGTTCCAGCCTCTGTTCCTCAGCACATCCAAGATGGTATTTGTGAACCCACATCTGAACCGGATCACCCTATTAGCATTCCCCTGGCCTCCTTCTCCCAGTCCCGCCCCTCTTCTGGTCCCGCCTTTGCCCCCTCCCGCTCCGTAACCAACAGCCGCTCTTTTGTTCATATTGCTGATGAGAGATTCAAAAGGTACATAACTTCTCTAATTTCATCGCTACACTAATTGAATCCTGAACCTTCATATAACGTGTCATGAGAAATCTAGAAAATATGAACCTTTTAATATGCATAACTTGATCTAATCCTCGGAACAACATTTAATCCATTTTAGATGGAACTAACACTAAAGGAAAACCATTTTTTCAATAATTATCTGAAAAAAATAAATTAAAAAAGGAAAACCAAATTTTACAGAGGCGTAGCTCAAGCTTTCAAGCTTTGAAAAAAATGAATTCGCCCCAACGGGATTCAAGCCTTCTACCTACAGATTTAGAGGCAACCTCTTGACAAAAGCGCCATAAATAAAACGGATAAAACACTCCCAGATAAAACCCATGAGCAGTAAACAAATACTGAATATGAGCACTTTTTCTGAGCACCAATTTTTGTGTGGTTTAGGTTAGAAAAAAGAAACTCGTAGGGTAACAAAAGGTTTCTCAAGCGTAACAAGTGGACGTATTGAAAAACACGTTTGCTTGTGTAAAAAATCACAACCTTAAATTAAACACAGAGGCGAAGCTGAGCTTCTCGCCACTTGCGATAGAAAAAGTATAGGATTAAAAACAGCAAGACACTCAAGAACTATCAAAGAGGACTTCGAAAGTTGTAACCGTAGAAGAAACAACTATATAAACAAAAAAAACGAAAATCAATTTTTTTATCTTTCAATTTATTAAAAAATTTTAAAGAGCCCCAGGTGAAAATAATGCACACAGAGGCACCAGGTCGCAGACCAAGAGGAAGACCCAAGAAAACCTGGAAAGAGTGCCTCAAGCAAGATATGGCAGCCGCTGGTGTACACGAGACTGCAGCTGAAGACCGAGCTGAATGGAGAGCTGTCATAAACCGTCTAACCTCTTCAGAAGAAGGGACAAGAAGACGCTAAATGGAAAAACAAAACAAAACAAATCCCAGGTGGGGTTGAAATCGAGAATGCGAAAAATTATATTTGGGGCCAAACTCTAAGCGATCACGCACATAATATCGAAAATTTGTAGGAAACAAAATATTAGGTAAATAAACCAACAGAATTGAAGCCGACAGCAAAGTAGATGAAACTGAACCAAGAGCTTAATCGAAAGCCGAAAAATCATCAGCAAAAAAGTAATATCGATGTTCTATACTTATACAAACAACCAAGCTATCAAAATGAATTAGGATGGTTTGGATAAAAACATGCCGAGACAATATAATGCAAAACTAGACTCGAAACAAAAGTACCAGGCGGTAACAAGACATAAAATCAGCCGAAAAAAAATCAAACAACTCTTTATAAAAAAAAATGAGTCCCCCTTCTCAATAAGTCGAACCCGATTAAGCCGAAAAAAGAAGACAAAAAAAAAGAAAAAAAAACTACAACCAAGTAAAAGGCAGATTTCGTATTCGTTATCTCCAGGCTAAGTGGGCAGGAGAAAGTAGGATAATTGGATTTTTTATGAGCCAGGGTACCACCAGAAATCGATGAGTCCTGTGAACAAAGGTGTTTGCAGGACAAAAAAAAATCTAGTACCCGATTGCAATAACTCTTGCTTATCGCAAGGGTAAAAACAATTTTATTTGCAACTCACAACCTTAGAACGAAAACAGAGGCAAAGCAGTGCTTCAGATCACTTGCGATTCAACTCAAGCGTAGCATTGGAAGCGAGCGAAAATATGACAGAAATCCCTTAGCCAAATATATGGAAAATAGCATATTTAAAAAAAAAATAAACATTCAGAAAAGCAGTCAAGAAACAAAATCATAACATTGATTCAGCTTTTCGTATCATTTAGAGAGCGGCAGTTCAGTCGAAATAAATTAGGTAAAAGCCCAATAAGCCGCAAACAGAAAAAAAAGCATACGCATTGCAGTCATAAAATATATTATTATTTTTTTCGAAAACAACGTCATAACAAATTTCTAACAAAATTTTGAGCGATTAACATTTGGAAATTGAAATTTCTACACCAAAGCATTTCTCAATTGCTTTACAAACAAATCAAACGACAAAAACCGTTGAGCCGATAAAACCAAAGCCGAAATCATTTCAACCGAAAAACAAAAAAACCGAGACGCTAAATTGACGAAACAATAGGAAGGTTGTCAATTAGAGTAAGAGCGGGACCCTAACCCGGAAAGCAAAGCTGCAGCTTCGCAAACATGATCGAGAAAACGACGAGCTTCAAAATGCACAAAAACACAAATATTGCGTGTAATCAGTAGCGGATTTAGAGGGGCGGACGACACCCCCCGTCAGGGATTCGAACCCCAGCCGACCCAAAGAGTACCCCTTTGTACTATTTTGAGATATCCTTTTATGGCCGACTGACTCTAAAAAATTTCTAAAGGCGCCAATATACACTAATTTTGAGGGGGGAGCATGCGCCAAAAAACGCGATTTTTTGGTTAATATTTTCCAAAAATTGCCTAAAAACGCCTTGTTTGGCCTCCTTTTGCAAAAATTTGTCTGCGGCGCAGAAAATTTGGTCAAAATGCGGTCTTTATATTGATTTGAGAGCTCAGTAAATCAATTTGGTCGATCTAAAAAAAGGGTACACAAAACTTTCATTTTTTTTAAAAATCCGCCCCACCCTCGAGAAAATCCTAGATCCGCCCCTGCGTGTAATAATTTGGAATGTAAGCAGCTAAAGGCAACTACACTAACTTTGCATCAAATAAATTGGAAAGTGTAATCCAAATTTTGCTTAAATGATGCGTTTCAAAAACTTCGCTAAATAAATTGAGTTGAAAAATTTCTGAAAGGAATTTTATTATGGTACTGTTTTATGATAAAAATTGCTTTTTTCGCTTCAATTGATGAACTTAATAAGTTTTAACTGCGTTAACTCATAGCAAATCAAATGTCAAAGCACATTATAGCTCTTATACTTGCGACTTGTGTTGGGAAAGAAGTTGCACCATATTATTAAACTAAGCTGCGCATGTGTAAAAAGGGTCGTAAGAAATCGGCCAGAAAAACACACCCTGCGCCATAGTTTCTTCCCCTTCTACGCCGGTGTTTGCAACAATCAGACGCCTGATTATTTAATGTCCGAAAAAGCTTCGTAAAGCTAAAATATCTCAAACCCAAAAATTACTCACGACCCAAACGAAAATGGTGATGATGTCGCAAAGCTATGTGATCAACCAGTTTGGCCTATGTGAAGTGCTTATAATTTAAATCTTTGAGGCTTTGAAAATTAGTCTAATTCCCAATCAAAATTAAAAATGCTATAAGAGTTTGCACATGTAAACTTTGACTTCTTCTTCAGACGCTAAACTCCGACTGTCCTTTGAAGAAGGTGTAGAGTGCACAGGAGGTAATATAGGCGGTGGTGGAGGTGGTGGCGGTTTAATAATGGAGATCGAATTATCAAGCAGCTTTTCGGAATTCGAATTATCAGAAGACTTTTCAGCTGCGCTCGTATTGTTAATTCTATTAGCCATATTTTCGATAACATTAGAATCTTTTTCCGTTTTCATTGTGCCAAATAATTGCATCAGATTTGAAATTGCGGAATTTTTAGAGCCATGAAAGAAATTAATATATTTTTCCGGACAAATGGCATATCCGAGATGTTCGTAGAATGACTGCTTGTCCGTGGTCGCTAAGTACAGTTTCTTGTAACCCCTTTTTCGGCTTTCCTCTTCCACGAAAGTCATTATCCTTTTACCGAATCCCTTTCCTCTATATTTACTTCCAATTATCACACTTTCTACGTACAATGAATCAGATTTATCAGGTACGAGGCACAAACGAGCATGGCCAATGACTGATTCCGAATAAACGTTACTTAAGATAAACGAAAGAGGATAATTTATAGATGATTTCATCAACCAATCAGGGCGATTAGATTTTGGCCAATGAGAATTAAGAAGAAAAGCAGTCTGATCAATTTCGTCTGGGTCAGCGCAGTTTAGAGGACGAAACTGAAGACAGCGTTGGATGAATACTTCTAACAATTAACAGTTTACGACGTCAAAATCATACTTTTTCGGTCGAAAATTTATTAAGAAAATACCTATGAAAATTCTCATTTAGAAAAGTCACGTCAAGTCTTTATCTTTGACTGAACAAACACTATAGATAAAAAAACGCATAACATTGCTTTATATCAATATAACTTGGACTCAGAAGCAGAGGATGCTGAAAATGTTTCTTTATGTAGTGAAAAATTCGCACTTGTTGCTTGAAAAACCAGATTGAAAACAGGAAAAATAATACGCTGAATCAGGCAAATATTTTTATGTTACCCTATCTTGAGTCGGTGCGGCAAAAATTCATCCAACCCTGATCGAAGGCTCATTCTTATAGTCCTCCATAGTTTTGAAGCCACATAAGCCAATCTGAAAACTGACCATGATCGAAAAACATCACAAGAAAAGCTTCACGTTCTTTTTTAAAAACAAAAATGAGACAAGAAAATGTGAGTATTTTAGACAGAGATGAAAAGCAAAAACAAACAACGGCAACACAGTTGGAAAAGTATCATAAACGCAAGGAAACAGAAAAAAAAAGCAACCTTTTTCAATAAAAACTTCAACTTTACAACTTCAAAGTAAAAACATACGACTAATAAATTCAATACAGTCAAAAATAATTATTTTTCTTTTAAAATCAAATATAGGAGTTTTAAGCTCAAGAAACATTTATGAATGACAGTTTTGTGGTAAAATTAACTCAATTTGAGAAAACTGGATCAATAGGTTAAGTTTTTAGTCCGCTGGGAAATCTGAAAAATAAATTTCACTTTAGAAACTAGAAGCCGACACAAAGGCAACGCGAATCTTCGCAGCACTTGCAACACAACGGAAGCACAACATTGCAAGCTAGTGAATAGAAAAGGAGACTGAAATAAAAAAAATCGACAAACACATATTTTGGAAAAGAAAAAAATTTCAGAAAAATAGACAAGAAACAAGCTTTAAAAAAATCTTTAAGTTTTTTTACGAGGGGCTAATTAGCCGAAATGCGTTTAATGAGCCAAAAACAGCCGCTCTAAGACGCACATTGAGCCGAAAACAACAAAATGTCATAAAAAATAGTTGACAAAATACTTTTCACCGA